ACGCACCTTCGATGTCCAAAAAGGCTCCCAGAGCTACCCCTCCAGCAGACATTCCCCTCTCCAGTCTACACACGAGACTGTGAAGAGCCGTCTCCGTGGACATGCCAGCTCTGTAAGCGTGTTGAAACGGGTGTAGTGGTCTAAGGACCAGCGCCCCGTTTCTTATGTATGCATCCACCAGCTTTTCTACCGCTTTTAAAAGAAACGATGATAGACTGATGGGCCTATAATCCTTTGCTGTGTCGTACTTAGTACGACCCGGCTTAGGTAAATACACAACTCTGACCCTTCTCCAGCTTATGGGGATGTACCCCAAAGCCACAGAGGCCCTAAAGAGGTGCAACAAGTGCAGAAGTAATGGTTCCAGGCCCTTTTGCAAAAGAGCCGGAAATATCCCATCAGGTCCTGCGCTCTTAAATGGGCTAAACGTATTGATAGCCCATCTCAGGGATCCCTTGGTAACAACCCCGGCAGCTACTCTCCAGTCGATCGGCCTTGCACCGACCCGGGTAGCACCTTCTGGCGGTTCCGAAGTTACATAGTCTCCAGAGCCTGGAAAGTGTGTTTCCAGGAGACATGTGAGGGCCTCACCCGCGTTAGATGTAAATCTGCCGCATGGAAGCCTCAGCGTCCCCACTTTTTGCCCTGGATCTTTCAAAAGGATCTTACGAAGTTTTTGAACTTCGGGAAGCCCTTCCATGTTGCCACAGAAAGTCCTCCACGATCCCCGTTTAGACCGTCGAATGTGGTCTTTATACCTGCGCTGTGCGAGTTTGTGATCCTCCCAGTCCGCAGGTAACGCATGGCCCTGTTAAAGAGCCTTCGAACCTCTTTACGAACTTTTTCAAGGTCCGAGTTCCACCAAGGTGTTCTCTTCATTCCCCGAACAGTTCGCAGCTTGCAGCTGTCTTCAAACGACGCCGTTATAGCGTCGCTTATCATTGCCGCCGCCTCTTCCACCTGCCCTGCTTTCCGGCAGAGCAACGGTGGTTTATCCAACCGTTCTGTCAGTTTTTCAACATAGCAGTCCCAGTTGGTGGTTCGGGGATTCCGAAACCTACAGGGCCCACCATTGAATGACAGGTTTAGTTGGAAAAGAATGTGCCTGTGATCCGAAAGAGACGGTTCATCAGACACTCTCCAGTTTGAGATCATGTGAGCTATAGAGAAAGAGCCCAACGTTAGATCAATGACCTCCTGCCTCCGCGACGTAACGAAGGTGGGGGTTGCTCCCTGATTTAAAACATTCAAATCAGTTGTCTGCAAGTACTCCAGAACGTGTTCGCCCCTCGAGTTCGTGTCCGTGCTGCCCCACACAACGTGATGTGCATTTGCATCACAGCCAACCACAAGAGGGAGCCTTTCACTCCGACAGTGCTCTATCAACTCAGCTAGCTCCCTGGGAGGTGGAGCTTCTTCCGAGTCATATGGTAGATACGCTGAGCAGACTACTAATTGCCTGCTCCGTCCCTTTCCATCTTTCAGCTGAAGTCTTAGAGCCACAAGATCCCTAAAACAGAAATCAGCCATTAAATAAGACTCGATGCGTCTGTCGACATATATGCAAGTCCTGGTACTCAGTTGACTGTCCCTCTTATAATAAAGTGAGCCCTCAACCTGACTTAAGCCTCTTACTCGTCCCTTGTAAACCCAAGGTTCTTGTATGAGGCAAACGCCTGTCTGCCTTACAGAAAGTTGGCGGCCTATTAAGCAGGTCGCCCCCTTACTGTGTTGCAAATTGCTCTGTAAGAAGGTTACCTTGTCCATCACCGATGTACTTAGGCTCCCCCCTCCTCTAAAGATGCCGACGGCTCTGACCCCATCTCGGAGCCAAGGACCGCCACACGAGCCAACAGCTCGTCGACATCTTGTTCGACCTGCGAGGGCGCCAATTCTAATTCCAACGCCTCGAGGTCTCCACCTAAGGGTTGGACCCCCTCCATTGCAGCGGAACTGGGTCCCGCTGCTCCGGCGGAGCCCTCTCCCTTTGCTTGCGCAGCCGGAGCACTCGCCTTCGTCACGAAAGTGACGTGGGAGACCCCCGCGTGCGCCTTAAGGTTCTGCCGCTGGAGTGCCCTGTAGGATGCCTCATCCACACCAAATGCGAGAAGCACCCTACCAGGCTCCTCCCTGCGAAAGAACGTCCTCCATAAGTTCGTCCTGAGCCCAGGATTTTGCCTATGGAGGCGCTTTAAAATGATGGCCGTGTCATCCGGGAGCCCGTGCAACACTGCCATCACCTTTACCACCTTTGGGACGTGCCTCTGTACTTTCAGAGACGCACCTTCCCAAGGCTTGATTAGAGAGACGGTCCTCTCCAGCCAGTCCAGAGTCCACTGGTCCTCGCACTCAGCCACAACGACCCCATGCGAGTTCCAGCGGAACCCGGCCAGCCTCGGAAAAGGCCCGACCTCCAAGTCGTCTACAGCCACATTTAGTGCAGCCATAATGCACCTCGACTGAGCCTCAGTGAGGTCCACCTCCGGGTACGACACCGGTAGGATAGCCACCTTGAGGCCCGCCGCAGCGACTTGCCCATAGGTCCGCGGTGCACCCGTGGGTGCCCCAGGACCTTTGGACTTCTTTTGAGGTTGCACCGAGCCAGACCCTGGAGTGCTACCCTCCGATCTGAGACGCTTGGTCCCAGACGTCGGTTCGCCTTCCTGAGCCACCGACCCAGCCGCAACCTTCGATTTTAGCACCTGACCCGGGGTTTTACCCTCGAGCCGCCGCTTCCTGGCCAACGCCTTTTGCGCCCCCGTCCTGTTCTTCTTACGGGACGGAGCTGGTCCAGGTCCTTGGGTGGAGCCCTGCTTTGGGGCTGTCCCCTCTCTCGAGGAGCCTGCCCCTACACAGGACCCCTGTTGTGGCCCTGGTTCATTGGTCCCCCCTGACGAGGAGCCCTGTAAAGGAAAATTATGTTTTTGTTTTGTATCCATATTGTTGACATACTCCCCTGGAAATGAAAAATTCAGTTTTCCTTTTCCTACAACTACCACAAGATTTTCGTGCACTAGAGGGAATGGCTGGGGGGTTATTCCATACCCCTCAGAGCTACATTTTCTCTCGTATCAGAACATACTCCTCCGGAAATGAACAATTCAGTTTTCTTGTTCTTAGAACTACGATAGCATTTTCATGCACTGGGGAGAGCATACTCACAAAGGGCGATTGGGACGTTGGGAAAAAATATAATTGATGGTCAAAACTTTAAGAGCAAGTATCTGCAGAAAGGAGTGTCGGAGGAAGCTACTCTCAAAACGCGATTGAAACGTCTACACGCAACATATCTATACTGCCGCGATGTAAAAACGGGCATATGAATATCTTGAAAAAGGATTCTCGGCTTGATTCTTCTTGCATTATATAGGGTAGACTTTGAATGTGTGTCAGGCGGCCTTTATATGTTTATACGTGTAATGAGCTCGCTCCCCATTAATTACTTACCAAGAAGGTGAACATCGATAAATATAGAATGCTTTTACCGTATAATCGCTATTTCGGTTTAAAAAAAATGGCGTTTTATGCTATTTATATGTACTTGTTTCATGTTTGGTATATTTCACTAGCAGTTTCATGCTCCTCTTCCTCCTATATTTTCGATTGTTGCAATAATTTCTAAAATAGTATGGATATTTTTCGTAAAATCGCCAGGAAGGACAGACAATTTACCAGGCAAGGTATGGCCCTGTTGTGCCGTTTGCTGGGTACAACCCTGCGCATATATAGCAAACCTCGATTGCGCGGTTTCCAAAGTTCGAACCAAATGCTTTTATTTCTATGACAGATTCTATGTCAAAAACCTATAACTAACACCGCAATTGCCCTCTAAACATTAATTTCCATCTCATTTGAAACTTTATTACCTCATTTTAGCTGTAGCAAAATTTCTTCTGCTTTTTCGCCTATAGTATATCTTTTTATAGTTTCTTTATCCATACTCAGACCCAGTCATGTAGTTTTGGTAACGTTTTTTCAAATAAATCTGGTTTCTAGATTAATTCAGGCGGCGAAGTACCTTCTACAGTAAAGCTTGAAGTCTCATTTTGGGTTATAACAGCGGTACGTAGGAGTTTATGCTGCTAACTACTCGTTTGGCATCCTCATGCGGCTTATTTGTGTCTAAGTCGCTACGACCTTTTGGTGTTGAATTCAGAACACGTCTTAGGGACCAGGTAGTTTTACCTTGGTATGTCTTTTAGTAATGCTTTAGTAAATAAAAGACGTTTAGAACTGCTTGATCCCAAGTTACTAATAGAGCAAAAATGTACTTCATTTATTAATGATCGTCGAGATCGTTTCTAATTTTTGTGTCTGTCTGTCGGTCGGTGTGCACGATACGTGCGATCGTTTTGAAAATTGGTACCTACACATGTTCTTAAGGATAAAGGTCGCTATTGTTTTTCAACGTATAGTTGTAAGAATAATCTCGAGGATCGTTCGGTATTAAGTTGTATCTTAAATTAGAAAAATAAAAATCTTCACTTGTTTGCGGATGATGCGTAACTACCCTACTTTCCAGTGATCTCTGGACTACAGACCCGGAGGGTGTAGATCTGTGGGTTCAGATACTTTCTCTTGATTATCAATAAACAATGACGCATTTGCTAGGGCAACTTACGAAAAAATCCTTTAAACAATTTGTTTTTAGCGCATATTTGAAAAATGAAAATACTTATTTGTACCCCGCTCCGTGTCATGGGCAAAATATCAGCATTGGAAAGCCTTAGAAAATTAGCCCCCCCCCCCCCCATTCAAGCAGCAACAGAATCTCCATTTATTTACTAATTTCTTTGGGGAAACAAGAAACCACAATATCCTTGACGGACAGGAACTTTGTGGTCGAAAGGAGGGGGGTCTCATAGTACTATTCGAACACAAACCCTGGGGCACCATGTTACGCGCCACTTTGTTTGTATCACGTTTACGATAGTGTTAACAACCCAATTAACCTGATGTTTGCTCACTGGATTTGGTACTAGTGGTGCTTAAATTTCTCGGCTCTTTCTCCACACATGGTATGTGCATAATTTATACCTACTTGTTCTTCCGCGATAAATTGCGTATCTAAAGGGGTAGGTATATTAAATATTACATTTTTTAACAAAATTCATTTTTTGGATGAACCGCAAGATCTCAAGGTGAATGATCAGATTGATTGACTCATGTTCCAGCAGAATTACCAGAAGAATCTCGAGGTGTATGGTAAGAAGTTTGGGTATAAATTATGTGTGAATCATCCATTCAACTTATGCCTAAAGGCTAAATTGCTTGTGATGAGTGTATTGGAATTAACTGTAAATTCGCGGTCGGTTTAATTAGTATAGGTACTTACTTAGGTATCCAAAACTCCTACGGATTGATTACAAGTTAAATAATTAGAATACACGAAATTAACTTTAAGGGAAATCCCTATAATGTTGGTGTAACACGACTGACGTCATGCTCATTTATTTTGTTGTATTGGATAAACAAGAGTATTCAGGTTTTGGCTTAATATATGATAGGCAAGCGATCACGATGATGTCAGTTTATATAAAGTTACTTATACATGATGTACCGTTGTAGCGTATGTGTATTTCCCAGTTTAAATATGTGATTTCCTTTTTGTTTCTTTTACATATTAGTGTGTTATTAGTTTAGTGGAAATGTGTCAAACGATATGTATCGCTTTTGGCTTTGGTTTTCTAATGATTATGACTATTAGTTCTACGCAAAGTGAATTTGGTTACACAGATAACGACGTTCTATTTACGAGTAAGGGTCACATTTTATGTCCATTATTATCATTTCCCACACCACTTCGTAAGGCTTGTGCACGTATACCTACACGAAATTCGAAAATGTCATTATTTTTAGAATGTCGATTGGATAACTACTTACCTACCAGATTACCTCGTGCGTACTTGTCCCAAGCCAAAAAACCGTGCAACGTTTTCTAGGATTGTAGAAACCTACCATCAACAAAGTGGGCATACCTTTTTTAGAAGTTCCCCGGTTAGCAATAATTACATTAATTGCAAGTCTTTATTTATTTTTTCTGGTATGTGTATGCAAATTTGCAATAATAATAATTTGAGTAAGTGACCCTGTACCATGATTCATTGACATGGTTTATGGGAAACTGCAATGGAACTTCATATAAAATTGTTTGGGGTATTACTTTTACACATCTACTTTACGTGTTCGTGTTTATTACTTATTGTTGGGTACCTACACCTATTTGTACAGTGTCCGTTTTTGCAAAATAAAGAGTTTTTGGGAAAATGCCAGCGTGGTCACTATTTTTTACTAGCACTACATGGAACACATAAAATAATGGCCTTTATGATTGATAAATCTGTGATATTACTTATATGTATGTTTTAGACGCTAAAACGATCGACCTGGATTCTGGAATAATCGCGTTGTCTGCACTGTTCAAATTCGCGACTATACTTTTATATTGTTCTGGAAGTTGCGCCTATTTATCCTGTTTCAAATTTTCTTCTATCCCAAAACCTTCTGACTATTAAGCAATAAAGTTTTAAAAACATGAGACTATTTATTTGTATTTACTCATACTATATTTATTGTTGTATATTTTTAAATTATACAGAGTGAGCAACAAAGATTGAAGCGTGCCGCTTCAGCTAAATTGGCAATGTGCCGCTCATAGCATATGCTGATTTGATACAAGATACGAAATACGAATAGACGCACGTCACTGTGACAGCGCAGAACGTCATTTTCGTATACAACTCCATACAAAGAAGGTAGTTTTGATATTAATAGGAACAAGCGGTGATGACGCACGCTTCAATCATTGTTGCTCACACTGTACAAATAACGTTCAGAATAAAAATGTAGGTATTTGTCGAGCCCTTGCCCAAAAAACCTAACTGTTCTTTGCTTGGACATGAAAATACTAAGGTTTGCATTTTTAGATACAGAAATAATCGTTCATTTTCATTCGCTACCATTTCTCCATGATCGTTTTATATCTTCTTATTTTTTATGCCGATGGATTTATTGCTGATTTTTTAGATGAGGGCAAATGTGGAGAAGGTAGCACAAAAGGAACGTGCAAAATGGTTACCGAATGCCCCGTAGCCGCGGCCGCAATACGAAACAAACAACATCATGGCTTGGAAAGGTGCGGATTTGAAGGTATAACCGAAGTCGTGTGTTGTCCCGAAGAGGAAACGGATTCTCGAACTCAAATCGTTACACGGAAGAGTGATCATGGTAATTGTTTCTTTGTTAATGAATATCATCACCCACGTCATTTCGCATCCATATAAATTCCTCATAATAGACGTTTTTTGTATAATTGTTTTGGCAGCTATTAGGTGACACTCTTTCTATACAATAGTGAAACTGACAATAATATCCAAGAATGACAAAAGATAAAATGGTACCTAATTCGCATTTGTTACAAACCCTCACGGTTCTGTTGACCTCACATTACCTTCTATTCCCTTGTCTTGGCAAAACAGAAATGGTGGTGGGGACAGTAGTGCCCTAGCTACCAGTGTTCCACGTGTTACGTGGAGCACGAGACCGGGACTAATAATAAGGTAAAAGTAATATCTAAAATCAACTGTGAAGATCTAGATACCGTAAAACAAAAGAACCTGTGGTTACAGGAAAAGCTTATTAAGCACAATACAAACTTATAAAAATAATATTATACAGAGTGGCCATTTCAAAACTTACAATATGCTATATCTTACATAGGTATAACAGAGATGATATTGACAAATCCTCAAAACTGTTTCTAGTGTAAAAAGGGGAATTACAATGACAGAGAGAACTCACCCCCTAACAAACTCCAAAGCCCCGTACTCCAACTTAAAAAAAACTAAATAACATCCAATCCAATAGGATATACAGTGTGTCCCAGATCGCGTGGGATTGCATGCATCCAATATGGCGCCCATTTAACTTTAGGAAGTTGGTAAATGTTCCTCAAAAGTAGCCATCTTGAATTTTTTTGACATCAATTCTAAATTAAGCGTATCAAAGACAGCCTCTTTTATATAAAACTTTTTTTTATATCTCTTATACTTTCGATAATATAAGACATTCAAGGAAATGACTAATTTTAGTTTTTTTTAATTTACGTCGAACCTATGCGACATTTTGAATTTCCATAAGGAAATTTTAAATAAGCATCTAAAACTGCAAAACCATTGCCCATTTAACCAATTCTCTATCTTTAATAATAACAAAGTTACCCATGCAATCCCACGCGATCTGGGACACACTGTATATAATTATTCCACAGGATGTATACATGTTATATTGCAGCATTTTGTCCTTACGGACACTTTTCATTGATGATGTGCTATTATTGGACCGTTGAGTTTTTTCTTCTTTTTTTCTTTTTCGCCACATGTATATCATACCGTTTCTTCCCTTTTTTCTGATTCCTTCATAGTGTTTTCTCGTTTTTACCTTTTCTTTCCTGCTTTCCCTTGTTCTTTCTACTTTTTTACGTTCCCATATCAGATGGTCAACAGTTTCCTCTATCCACATAGTCTGCGGGTCTTTAGAGACCTCCTCCGTTCTGGTGAATTCTCAATTTTCTTTCCTTTTTGCGGGCACTGGGCACATAAAAAATAAATGCAATGGCCCACGTTGGACGTGCGTCTCATTAATGGTGTGTGCGCAAAACACCATTTACAAAATACCACCCAAACAGAGTCCTACCTAACCAGCTTACAATTACCATTTCTCACATATCACACAAAAAAATACGAGTACAAAATCCTATGATAAAAAGTTAAGGGGACATAAAGCCTTTTCGTACACAACCCGTTCACAGAACGACCATAGCAAAATAAAAAAAAGCGATCTTAAGAAATAACAAGTTTAAAAACAGCTGAGATATACCTACTGGGGTCTCAACTAAAATAGGAGACACTGTACTTGTAGCTACCGGGGTAATGTAATTAATAACGTTAGGGCGGAGCTACATGATGTGGGATTGAGGACATCCGGACGCCAGCACGGAGCATGTTATACTAACGTTGCGATTTTTCAGATTTTTCCTCTTCTTTTACAGTTTTGGTCCGATTGTTTTCAAATTAGTGTCGTCGGAAAGATCTGTGAACGCGCGCAACCCTTGCGTGACGGAATTTTGTTCTTTTTCCTAGAGGCGAAATTAACTGTCTTTTGCAAAGCGCGCGTCTTCGAGGGGTTGTCGACTTCGGTCTCTCTTTCTCATTCCTCGAGCTATGAGAGGTGCCCCAAAAGCTCGAAAGTGGGTACCGACAAATCTTACTGATGGTGGGGTCAAAACTTCAAATGCGAATTACGAGTGAACCGGAAGTAGGAAGTGGTAATATGGTAGCCCCCTACAAAACTCGATCTCACACCAGGACTTTGTTAATTTTTTCTTTATTCACTTATTTGTGGATTTGCTCCATTATTTCGTTGCATTTGGTATCGTAAATATTTAAATTCTCTTACTTTCTCTACTCTTTCCCTCCCTCCACTTTCCTTTTCCTTTCTCCTCCATTCCAAATCTCATCATCTTCGATTTTTCAATTTTTTTCCCATTATGTCTCCATCGTTCCCATCATTTCCTTAATATGTTTTTCCTCTGTTGTCGATATTAGGCACTACGCGTCAGCATATGCCAGGGACCATATTTCTGCTTTCTTCCCAATTACGATTCTTCCACTTTGTCCCGGTTTTCATATTTTCTCCATGTTAGCGTTCAATAAGGTTGGGCTAAGTGGACATCCTTGTCTCAGTCTCCTATCCCTCCAGCCTACTTTTTGTCTCTCCATATAACTACTTGATTCTGTTATTAAATTATTATCTATTATTTTCCCATTCTCCATGTTTGCCATACTTTTTCCTTTTCTAGTATCTATGTCAAATCCATGAAAAACGCTATCACTTTTCCGCCCGTCATGTGTAGTACATAATATATGTAAAATTAACTTATTAACGATGTAAAGGATGAGGGGTATTACACCCCTAAATTAAACACTGTACCTACAACAATTTACAATGGGCGTTCATTGAACAGTAACAGGTATAATAAAGCTGCGTTAGCGAGCCGTAATAAAACGTGATGTTTTCATATTTAACGAAGTTCCGCTTACGTATATACAATCGATCGTTTCTCTCCCTCTACTGAATCCTATTTGTGTTACCCCATCTCTCATCTCATCCTCCTCTCTCCTACATCTCTTTCTAATCTTGGATTCAACACCATCGAGTAGGTACCTATATTCTGTACGTCATTGTCTTTGTCACTTCTTTTGTGAATCGGCACTACTGCCCTTTTCTTCCATTCTTTCGGTAGTCATCCTTCTTTGCATATCTTGTTTATTCGTTTTCGTTTCCTCAGCTTCTCCTTGATGCTATCTGTTGTGAAAATCCATACCTTATTCCTTATTTCATCCTTCCCTGCCGTTTTCCCTTTCTTCAGTCTCCATTTTACTTTCTGTTTAATCTCTTTTCTTGATATCTCGTTCCCTTCCACCTCATTTCTTCCTACCTCCTCTATCGCCCCCTTTTACTCTTACTTTCCTTGTAGTACCTTTGTGCTGTTTACAGTCCTCCATTTGTATTTCTCGGCCACTTATTATATTTTTCCCTTTTTCTCTGTTTATCATCTTCCAAAAGTCCTCCTCTCTTACCGGATTTCTTTTTAGTGACGTTTCTGTTTCTTCATCTTTTTTCCTTACATTTTCTTTTGTTCTTTTTGTTCTGTTTTTTCAACTCCGTCTCCTATAATCTCTCCCTTTCTTTTTTTTCCATCATTGTTCTGTTTTTCGCCTTTGTACACTCTCTGTCCTACCTGTTTCCGTGTTATTGCCTCATATTTTTCCACTCCTATGTTCTTTCCTGTTTCTTCTTCGTTTTGTTCCTCTAGTCGCTTTCTATAAGTTTATGAATATCGTCTCTTTTTAAAGCACCGGGAAACCCAAGCATTGGTACAAACTACAACTACAACTACAATCTAAAAAATGTAGGTATTATTAATTACTTCAATTCCAAGTACTTTGCAGTGATCTAAGTAGCTTATAAGTCGCGATTTCACGAATGAGAAGGTCAAGTGGCTAACATATAAAGAATAGAAAATTCTGGGTAAGTGTTGCGGTTTCTATTCATCTCCTCTTGATATGAAACTAATGATGAATAATGAACATTTTAGATCTTGGAATTTATTTGTTTTGTGACCTCTGATGTTTTCTCAGTAGCAACACACAGTATTAGGGCCAGACATCAAACACCTGAGTGCCTGAACGTAACCAAATGGTTCCGAGTGCTCGAGAGAACATTTTCTATATTACTTGCACCACCTCGATAGATTAATTAACCCGACGACCGTGCCGACCGCAACGATATACAACTCTTCATCTTTTGGGACCAGATTGTATTGGCCTGGCAAGCCATTTTATATTTCCCTGGCGGTGTGGAGTTGGGAGTGAGGGTTCGCTCACTTCTTTTCGTTGTCTGAACCCTTAATTTTCGGTTTACTTACGAACGAGCAATAAATGACAGTACTCGAGACCGAAAGTCCACGGGAACACGGAACTGGTATTAGGGGATGTAATGCTCTGCGTTTTACAGAATCAGAAAGCTCATTTTTGACCATACTAACACTTGCAGTAAAATGTTCTGTGCTCCACAGAACCAAAGTCGCGTCTCTTTTCTGGCGTCACTGTCAACTGCAGTTAATCTTTACAAGTGCCCTAATGCAGTGCAAAATTAGTAAAAAAAAATAATTACAAGAAAAGCAAGCAAAAGGAGATAACTAATCCCTCCACTTAAATTTAATATACCTAAATTACGTTAGCAGTTCGCATGTTTTGATAACTTAAATTCAATGAACAATAATTGAACGGTTCCGAACGGATTTTAATTAATCCCAAACGCAACATTGCAACGTCTAGATTAATTATGTCTGTCCCTGAATCACGCCCCATCGCGAACGTTACTTATATTATGATTATAAAAGGCTATTTGCGAATTATCCAGATTAAAATAAATCTCTATGGACGCAAATGCTGTTCTGTACGACTGCATACTTTCACTTGATTTGATTATATTATTGTAATTAAATGTAAGAGGACCATTTGAAGTGGGCTCCGAAAAGAAGAGACTGGAAGCATCTTCCCTGGTGCCAGTCTAACCCTATGATAGTTTCAGTGCTTCTTAATTCTGAAAGCTCACCCTGTATACGTAATATGTAAACGGACTATTTACATTAATCCCTCGATCCTAAGGTAATTGTAAAAAGCGCGTCGTTGGGGGTTGTTGTCAAATTGGGTACTGTGGCCAACTCCAAACCGAATCGATCACTACATTTCTGGCAGGAATCTTCAAGAGTGAATTAACTCGAGAACATATGTTATGGTACATCTGTAAGGTACTTACTTTTTTAAATCTTGAAGTTACAGCCCTTTGAATTTTCTTTCGAAATTGGTTTCTCGTATATAACTTTTGATTGAGAAGTCTGATCGAAAAAGTACGAATTGTTTTGGATTCTACGCACCAAAATTAATTAGAAAAAGTGTTTTCCCGAGAAATTTTGGTGTAGTCGATTTTTGGTAAAAAAGGAAGGTTATACACTGCCTTTTTTTGAGGCCCCAAAAAAAATTGTCTCAGATCGACCCGGAAAAAAAATTTTCTTATAGAATGTGGCCTGTAGAATCCATAATTTCAAACAGTTCCAAGATTGGGCTACTAGTTCAAAAGTTACAGCCCTTTGAATTTTCTTTCGAAATTGGTTTCTAGTATAACTTTTGATTGAGAAGTCTGATCGAAAAAGTACGAATTGTTTTGGATTCTACGCACCAAAATTAATAAGAAAAAGTGTTTTCCCGAGAAATTTTAGTGTAGTCGATTTTTGGTAAAAAAAAAGGAAATACTATGCGAAGTATTCGAATACTAAATACTTGTGAAAGTATTTGAGTTACAAAAACAAATACTCTGCTTCCATAAAAGTATTTAATTACAAAGTATTTGAATACTTTAAAGGATTTGAATACTAAAAAGTATTTACAAAATCGAATACTGCCCAGCTCTGCTCGGTTGCAAGAACGGATTGTCGGAAGAGGGTACTCACAAAGGGCGATTGAGACGTCTGCAAGAAATATATCCATTGGTGATGTCAAGATAAAAGCTATTTCGGTTTTAAAAAAATGCGCTTTATCTGCACGAGTTGTGCACAATTTATACTTGTTTGAAATAAGAACCACAGATGCTTCTACTAAAGACAAGCATATCGTAAAAATTACATGTTTCTTATTTATAAGAATAGGTATTTATGCCATAACTTATTTTCCTTCGTACACATAAATAACCCGTTACATTACATTCCATGAGGAACTGATCAATTCATGAAAAATGCGCTAGTAACCTACTCGCCTTAAGGCGAAAACCTTTTTCTGTTGATTTCACTTACGCATGTAATCAATATATCACACTTTTGACTGTTTCTACTCTTCACGGTCAAGTGTGATGTAAAGTAACTCTTGTTTAAATTATAGCATGTAAAGAATATGTTAAAGGCCTGCCTCCAGACATAACGTTTCTAATACTGAAAGGAGATAATGCCACTTTGGGAGAATTTCCACACATGGTGAGTACCAACGACTTGTTAACTTAAAAAATCTTTTCTGTTTAGAAATATCTGATGACACTATATTGTATCATTTGACCCCAGTTTGTTGTTGTAGGCAGCTTTAGGATATTTGTACGACGATGATGTCGAGTACAAATGGGAATGTGGCGCTTCTCTAATAAGTAGCAATTTTGTATTGACAGCGGCGCATTGTTTAGTTAGAACAGATAAGTAGGGCTTGCTTTTTAACGAAAATATGGCAAATAATTATCTTTTATCTACAGCAAGTCTCCGACAAAGGTTCGTATGGGAGTAATAGATACTACCGGCAGTGACAAAGTTGAAGCTCTCGACGTAAATATTAAAAAAAAGTACGTCAATCCCCAATATCAACATCGACAGAAAAGGCATGACATCGCGTTACTGGAACTGGAAACGCCGATCACGAAAAGTAAATACGTTCATCCTGCTTGTCTTTATCAAGAAGGGAACGATCCCATTGGATTAGTTGTAACGGGTTGGGGACTTACAAGTCAAAGCGGTAAAACTACCTTTGCTTTGTACTTGAAGTGAACTGAAACTTAATTCATAGGCGATCCCAGTACCATTCTTCAAAAGGCAACACTCGAACCAGTACCAGTACCTACTTGCACCAAATACTATGAAGCACGTTCAAGCAGACCGATTTTAAACTTTCAAATATGCGCAATGTCAGATGACGGTAGAGATACCTGTTCTGTAGGTATTCTGCAGTGGTGTTTAAAAGCGTGTTGCTGACTTAGCCAAATTTACAGGGTGATTCGGGTGGTCCACTTCAAGTACAACAGGAGCCAAGTACCATTTACACGATAGTCGGTATAACTTCGTACGGAATTGGGTGCGGAGGTAAAAATCCGGGGGTTTATACAAGGGTTTCCGCTTATCTAGACTGGATCGAGAGTATAGTCTGGCCTTAACATAATGTCATCTCCTTAGGATCTATTTTAAATGCCTGCACTGATACTCGAATTGTGATTATTTTGATTTGTGAAGTTGTAGTTCCCAATACACTTACTTAAGTACTCTCGTACAAAATACCTAATTGTTATATGTGCCATGATATCAAATAAATTTCAAACGTTCATTGTCTACCTATAGTCAAAGGTATGCAATTGTGTACTAGTATTTTTAGTGGAGCCAGAGAGACTCGGCATGCATGCACATTTATCTACACCAAAAACTTCACAATAATAAAAGTTAACGGTATCAAACACGTGATTCTGCATTGAGGTTAAATCAAGTCAATTTCTTTCCTAAGAATATCATGGCGGAAATTTCCTAGTTTACATGTTATGTTATGGCATATATAAATGTTCCCGAAATGATGTAGGTATTTGACTTTTTTTATATAAAACAGGCGATAAATACAATCTGCCGCACAAGCCGGCTCGTGTGGCTCATTTCAGTTAAAACTGCTAAAAGTGCTAAGGGTCCCTGGTTCGAATCCGGGTTCGGGCATGGATATTTGAACCTAAGTGTATAGTGGGTTGGGTTGGTAGAGCACCCTCGGCTGAAACCCCGCGCACTCAAAAATAAGGGCAAACGGATAGGTGCAACCGACATTGTTAGGGGATCGGTGGATAGTACGGCACTTGATAGAAAACAACTCCAGGCCTTCCATTATAAGTAATAGATACTATGAAGGAAAGAATCATTTTTACTCTCACCCCTACTCGTAGTAGTTTACTTGGTACCACTAACGGCCAACTTATACAAAATTTGGAACAGTGCAATCGTCCCATTTGTATTCAATTTTTACTTGCTAAAATTGTATCACATGGAGGGGCAGGATGGGGTGGACCTTTAATACACAAAAACATGAAGACTGTTTGGATCTCCAGGATTCTAAGGCCATCCCCCGTAAAGTCCGTCCGGCTGGATGACAGACGGACAAAACGCACGCAATAATACATATTTCACTTTGCGAAATTTTATTGCCGTGGAGGCATTTTTTCGAAAAATGCGTATGGCGAATTAAACACGCTCCAAATTTGGTTTCAATCAGTTCAGACAGACAGACAGACCTCAAGATTTTGTTTGATTTCGGATTCCTGGTGTTTCAAACCGTGTATATCCGTCAAAAAAGTGAGGGGTCATTTTTTACTCCAATCGGGTGATGAAAATGTAGAATTATTTTCCTCTGAGTGACCTCAAAACGCCTAACCTGCGTGTCAGTTGGTTTTATTTAAAATTTCACTTATCAATTTTGGCCACTATAATAAGATAAGAAGGTCGCCCCGCCGCTGACCTTACCTGTTATCGCTTTACCTATTCATTCCCGCACAGTATTTAGCAAAAGTTAAGAGGCGTCGGTCTATGTGCGTGGTTCCAATGGTATATACCTATATGGGGTGGATACCGGATGGTAATGGCCCTTTCCTTGGAGTTGACTAATAAAGCTATAAGGGTGAGTCTTTATTTCTGTATAGGTAAAATGCATGTAGGTAAACTCTGCACTAAACCCCAAAAATCACTTCTACCGATGAACGGTAAACGAAAATATGACTAATGATTACAACTACATTATGTCCTATTTAAATAAATTTGTTTGTTTTTAATCTTCGTGCTTAGTGCCCTAATGGTAGCACCTTTAGTCATGTTTGACATGTAGGAATCTTAATTTTGATTTCTCATAAGATGTAAAAACCAAAAAAAGGTTATTATTGATCATAGATGATTAAATTAAAACCCCTATTCCAACTCTCTTGTTTAGTAAAATTTTTGCGCCATGTGTGTCTATTACAGATAAAGCGTTAGTCATTGACAGATGGGTCGTTGAACTAGGGATCCAAACTGATTTCACACTTTTCGCATTTTCGCTCTGTTGAGTTCTCACAAAATAGTCCAGGAAATAGAGACTGAAAATGGACCATTTCCTGCAAAACGAGAAGTAGTTCCAATTTTTTATGCATGTCATGAAAGAATATCTGGTGGTTAAGGCTGGACAGTACATACAGAACGGAGTATGTAAAGTTGCCTATTCTCAATCCCCAAATTTGGTTATTTATAATATTAATTTGTGTTCGATGGTAAAAACATAAACTTAGTCCAATTATAATGAACATTTTCTATCTGTATAAAACCAGCCACCCGGCGGAAGCTATCTTTTAGCGCTTTTTAGAAAAACTTTTAAGTTGTTTTTCCAAGATAACTTATCTATAAATGAAGTTGGAACAATTTCCAAAATTAAGATACGTTCGTAAACTTAATATCTAGGCAATAACGCCAGGAAAATTTATTTCCTTTTTTCTTTTCCAAAATATGACACCCTAACAGCCCTCGACGTTGCCCTTAAAAAAAAGATTATTTTAAAACATTTTAGTAAACCCCGGCGTTATTGTCTAGCTAAAGCATTCACCTTTCACAGGAATATTCGACCCCTTCTTCAACTTCACTCAGAATTAAGATATCGTGGAACGAAATCACGCGTTTTCGGGCAACGGAACGGGTGTACTGTCCAGCCTTAAGAATCCAAGTTTTCGACCTCCCACCCCTTGTGCTTCCCCCGTACCACCCTCAAAACCAATGAAATTTGGTTGGTTTTTTAGTTTTTCAATCATATCTTTTTATAGGTTCATTTTGCAAAAAAATATTGTTATCAGAAATTGTAGACTATGAAATTCTACACAACTTTGATATACACTAAGTTTTTGTGAAATGTTTATTAAAAACGATATAGAGCTTCAGAGTTGCTTATATTTTTAAGAATTCTAAAGTTTGTAGATTTTTTAACCAAATTTTATACTTTATCTCCATAATTAAGTTTTATGAGAAAATATTTTGAACTTATTGTGGTATAAATCCCCCTACGCTGCGCACCTTTACCAAAGGGGATGCATAATACTTAATTCAACTTTCAACTCTTGCTAATGGGGATATTTGAATCACTGTGGGTTTTCTAATATCCGTTTGAAACAAAAAAAATTTATCTTACTTATCCTCACTAGCAAGGGTTGCAAGTTTAATTATTTTGCATCCCCTTTGGTAAGGGTGCAGGGTAGAGGGATTTATACTGCGATAAATTCAATCTCATAAAACTCTTAATTATAGAGATAAAGTATGAAATTTGGTTAAAACATCTACATACAAACTTTAGAATTCTTAAAAATATAAGCAACTCTGAAGCTCTATATTGTTTTTGATAAACATTTCACAATAAAGTCGTGTATATCAAAGTTGTGTAGAATTTTATGATCTACAATTTCTGATAACAATATTTTTTTCTAAAGTGAACCATTAAAAAGATATGATTGAAAAACCAAGAAACCATCCAAATTTCAGGGGTTTTGGGGGTGGTGCGGGGGAAGCACAAGGGGTGGTAGGTCGAAAACTTAGATTCTGAACCATCAGATGACTGTCTATGACATGCAAAAGAAATTAGAACTACTTCTCATTTTGCAAGTTAAAACCCTCTATTCCCTGGACTACAATGATTTGAAGGTAGTTTGAAACGAAAAACATTATAGATCCTCAAGGGATATATATTTCAACTATATTTATAATGTTATTTATTAAAAAAGTATTTATTTATGTTATTATTGATATTTATTGAGCATATTTATACCTAAGGACATGGTTTTTGGTTAGAATCGTTCATTTTGTACTCTCGGGAGCGGATCAGAATGGTCTGATTCAGTCTGATTACCTATTTTACCGTCGAGTTTTAACCGAGACGGTTATGCTTTCTCCCAATCGTCCGTCACTCGACCGATAGCTTCATGTCCATCGATTTAAAAGAGAAGGAATGGACCAATTACGATGAAATTTGGGTTTTTTAATCAAATTTGTAGATCGAAGATCGAGAATTGGCCATGTAGATCAAAAAATAAAGAAGGCTCTTTTGACATCTTTGTCAGTTATGCGTGAAATTTTGTATGTAGGCACCTCGGATAAAAGTAAAACTAATGCCGAATCAAAAAATGTGTTTTGCGCATTAGTACAGGCCCTAGAGCTCAGAACAGGGGTCTACCTTGCACATTTCTGAGACAAAGAACCAAAACCAAGATGCAGGGTTTATGTTTTTTGGGTCGCTGAATCCGAATTTGACATTTGCAGAAAAATCCGCATGACGCGGGAGCCGCCATCCTGGAAAAATGGCGGAAAATCGGCGGTTTTTCCACAAATCCCGAAATAACTCATTTGGTATCGGTTTTTTGGCGGAAAACTTCAGTAATAAATTAAAGTACATAAAATTTCCTTTGAGATGAGCCATTGTTGATGAAAATCGGATAAAAACTAACGCCACTACAGTGCGACGAAATTCGGCCCAAAAATGAAGTTTTGGCAATTTTCAATATTTCGCGCGCAAAAAAACGAGTCTGATGTCATTCACAGAGCAGTAAGCTCTCCGAGGAGCTTTTGAAGAACATCCAATTACTACCTTTAAAATGAGCCCAAGTTAGTTTAAATCGGACGAAAATTGACATCGCAACAATTAATCGCCCGAACCTACTTCTTTCGCCGAAATTAGCGCATTCATGGTGAAATGAGTATCAAGATCATATACCTAAGTTTTAAAACTTTTATTCACAATTTACAAGTTACATGATTTCTGCATTGAATGATTCAAAAGGCCTTACTCGCTAAAACCCCCGCCGCTGGCAATCCGATGAAGTGTCGGGAGTTTATCAATCCAATAGGGATGGTCAGAGGTACATCGTAGATCATGCTGGTGGTCGTTCTGGTTTTGTAGAGGATGGTTTGTTGTTGGTCAAGTAACGATGGTGATTGAAAAAAGTTAATAATACGAACAAGGGTTGTTATAACCTCTGTAGGTACTGTAACAAATTTTTATAAAGGGTTTACGCATTTTCGGTATTTTCTATTTAAATTTCCAAATTTTCTATCTGGATACTCCCGTCAGGAGCGTCAGCATTCGATTCTTTTTTCTAAACTCGGTCTTTTCGCTTTTTGCTGGAATTTATAAGAGTTTCTATTCCGCGCTGAAGCACTACACTTACATCATTATTTAAGTCTTTTTCACAAATGGAACACTTTTTTATGCTTTCTGGTTCCATATTGAACGCTCAATCACCGAAAACACACTGAAAAAAGGAAAACATAACTAATGGCCATTTGCACCGACAAATTTTAGCTGAGCTTAGCTTAAAATCCATGACAATTGAGACAATATGGTTGTCATGGATTTTGAAGCTACTCTTAAGCTAAGTTCAGCTTAAATTTTTCGGTGCAAACGGCCATAAGTAATCCAAAATCTGGACAGCAGGACGTTATGTTCTATCAACAGGAAAAAACAAACAATTTTTTGGCTACATTCCAAAACCACGTATCCTGGTTGAACTGTTCGATGGAGATAGGTACGTGGTTTTGAAATGTAGCACAAAAGTTGGTTCTCTTTCGGTAAATGCTCCTCAATTATGCATTTGAATAACGATCGAATACCGAGTTTCTGACGAAACAGCCAATAAGGATATAAAAAATCAAAAAACCACACTAAAAGAAGCAATCTTACGTCGATGATTACCAAAATTAGGGATTCAATTGGATGTTCTTCAAAAGGTCCTCACATTCGGAGAGCTTACTGCTCGTGAATGAAGTCAGTTCCGTTTTTTGCGCGCAAAATTTCGAAAATTGCGAAACGTTATTATTGGTCCGAATTTCGTCGCACTGTAATGGCGTTAGTATCCGATTTTCATCAACAAAGGCTCATCTCAAAGGAAGTTTCATTTATTACTGATGTTTCTTCGCCAAAAAACCGATACCGAATGAGTTATTTCGCGTTTTGTGGAAAAACCGCCGATTTTCCGCCATTTTTCCAAGATGGCGGCTCCCGCGTCATGCGGATTTTTGTGCAAATGTCAAATTCGGATTCAGCGACCCAAAAAACATAAACCCCGCACCATGGTTCTTTGTCTCGCAAGGTCAAATCCTCTGGGGCCTGAACTACATGCATAATCCGATTTTTTCTATTTGTTAAGATATTTAAATGAAATTTTGTATGCAGACCAGCAGACACCTCGAATAAAAGTAGTTCTAGTGTTCGCAAATCGCATATTCAATAAATGTATTTAACCAAGAACAAGTCACGCGGGTCTCCGCTCAATAACTCGACACTACCCAACAATAAATAAAATAAAATAAATAAAATCTCATTATGCCCTCAAACGACCTGTCAAATTGATTGACGGAGTTATATTATGTAATAAAAAAGATGCAACTTGATTCATATGAAGCACTTTAATGTTGGGCAAACAATAATCATATAACATTTGTATATTAAAAATGCATTATTTGGAACGATGAAAAATAAAATTTTGTATGCACCTCAGGCATTACTCGATATTTAATCCTCGGGCGACTTACAATATATATATCGCCTTAAGGCTGGACAATACATACAGACCGGAGTATGTAAAGTTGCCTATTGTCAAAAGTCAAATTTGGCCATTCATAATATTATTTTGGGTTCGATGGCAGAAACATAAACTTAGGCCAATTATAGCGCACATTTTGTATCTGCATAAATCAAGCGGCGCGGCGGCGCAAACTATGTTTTCACGTTCTCAAGATAAACTTTTAAGTTGTTTTTCCAAGATAACTATATATGAAGTTGAAACAATTTCCAAAATTGCTATAAGTTCGTAAAGTTAATATCTAGGCAATAACGCCAGGAAAATTTGTTTCTTTTTTTCTTTCTCAAAATATGGCACCCAAACAGCCCTCGACGTTACCCCTAAAAAAAGGATTATTTCAAAACATTTTAATAAACCCAGGCGTTATTGTCTAGCCAAAGCATCCACCTTTCACAGGAATATTCAACCCCTTCTCCATCTTTACTAAATCGATCTGTACTGAATTTAAAACAGTTGAATCTCTTAGTAAAGGTAAATCGATCGACGTGTGAAAAACTGCTACAGCTCCAGATAACGCTTGGTTCTTGGTATAATTTCCGTTTTTCTAAGCGTCACAGCGCAGACTATTAGCTTGATAACGCACGGTTTGACTCCGCAAGACAACTAATGCGCATTCAAATCACATAACTTTCGAACACTAATTCATTTATATTTATATCCCTTCTCCCAGAATCTATATAACTGTAATTTAGTTCCACCGATACGACGAAACGTTTATAAGGTCTGCGCACCTCTTATACAAGCTTTTGTCAATTCGACTTGAATAGTAAATAGACGTATCCATATTGGAGAGCCACACTCAGAAGTTACATAACTATTTATGAAGAATGAGAATGAAATTTGTATCTAGATATAAGTTTTACTGAATAATCAAAAACATAATACAGTAAACAGTACATATATAGGTATTATCCTAATCATCCAATTGACACAAACCGGCTACTCCTCTGTTAATCCAATGAGTTGATGATAAATCTGTATCAAATGTAGTATACATTACAAAATTTGTAGAATGTCCCGTTGTAGAGAGTACTCCCCGTCTTGCACTTGTCTTGTAAAGTGGACATATGTAAGCGGGACGTTCGACAAATTCGGCCTTTAGACCTGGTTTTAGCCACATAATGGGCACAACATCGAAGAGTATCTTCGGAAAGGATTCTTTGAGCATTTTTGAGACTCTATCCCATCTTGCACCTTCCAGGAATAAACCCTGCACAAAGAAATTCAATTAATATCGGCATAGGTACCTATGTCAAAAATTAAAAAATCATTCAGTATTAACACCAACTACCTACATTGATTATTATCTAATTACAATATCTACTAGGTAGGTACATATTCATGCTAAAATCTCATTCGGTTAAAGCTTACATCGAAAAACACACTGATTTCTTCTTGTTCCAAGACTTGCTGCATGTAATAGTTGCAATATTAATAATCATACCGATAATACTACTAAGAATCTTAATTTATAGATGTAGAGGTTCACTCGAAAAGTTCGTTTTCATTTGAGTTAAATTTCGCATTATTTTGATAAGTATTTATACCAATGGGATCAAAAAATGCACATTTTCATTTTTTTAACAGCTAAGCAAAGGATTTAATTGTTTTATATTTTCTGTCACATACTGTAGGAAAATCTAAATCAGTATTTTACTCACTTTGATATAGACACCTGTATCTGGTGCTTTACGGACGGTCGTTTCATATTCAGTAGTGAAATATTCAAACTGTATGAAATCAATGGGAATTTTCAACTTTCTCGAATAATTTTGCAAAACTCCCGTTAAAAATGACTGAGTGAAATAAAAACCGGAGAGCCAAAATACTAGCGGAGGTCCATTATCAATCCAGTCTTGTAAAAATTTTAATCTGTAACTAGTGAAAACAACACCAGTCCTAAACGTATGTGTATTCAAACCTAGCAATCAAGTCTGCGATGTAAGATCCGAGAGGCTTTAAGCTCGGATAACTTTTACTCATCCAAGACGCGGGTACCTTGCCTATAACCAGGGAGGTATGCGTCTCTTCCAGTTCTTTGTTCATCACGACGAGCCCTTTTACTGCTTTTACTACGTCTCTTAGAGTTCGTTGTACCACAAGGATTAATCTATTAAATCGTATCAGTTCCTACAATAACCAATTAAGTGTCAACTATCATGTATGCCTAGTTAACATGGGCTTAGTACTTGTCATTCGCACATTTTTTAACAATCTTGATATATAAACAAACACATTGCAAATGGGTTGCCTAAAAAATGAAGTCAAGACTACCCTTAATTAAAATTAATGTTTCTGTTTGCTTCTATCACATGGGTACACGCTCACACTCTCTTACACATGTTGCCTACATGTTTCCAATACACATTTCCCTCTCTCTCTCAGCTGCACCGTTCCGAGTGAAAGAGAAAGACGCATAACTGGCGTGGGAGGGCTGCACGTTCCCGATCCCTGATGTAAATCATTACTGGTCACTTATCACTACTCAGATTAGTGCTGAGCGATAAGTACTAAGCCCATAGAGCAGTGTTCACTTCATCAGTACCTGTCGCAAAACGGTATTCATCGAGTTCATATACATCACTGGATATTTTTCACTAATTGCCTCAACATCAAACGGATTGGGAACTTTTCCCAATATCTCTTTGACTAACTCGACTACTGTTCCTTCCGACACACCGCCACCTCCACCGGCAGTTATTTGCGTTTGCGTTAATAAGACCCCATTTAACAACTAAAACAATTAGTAGGAGTGCCCCAAAATTCTCAACCATTTTTTACCATTAACGTTTCTTGATTATCTTTCGTAATGTCCGCATTTTCGTGTAATCCGTACACTTCGGGTTGCTGTACAAGTGGAAGCGATCGAATATACGACACACAGCCTTCCCACGATGTGTCGGTTGGCACATAGTACAAATCGAGGGCAGAGAATTTGTACCTATGTGCAACAAAAGTTAGGGTTGATCAGATTATTATGTACACTACATACCCGGGGGTTGTAATTATGTCGGGACAGTAAAATATTGAAAGTAAGGAGTTTAGTAACCTTCTATCCTTATCATCTGTAACACGTCCGCCGTAATTACACTCTCCAGTTAAGTATGTGAGTGCATCAAACGGAACCTCGTCATATTCAGTTAGGAACATCTGAAAATCATAACAGTCGTTATCGGCATTGAGCATCTACTCAAAACCAAAATTGAAACTGAATTTTATAATCTCTCCTTGTACACTTCCGGCATCTGGTATAAAGAAAAATCCCTGCAATAATTTCAAACACTCTGTGACCTCGATTAACACCTGAAATAAATCTTGGAGAAAAATCGGACATGAAAACTCTACCTGGGTCGCACAATGGATTAGAATAAACACACAATTAATTGATTGATAATCGCAAAAATGTATTCCGAAACACATGAAAAATTTTTTTCAAAATCTCTGAAAAGAAAAGCGTACTAAGCTATTTGCACATATTACCCCGCACGCAAGCCGTCGACAATAATAGTTATTTATTATATAAGACGATAAAGGTGTGCTTAGTTTTCGTTTATCATCGTGTATAATACAAAACTTTAGTAGAAATCATTATAAAACTGAAAATTCTGCAGGTATTTAATTAAAGCCCAGTAGCCCTACTTGAACTGTACCTAAAGCTTAAGACGCAGCTTGAGCTCTAAGTCCGTTTTAAACTATTCCACTAGTCAAAAACATTACAGTAACAGTATAAAGACAGTGTGACCATAATGCCCCATGTTGGGCATGTTCCTTCTAATTTATCATTGAGCTGATTGGTTTAATTGAATTAGTAACGTTTAAGACTCGGACTTTAACCTCACAGGTGGCGAGTTCGTATCCCACAAATTGCCAGTTTTTAGTGGTACAGAATCTCCCCTCTATCATGCTTCGGAGGACATGTAAAGCTAGCGGTCCCCGCCATTGTTAATTATACAGACGGCTATTGATGCGACCAACTACCAATAGAAAATAACACCACTGTCTCTATAGAGTCACTGTAACAAACATTTCTCAAGCCCGCCTTAAATGTAAGACCCCAACATTCACAGTCGGTGGAGTAGGAGTCGGGCTTATCTAATTAAATGTTCAAAATGCGCCTGTATTTGCATCTGTCAACTGTCATCCTTACAACACTCGTATTATTTTGTTAAAAGTGGTGCTTAACTCGGAACTCAGCCTATTGTCTCCTAAGTCAGGTTGGTGCAACCGGGGATTAGACGTCCAAAAGTTATCCTGTCATTTCCATGGAAACAATATTGTCTTCTGTTCTGAACTTCATTTTATTTTGGGCACCGCGTCCAATTTTTGACAGGAATGGCAGATTTCATTGGAGTGCATAATGATTTGTTTCACTTTATTTACCCGTGCCGTTAAAGTGATCACTATCTACCCTTTTAGTGCCAAGGGTCACCTACTGTCAAATGCAAGCAATACACTTTGCTTTATGATGCAAACGCTATAAGTTGCATTGTAAACAATATAAACAATTCAATGTAAGTTTCGAATCTAAAATTTAATGGATATTCTAATGCGAAATTGAATTACCTATACGTTACACCAAAGTCTTACGCGCAACGATATAAACAATTGTCCAGAGAACGCAAACGTACCTAATTCAGTTCAAGTAAACATAAAATATAAACAAACTAAACTTTATCTTGAAGAGCTGGTGAAACATATGACGTCTAGACGCAGGTAAACGGTAAAGTTCCCAGCACAATTACGGAAAATGGAACGACGACAATGGCACGATTATTACAACGAAGGCCTCCTTCCGAATCTTACATCCTTTTAGCAGCAATCTGATTTGAATGCCCCTGCTTCATAAATACCGGTGTTTTAGTGAAAAATGTACGTACATGTAATGGCCGCCTTCTTTGTAAGCACGTGAATCGGAAAGTAAATAAGTCAACGTGTAGATTTATTGTTGATGTGTATGGAAAAGCACTTTTGGGACGATATTTGGCACTTTCTCCACTGAATGTTAGTAATTTGACGTCACATAAAAATATGCAAAGCACGATTAACTGCGAAACCGCACTTCCCGCCTAAGTTCGTTTAAATTTAAATTTAAAATATCCACTGTAACGTTTGCTACTGCAAATTCTATATACACGGTAGTTCAAAAATACATATTTAGGATTAGGTACCATCTCAATGTGTCTTAGCAACTTATCTAAATTGAACAATTCAACAGCAAACGAAAACTACGCAATTTCAAACAATTCTAAAAGGAAAAACAAACACTGAAAAACATATGCAAACGAAACGAACCAATTCTGTGCGTATTTCGAAAATAATCCCCAAGATTTACTTCATAAATTGAAATATTCTCACATACAGGATGCCCAGTCTGTATTTTTGGTGTTTAGGCCGAAATAACGTCTAAATGTTAACACAATACGTATATTAGTCACTAGAAGGGGGAGCTATGTGTATAACCTGAGAACAAAAGAACACATAGGGAATACATGTTACAAACCTGTAATTGTAGAACACATATACGCAAATCGGATTCATTAAATTCATATGGAATATTCCATCCTAGTGGTCCAAACTTCCGCCTTTCTTGAATAAGAGCATGAAAAAAGCATAAACCAAACAACATATTCTGAAACTCCCGCCATTTGGGGCAACTTTTGTAGAAGTCTGGATTGCACAATGGATCGGAACTGTAGGACTTTAGCAGATTTTGTCGAAGTCCCTTGGGCGCTTCATTGGTCATTTTAACTCCTGGAAGTAAACCATATCAATTCTGAACAATTAACGTCTTCTACCATTTTGTAAAATTGCAACAGGAAACGCCTTGCTTGGATAACTTGTCAACCACAAGCGGAAATGCGAATTTGTATTCTCAGGAATGATTAATTCATCACAAATCCTGTTGAGTTCCCCCATCCAACTTTCCGCCAAATGGCAATTCTGTAAAACCACCCACTGGCCGGTGACAAGTGCGCGATTTATCATACCAGATGCGATTGGGCCCTTCACATAACGTTGGCATTTCTTATTACTAAACTTTAACCCAACTTACTTGGCCTTGTCCCAATGAAACTGACATCACACTCGACTTTGGCAAACCACGGTCGCTTGCAAATTTCATAAGCCCGGACATGGGGTCCGAACCAGCCGATAACACAAATATTAACGGAGTACAGCAGTTACTATCGTTGTAAGACTCTTCTATATTAAATTGCGGTGGCTCCAAATACAATTGGCCCATATTGTCCACAATATATTGCTTAAAAAATACGTCATTTGGAAAAAACGCTTACGATAACCTACCGCTACAGCCGGGACGACTTTGTCTGGCCTTATACACCTAATCATGACCAGCCTTTGTAAGTCCGTCAGTCTATTTAACGGCGCCGGACACGGAATATCCTGAGGGCTAGACGAATCGTAGAACTGCTTCCAAGCTTTAACATCTTTTTGTACGGATTTTTGAAACTCTCCAAGACTGTGAGAACAAATTAATTTTGATTACAATGAGGGTCGACGTCTTTTACCTTTTTAAGTTACTCGCGCGCACCACCTCTGACCATGATTTATCGGACAACCATTCCGAAGCCGGATTAGGATGGGGATTATCTAATGCAACGCCTCCCGTTAAAAGAAAATTCCAACAATCTTCGTCAATTAAACCCTACAAGAGAATATTCAAACGAATGGCAGTACCTATAATGACGAAATTTGTGTATGAATTTTTATTGTACTACAAAACTTATTTTATAGCAAAAGTTCGAATTTATTTTAAACGACAAAAATAGCATGCTTAATAAGTCTCCCGTCTTTTCAATAGAAACAATATTGCATTTTGTTCTGAACTTTATTTCGTGCTCTGGGTCCCATATTTCTAACCAGAATGACAGATGTCATTACAATCTGCAATCATTTGTTTCTCTATGTCTACCCTTGCAGTTAAAGAGATCACTTTAACCAATCTTACTGCTAAAGAGAGACCTAGCCTACTCATTGAAAGCTATTAAAATACAATTTACATTTTTGACGGGGGACGTCGCATTCTTTAAGAGATGATTAGGAGAGATTCTGTCGTAAAATGTACCTTTGATCTTAAAATTCCAACCGTCAGTACCAATGAAAATATCAACTTATCCTTTTCGAACAATGATCGGCAAACATTTCTGTAAATACTGGTGGTAAAGTAGGAATTTAAATTATCCATCCTTTCAACCAGATTGTCCGCCTTTTTACTGTTGGTTATAGATTGATTATACAAATTAATAAACCAGCTTAAGGAGTATTGGTACATCGGATCAATATTCGCTAACTCGGTGATGCAAAAGAACAGCACAGAAGAGTGCTTCGAAACCGGAATGTATCCGTTACGAGCTTCGTCAATTTCTTTTTCGGTTACGGCCGCGATTTCTTGTTTGGCCTGGATTTCGGCCGAGAGAACTTTACTCGACGATAAGATTTTGATTGCGGTCTCATCTTCCAGAATGTTGCCCTCGGATGAGGATAAAACTTCCAAAATTTTGTCTTCGATTTCTTTTAGAAGTTTTTTGTTGGTCGCGCTTTCTATGATCATTTCATTCTTCTTCTCTTCAAGTTCCGGACGCTCACGTGCAACTACAATGCCGAGCAGTTGATCTTGGAGACCCTGAGGTGTAATCATGAAATTTAAAAGTGTGACCTGCAATAAATAGTTGAGAATGACCACACAGATGGATTTGTTTGTACCTTAACAGCTAACTCTGGCAGGTAGTGGGGGTTTCGTAGTTGTGTTGTGATGTAAAAACGGAAATCAAACGAGTACTCTAGTACGTTGTCCCCCAATTTCATGTAGTAGACACCTTGTTGCTTAAATATGTTTTTCACAAGAACAGGATCGAGAACAGCGTCTATTTCTTGCTGAATGTTTTCTAGCATCACAGGAGTGCCAAACGTTATAGCGTTTTCCAAAACGCGTACATAGTTGGAGTCCGTTAATTTAATAATTTGAATCTTGTTTTGTTTTTCCATATTTTTCACCCATTTATTCGCTTGACCTGAAATGATTGCTACGGTCACTAAACCATCCACATCTGTTATTAGGTACGAAAAATCTCGATAAACACTCTAATTTTATTAGTTTGAGAAACTCAGAAGCCTTGATCACTCCCACAATTCCAAAGAATTATTTAACAAATTCTGAATTAACGCCATTACATCATCCTGGGTTTGAATAGACAAATTTGACGTGAGAACTCATATCCTGGGTCGTAATCTGGGCTCGATTAAGCACAGAGCTAATCATTTGCAGACAAAGCAAATTTAAATGAGAAAGTCAAACAATAAAGCTGAAATAACAATAGGCACTCAGGGCCAGACGACAAATACCACGCACACACGCACGTTCCCACTTTTATGCATTGATTATAGGAGAAAAACGTAAGTTGCGCCTACTTGGGGTAGTGTTAATTTGCTATAGTTAGCGGGTACGTAGTTTTCTAATGTACGTAGAAGTTTCGTGAGAAATTCTCCTACGAATATTCCTTTAGCATAATTAATATGATATTAGTATCTATAGGGTCTTTAGCTAATTTAGGGAATCGTTTAATTTTTACGAGAAACTTTTCCACAGGTGTGGGAACTCGAGCAGCTTTTATTTAAGATTAATATACAGGGTGTTGATATAATTTAGGTTATATTTTAGATTTCCTGTACATAGTTTGCTATAGAGAACTTTCGCATGTAAGTATAATTCGTAATTCTCAGGAAGGTGATTTTAAAATTAAGTTATGATGTTGTCGGCTTGTAGTACAATGGGTTGTTTTATGTGGGGGCGTAAAATAGTTATTGAATTTGTTCTTGTATTGCCATAATTTTTTATTAATTTTAATTGATGTTCAAAGCATAACTGGTTTAAGAGCCAAAATAAAAGAGGTAAAACCAGTGTCGGACTGGACCCAAAAGGCCTACCGAGAAATGGGAACAAAAGGCCCACACTCTACCATTGTATATAATCTAAATTGAGGAATGCATTCTTGAAATCGATACGTTCCGTATTATTTTCTGTTTGTGCGAAGGGGCCCATCCCGGACCAGGACAGTCTGACACTGGGTAAAACCTCAGGTCTCCTACCGCTAAAGCGATTTTAGAACCCACTGGGAATGCGAATAAAAATTAAAAAACGAGATTCGGTAGGACGCGTTTTAGTGAGTTTCGTTACCTCCTCTGTTCGAAAATCTTGGCTAGTGTAACAGGTGTAAGTAATTGATTTAAATTTCAAATGAAAACTTTTTATTCCTAAGGAGTGTATGTAGGTATTGCTGTTATCCTATAACATTCGGGACACACAAAAAATAAATGCCCCACGTTGGGCGCCAAATAACAATGCCGTGTGCAATGGCCCGACCAAAATGAACCACACACTAAACACCTTAAACCTAGCTAGCTCTCCTATTAAAATTTTCCCAGGACACATTTGAATCCCCGCCCAATGAAAAATCAAATTCCTTAAACATTAATTAACCATGAGACATCTATCTGGATCGTTAAAGAGTTCGAATAAACACACGATTTACATGAATTAACACAGACAAAGTTTATTCTAACACACAAATCAAATTAATAACAAAAAAAGGGCTGTAACTTTTGAACTAGTAACCCAATCTTGGAACTGTTTAAAATTATGGATTCTACAGGCCACGTTCTATAAGAAAAATTTTTTTCCGGGACGATCTGAGACAATTTTTTCTTCGGGGCAAAAAAAGGCAGTGTATAACCTTCCTTTTTTAACAAAATCGACTACACCAAAATTTCTCGGGAAAACACTTTTTCTTATTAACACACCACGCACAAGCGTTCGATAACCTACTTACAGTTTTCTGTTGAAAATCCCAACAATCCGAAAAAAATCACTAATTGTGACAATAGAACTAATGCTCTCAGAATCTTGGCGCTACATTCTTTTATGTGTTTATCATATTAAGACGTTTGTGCATAAACGCGTGTGATGGTGTGAGGGGAGATATCAATGCGAGTATAGGAGCCCGTGAGTTGAGTGCGTGCAATTTTTAACGTTGTGAAATAAATAATTAAGCAAGAAACCCGTTTTGTTTTAGGGTCATAATAGGTAATCAGTTACAAGTGCAAACTAAATCGTGGACCTTAAAACATCAAATAGGTAATTCTGATTCAAAATCACATTTTGTTCACTGAATAAACCTGGGGTGTAAGTCGACCTCTTCAGGAATATACAAATGATTTCTAGCAAACATTATTTTTATACAAAATCCCTAAAAACGGCCGACTCCTATTTTTATACAATTCAAAAATTTAAAGGAACTTTTTCAGTTGGATTTCTCCTTTTGAAAGCAACAGCAATTTAGAAAATTGGATAGTGGAACGCCTTAGGCATTACGAATGGACCTCCCGTATTATTATATTGTTGAAAATTAATTTCGAAAGATGGTTGACGCAATTTGATTCAGGAATAAACCGTGCTTCAGGTTTACTGTGATTTAATTAGTTGAACCTTGAGATATCCATAGTAATAAATTACCGATCTTCCGCAATATCAAAAATGTACCCCTGTAACTTAGGGGTTTAACAGCAAAACAAAAGCTTGAATTAATTGTCATTATCCTTTTTACCGGTAGCCGTTGTCAGTAAATTTGTTGCATGCTATATTAAATTAGATGCACAGCTTTGATTAAAGAATGAGTTTATCGGCACCTTGGACCCAAACGCTTTCGTAGTAACAATTTACTTAAACGGCGAACATCCAAATATGCACCGAAACGAGTAAAGGTTTGCTTCCTTAGGGTACCCACACACGAGCCGCATTTTGCACACTACACCATCATATATCATATGAACCGCACGGCGACTACAACCTGACCTTATCCTATGGAAAAGGGGGACTGATAATTTCCTATTAAGGGCAATGTTACGCGTTGAAGCAAATTTTGGTGTGGCGGCCATATTCTTGGTGGGCAAAAAAATTCGTTTGGGTTTGCACCACACGACAGAATTGTGGCCACGTACCCTGTTCCACGCAGTTAACAACATTTTCGTGGTTGACTTGCTGTCCTATGAACCGCACTTGTAGTTAATGCCAGTACAACCTCACCACCTCCTATATTATTCTATATTTCATGATGTCAGATTCTAGTCATCAGCTTCAATATTATATGGATTCCTACGTCCTCGGCCGCGAGTTGACTGCAGATACGTATAGTACCTATAGTATATTTTGGGACTTCAATTTGGTGCGAAGCGACGGCAATTGTGTGGTCGGTCTGACTGCAAAATGCGGCTTGTGTACAGGCACCCTTATTAATACAGCAACGCTTCACAATATTAACATTTGAAAATTATAGCAAACGTCCATTCGTTCTTTCACGCAATCAAGTTCTCTTTCTGCGTAAAGCAGCCACGTATTATTAATTTACTTCTGCTGGCAGCCGCAGCCCATAGCGAATTTAGAAGGCGCCAGTTTTAATTAATAATGAAGTTTTACTAGATCTGTCTCTTTCACGTTCTAAATATGTAAATGTGCAAATATGCGATTGAAAAAATGTAGCGCTTGACCGGCATAGTAGATTCCCTTCAAAAATTTTAGTAGGAACCTCGCTCTCTCACCAGATTTTTACTTAAATATCTCGCTGCATCCATGTACACGATAATTCCCGTATTTTCACCACATGCTTGGCTTTTAGTACAATGGAACGAAGTTTAGGTCTGTGAGATCGTGGCAACAGTGTGACGTTTCGACTCTTATCTACTCGAACACTTGTTTCCTAGCTTAAAACTTCTGTTCTGTTCTCATTCATTATGAAGCGGTAGACGTATAAAATTTCCTATAGGTACCAGTAATTTTGTCAATTCGAAAATCTTTACAGCCTAAAGCGACCACCTGTTACAACCATCATTATTATAGCATCTGGTGCCAAATAAAACGTTCGCATAGCGTAGTTTACCAAATATCCTACCATAGAAAGGATATCACTTTTTAGGCCAAAATGAACGTGGAATAAGGCGATGTGTAATTTTCCGCGTCTCTACCGAATCGCATGAAAATTTAGATTTAGGTTCTACTTACTCTCCACTTCAAAGTTGAACTTGAGCCCAGGGGTGCTTTTTATTTTTTAGAGGAAAAAACTACCACTATTTAAAAAAAATCGTGTAATTATAAATTAAAGCGGGTAATTGATTCAAATCATCTTTTAAAGGAGTGAATAAATATCAATTAACATTAAACAACATAAATTAAGATTTTATCACAGTTTAACGCCTAAATCTTACCCCAAAAAATGGTTATAATTAAAACAATGTCATAAAATACTTTGACTCCACTGATTTGCATGGAAATTTGGATTTAGGTTATTCTTACCCTACACTTCAAAATTGGACTTGTGCCGTTGGTTGCTGTTTATTTTTTAGGGGTGGAATCCTACCCCTATTAATCATATAATTGTAAATTCAAGCAATTTGGGATTATTTAATTATACAGTAACATTAAATTTAGATTTCTTTGCTATTTTTATTTTTTACCACATAATTCTAACCTTATACAGACCAACCCTTGCGAAGAAATTCGAATAGTTGTAGTAATTTTTTTTCTTCATTGATACTATATGTATATACAGTAATTTTTTAATTAAAATTTTACGAATTTATTTTAATTCAATTAAAGAAACAACCCTTATTTTTTGAAATATACGTCCTAGGTCTCTAGATTTTCAATAACAAATAGAAAAAATAAAATAAATAAAATGTCTGTGCCTTAATAGCACATTATGTGTATCTTACAATGCTCTAGTAACTACACGCGTTTTGATGTATTTGATGTTATTGGTTTTTTAATCATAAATCGGTTAATTCAAATTAATTTTTTTTAACCCTTATTTTTGAAAGGGTTGCAGTTGAAAGGGCTCGAATGAGTCACTAATGACAAGTGTAGGTATGCAAACTTTGAACAGCCACACCTTAACCAATTTTTGTTTTACAGAAAAACAAAAAAAAAGCAAAACGTTCAGAAAAGCAAAAGCTACATTTTTTATGCTTGTAAATGTTTCGTATCACTAATACTTTTGAATTTTTCAAAATTTCAAAATTTTTTTTTATTTCAAAACTACATTTTTTCAAAAATATGCACTTTGTACCGGTCAAACTTACTGATCATATAAACAATACATAAATAAAGTAAACTGTAAAGCGGTAACGCTTAATTACAATTGGGGTGCTAATTAGGGGGTGATTTCCTCGATTTTTTTTACCAAAAAAAAGGGCCAACTTTATTTTGAGCGTAACTCACTTAGTTTTGATGCTAGGAACTTTTCTTCAAAACAAAAAGGAAGGTTTTTTCAAACACTTTAAAAAAGTATTCATAAGTTTTCCCCGAAAAGTGCTTCATTTTTTGGTTATTTCACGTTGAGGTACTCGATTTGGAATTTAACGAATGAGAAAACGTGTTTTTTTTTGTTGAATAATGAACATCTTCACTCGCAAATAACTCGAATACTATAGACTTAGTGAAAAAACTCTATAGAACAAAAGTTGCTTAGAATTACTGAATTTATCAATTTCCGGATTTGTTTTGAACGTATCTCCCCCCTCGAGAAGGGGTGGCATTCACCCCCCAAGTAAAGGCAACCCTGGGCTCAAGTTCACCTTTGAAGTAGAGGGTAAGAGTAACCTAAATCCAAATTTCCAAGCAAATCCGTCGAGGCGCGAAAAATTACACGCCAAAACGGTCATTTACTGGCCTATTTACCTTGGGGATCTATCATCAAGGGCCATCGTCTTGATTTGGTGGCAATTATTCCATTTTCGATACTAAAATTATCGACGGGTAGCCCCGCAATATTCCATGCGCGTATAATCACAGGCTCGCCTAGTGTAACTACCAAAGAAAAATTTGTGGCGCACGGTATTCCTAACTTTATTGCACTGGAGTTCCATTCTTTAACAATGGCAGTCCTGAAACGCTTACAAAATGAGTATTGCATCGGATTCACTACACGTACCTGTAATCAACAGTAAACGGACCTAAATAAGCCACTACACCTGCCGAAAGTATAACATCCCCAATCACGTTCCCGAGGAGTCCTTGCAAATAAGCGGCGGTTTCGGACCAACGCGTTTTTTCGCCACCTAAACCGCCAATTAATTGTTCGGCTCTTACAAGTTTTTGAGAGCACAGTTCAATCATATCCTCCAAATCCTTTTTTTTCTTTGTTTCCGCGGCAAATTCGTCGTTTAACGCTTGCAGCTTATCTAAGATCTATAAAAATGTGTAAAATTCAAACTAATTCAGTAAAAAAACCTACTTGTTTCAATTCGGCTCTTTTCGCGTTTAGAGTTTCCATTTGCATCGCCAGTTCCGATTCGGCGCCGCGAAGCTTCTCTTGCTTGGGAGCGACAATTTTAATGACGCGATCGTACACCTCCAATGCCCGAACCCACTTGCACAAACCTTCGCAGGCCGTCGAAACGTTCCTAATATTCGCAGGTTCGAAATCACGATCCGGTATGTACTTTTCCCTAATCCTTTTCATAATCGCCGGAGGAATGTTGTCTTTATCGTACGTCTTGAGGCTGTCCAGGAATTTCATGTCGGCCAATAGTTTTACGGAAGGGCCCCAGTAGTCCTCCACCATTTTGCCACTTGTCGGATCCGGCTTTCTGTCCGCTTTACTACCCTTCATGATACATATCTAAAGTTACGCAAGTGATTATATAATCCGTTAAATGTGCTATAATTTACAGCTTCCATGACGAGTTTAACGCCAGCTGGTGGATTTTTCATAGACTTTACAAGAGTAATATCTGCGGGTTTTAAGGTGTCTAGGGCTTCAACTGCGGCTTCCAGTGCAGGGATAGCTTCGGCTAAATCCGATTCGCAGTCATCTTTTATAGCTTGCGCGGCTGCGGCTGCTTCATTGGCTAGTGCCTCGTCGGCTCCTACAATCTAGCATATCAATTGTAGTCGGCAGGTAAGCAGTAAGACCTCACTTCTTTTTGTTTTTCCACTACAATAGTATCTTGCTCGATTTTTACCATAAGTTTTTCGGTGACCCCTGACGCAACGACCAGTTTAGGTTGTAGCGCATGCAGTTCTTCCTGCATGAGGCTAACTTGACCGGCTGCAAAATCAAGCTTGTCCAAACCGGTCTCGTATCTATATCACCAGTGTGTACAAATAGTTTAACTGTGTGGTACCTTACCGATTTCTTTGTAAAGTGATTTGGTCTACTTTTAAATAGTACAAACTTTTAAATGTCTGTATCAATTCTAAGTAAGACGTAGGTGTGACATAAGTGCGACGCTGCAAGTCCTCGTAAAACTTATCCGAAGCTACTTCGATGGCGGTATGAAAATGTTTACAAATTTCAACACACTTCTCTATCATCTCCATCTGAATGTCGGTTTGTTGTAGAAACATTTTCGCAACACGCTCTAATGCATCGTCTGGCCACTTCATAAACCTAAAGCAGAAATTATAGTAGGTAGACTAAGAAACTAGTACGTAAGTTACCAGTCAATGGTGCAACAGTTTATAAGTGACGGGAACATTCTGCACCGCACACGAAAACTGCCACCAATGGGACTCATAGCCAACGCGACATGCAAATTATTTCTAATCCGTTCGATAAAAAAATTGTATAACGCCAAAGGTGTGTTATCGACTTTTTTGCCCTGGAATTTTTCCGTTAAAGAGCTCATCTTAAATTAAACGAATCACGTACAGTTTCTCTGGCGGCCGTCTGCATCTTCTCCAGTATTTCGACTTTCTCATCGGCCGCGTACAAGTTAGGAACATCTCCAGTGTTGAGTATCATATTGATGTCCTCCGTAAACGCCTCCTGTTTAATCTGCGTGTCGGCAAACAAGAAAATGATGGGCTTCCCCTCTCCGCCGGCTTTCAACAGTAATTTTTTTAAATCGTCTCTCCATTCGGAAACACCGTAAGTCTTAGATATTTCAATCTACAATTAAAAGTACGTTTAGTTGACCATCGTTTCCATGATTTACTTAAATCTGTTGGCGTTAGCGCATATCAATAAAAGAAAACAATATGTAGGGGGACCTACCTGTTATATATATTTAAAATTACATCATAATTGCGCTGGAAAAAAAGAGTATCCTAGTTACGAAAATAGCAAGTAGAAAAATTGTCAATAAATTAAGTTTGTTCCGTTCTGTTCCATTCATATAAATCAGAATCCACGAAATACAAATATAACAAGTGGCGACGAGGATAAGGAAGAATATTACAAAGTACAATGAATACCACACCTACAAATACAGTACAGCAGTCATTGAATACAGTACAACATTCATTTATAATTGAAGCGTTCAACCCAAGTACAACATCATGGGCCAGGTGGGTAAAACGTCTAGAAGGTGCTTTCAAGGTATTTAATACTACGGATGATATGAAAGTGTACTACATATTACACTACATGGGTGCGAGTACGTATGACATCCTCGCAGACAAATTATCTCCGGTGGAACCAGAAAGTAAAACGTATATAGAAATTATACAGACGTTGGAACATTTCTACTCACCATCGCCGTTAGAAGTAGCCGAAATATTTAGATTTCAATCTCGTAAACAAGTAGAAGGTGAGTCGATCCAAGAATATTGTCATGCATTACAAAAATTAAGCATCAATTGCAAATTTGGTAATTATTTGAATAACGCTGTAAGGAATCAGTTAGTGTTCGGGCTTCAATCAAAAAGAATACAAACTAGACTACTAGAAACAAAGGACCTGACTTTAGAAAAAGCCATGGAAGTCGCTAGCAGCATGGAAATTACCGAAAAAGATATACAGCAGTTACAACACAAAGGTACAAATGTGCATGCCATCAATTACAATTTCAAGAAGGATACAAAAAATACACACAAGGGAGAAGATACAAGTGCAGCCGCGAAGAAGACCAATTTTCAGGAAAAGAAGAAAATCAATACAGGAAATTTTAATTCTAATACTAATATACATTGTTTTAGATGCGGAGGCAATCATTTTGCCAACAAATGTAAACTAAACAGGAATATCACATGTACATCCTGTGGTGTAAAAGGTCATTTGAGAAAGGTTTGCATGAAGGATAAACAGGTAAATAATGTAGAGGAAATTTTACAAATTACATCGGAATCTACTGAGTACAGAAAGAAATATTCAATTACGTTAAAGCTTCAAAATAAATCAGTAAATTTCGAAGTTGATAGCGGTTCAGCCGTTACGCTTATAAGTCAGCAGTGTTACAGAAAATTGTTTGCTACACATGCTCTTCAATGTACAGATTTAAAGCTATTCTCATATTGTGAAATGCCTGTACAATTAATTGGATATATTACAGTGAACGTTCAATACAATCACCAAAAGTACGATTTGAATTGCTATGTTACAAAACTAGATAGACAACCACTATTGGGTCGCGAATGGATCAGACAGTTAAATTTGTTACAAATAAACAATATTTTACAAATTTCATCCAAAGTAGAAATAGGGTGGAATGATTTATGTAAATGTTCCTCGTATGACAACCCTGTAACTTTAATATCATCTATAAAAACAGTAACACCTGGAATAGCGAGGGAAGTGTTATATATATTTAAAATTACATCATAATTGCGCTGGAAAAAAAGAGTATCCTAGTTACGAAAATAGCAAGTAGAAAAATTGTCAATAAATTAAGTTTGTTCCGTTCTGTTCCATTCATATAAATCAGAATCCACGAAATACAAATATAACACTACCGAAAAATTGTATATATACTACTAGGGGAAAGTCGGGTAGCACAGGATACTTAGGCTTTTTATTTTTTTAACGAAAATGGAAAAAGACACTAAAACGGACTATTCATGTAATAGTAGAAACTTACAAAGTAATATTTTAAATAAAGTACCTAATTTAAAAATTTGGAAAAGTTTTTGGTATTTAAAAGACACCTCTAGTATTTATTGCAGTATTAAAACTGGAGGGTAACCCGGGACAGCTAAGGAATGCAAGGAAATTGAGAAGTAAAACTTTATTTTAACAAAATTATAAACTGAAACCCGTTTTTAAAATAAAAACAATAATAATAATGAGTTTTACATAAATCGCAGACATAAAAATGGGATGTGTCCTCAACATCCGCGCATTCTTCGTGGGCCAATTTTTGACATTTGATCAAATCCTCATCGAATGTCTCGTGACATTATACAAGCATGTAGTCGTGATTGTCTTCTCTCTTTATTTTCGTCTATCACTTTTTTTTATCTTACAACCTGTAGTTCTTTTGATTTTATTTGTTGTGTTATTTCTTTTCTTCTTTTGTAGTTTATTTTCTTCGAGTATCTTTCAAACTTTTTTGCCCTCTTTGGCTCTTTGCTCTTCCAACTTTTCTTCTAGACGGTTTTTAAGGGGAGTTGAGGTTACATCTTGTCCCCCGATACCCGAATTTATGCTGTCCCTGGCTACCCGATGTATCTATCAAAATTATTAAACCAAAGCCTACTTGGATACTAGCTAAAAAAACATAATTACTGTAATGGTCATGGGTTTCTACAGTACTTCAACTATAATTAATTAAAACTTGGTAGAAGCATTGTTTAAATACTTTATTTAAACAATGGCAGAAGTAAATTAACTTACTTGAATAGTTAGAAATTTCCACTCAAAGTTTTACTTAAAACAAACAATCTCTCACCAAAAACGACAAAATGCGTATATTGCAATTTCACATGTACCTAACTGGTGAAATCCTACACAATCAGTGCCGATGATCTGCCATTGACCTGCGCACTTGCCTGTTGTGTTTTGCTCCTACTACACAACCTATAGAAACGTTTTTTCCTAACGTGCCCCGTGCTACCCCATGTCCCAATGAAATAATCGTGATACCAAATAATTACTTTATAGTTTCGCAAAATTGCTCTATACTCTTATTCATTTTAAGAAGGTAGCGGTAGAAATCATAGGGAAGCTTTGACGGTCTCTGTGATTGGTTAAACCACGAGTCTGTATTACGCCGACAAATAAAATGTGTGACCAATTTTGTTATGTTAGTAGTTTCGGTTACGAACTAAACTGTCGAACTGACATTATAGATGTCAATTTCAATGATCCAAACGTGAAATCTTTTGATTTATATTCATATTTTTCAAATTTGGTGCCGTTTTATATTTATCCTGTGTGTGTCTATCTTTAAACACAGCGCCATCTACTACCTTCTTATAATGAATGCAGTATAGACAACTTCTGCAATGACGTTCAAAACAACCAAACAATGAATATCTTTATTCATTGCAACCAAAGTAAGTAAAAAAAAAGTGGACAACCCAGAAACTGTAAAAAAACTTACAAATAATGTGCTCCAATTACAAATATAGTATTAGCAACATGTCCTAGAATGAAGGTACCTACAGCAGTAGCCAAGTCAATCTACTACCAAAATCGCCAATTAAAAATAAAAAAAAACTTATAGACATGAAATTTGACCTAAAATGTACTTTAGATCTTTCTCCCATATGTGGGGGGTGCACAACAGACCGCCATTTTGGATTTTGTCATTATTTTTCCGGTATCTCCTCAATATCTCAAAAACTATCTTTAAATAAAGGCTTATTAAATTTAATGCCTAGAATATATCTTTATGATGATTTTTATTGTGTTCTTCTAATACAGCAGCTCCTCCTTCTTTAAATTTAATCTATTTCATAAACATTTATATGTACAATATGAAAGCTCATTACATTTCCTACAAAAAACGTATAGCAAGCTAGCAGGGCAGTCAACTTTGGTTATGCATGCGTCTTGCAAAAAGAACTACACAAGAAAGACCTCTATTGAGGCATGCCTGAAGTAAAAAGATGAACCATCGGCACCGGGCTCCATGTTGGGGTCGAGTCAGCAGTCATTTGACTTTAAGCACATATGCCTTTATTGTTGTGCACGAATTGATGATGCGTTTCTCGCAAAACAATCGAAGAGAGATAAAGTTCGGGCAGTGGGTATCACAACTCATCACCCAAATTATTTCCATCAAATCAACATTAAGTCTCAGCTTTTACAAATTTCATCCCTGTTTTACAACCCAACCGCACCACACCATAGAGGTGTCGAGAAAATGTTTTTGGCATTGTACAGAGCGTCGCTTATTCTCCCCCCTCCCCTCCCCCAACTACCGGTGCAGTGATGCAGCATGGTGAGACGATTTACCACCAGATCCAGTTGTGGGTGGGGAACTCTCTGGGAAGAAGTATCGCCAGCGCTGGACCCTACTTTATATTGAACATGATATGTTCCTCATGCAAGAGAGGGTGCGGACCAGGATGTGGCTGTCGGAAGGCAGGCGTCACATGCTCGGTCGCTTGCCCTGAACGCAATGGGGGTGTGTCCAGTGCCCCTTGTAGAGAAGTTGTCAGACTACGAGCTTGATGAATGAAATGTGTATTTATATTTCGGTTTTGTTTTTATGTTTATTATAGTTATTATTCATTTATTCAGTAGGTATATTTAGTTATATAATTATATGCTCATTTGCTCAATTTCAAATTTCATGATGCGCTTGTTCCCCCTCTTCGTACACACCATACGTACTATAGGCAGTAAATAATAACAGAGATTGATGATAACATAAGAAAAACACGATTTAAGAGACCCATATATCAATAATGGAGGATAAATTTAAGTGCAGTTTACGTTATGTGATTTTTCTTACGATTTCTCTTGCGAGTTGTCATGTTTTCGGGTCCGATCATACTTAGGTATTCTTTTTTTTTGTTTTCTTAAATTAAGTATAGGTACATATTTAAAGGTGTGTAAAATGATTTATAATTTGAGCCCTACAACTTAGGGTAAATAAGTTTTTTTAAATTATATATATATATATAGGTATATCATACTTAAGTATTCGTCATTTTATCATTTTTAAGGATAACTAGATCGAAATGAAAATAATTGAAAAATCTTGGTATTTTGGCTATGGTACATTAAAAACAATAAAAACTGTTGTAGAGAATTTAATAATCTGTCATATGATGTAATAATATACAGGGCGTTCCATATGAAAAAATCACATTTTTGTTATTATTTGAAAATTGCGATGTTGTTTTGGTTTTTTAATTGCAGATTTGGATTCACTAGCAACCAATAAGTACACAATTTAACCGTCTTTCTAACTCTACAGCTAAGAAAGTTGAAATAGTGCCGACTTAATTTGAAACATACTGTATAATGATGAATAAAAATTTATATTCAAAGCTAAGTGGTAATGAAAAATTGATAGTTTTCAATATATTGAGGAAAAACGGAAACAAGTGAAATTCAGGCGGCCTGTTGCGCACCCCCACGTATGGGCATTTTAGATGTGTTCAAGGAGAAGGTACAAACATATTGTATCTTGTACTAATGACGCTACGGCCTGAAGATGGTATTGCTTAACGTACCGAAATCGATAGCCTATACAGAAAAATAAAAACCTATTAGCTCGACTGCACTTCCTGTGTGTTTTTTAACCTCGTACAAACAACACTTTTTACCAAATTTCAAAACTAAGTTTTATTGAAGTTGAACAAACTCAAAAAATGATTTCAAAATAGTCTTCAAAATGGCGGATATTAACAAATGAATAGGTAGTAATTTTTTTAAATAAATGGACGTAATATTATATCGTTTTTTGCTAACCAAAGGGTAATGCAATTATATTAAACTCGAAACGAATACGTAATTTCCAGAAAAACTATTCGATTTCTCAGATTATTCAAACGCATTGTTGGAATTATGCATAATTTTTTTGAACAAATCAAATGATAGGTACTTATAATTACTTATTAATTTAAAAAAATTCCAATCCTAGGATATACACTGTGTCCAAAATAAGGATGTCTATCATGGGGACCTCGGAAACCAAAAAAAGATTTGTTATTTGAACAGATACAAAAAAATAAAAAACACTTTCTCATTGCCATTACTTGAGTTTTAAAATACAGGGTTGAAAGGTTTCGTTTTGCAGAAATCATCATTAATTTTATTTTTGTATATTGCCTGTAAAAAAAAGTACATACTGTATTGAGTAGAACTTTTTATACAAATACAACGATGTAGGTCACACAAATAAAACAAAAGTGGTAAACTGGTGGTTTCAACAGGATGGAGTACCCGCTCACAACACCCTAATTTTGTCAGAACACCTACTGGAGAAATTTTCCATTTTCCAGTAAATCTGCCCGACAGGTACCTAGTGTTGCAACAGTTACATAACTTTCATTATCTACATTAATATGTTACTTGCCTAAATTTTTAAATAGATCCAGATCATAAACATACGAGAGTCATATGTCTATAATACAGTTACAGATGCAGTTATCTTCCATCCAAAATTCTAAAATTGAAATAAAAGGGCATTTTAATGAGACAAAAAAAAATATTATATTTAATTTTTGCAGGAGAAGCCTCACTAAAAATCCTTTGTGTTTTGTAGTGGCATATGGCATTTCGTGAGTAGGGGTGCGAGACTGGACTGCGAGTTTACTGTATAGAACAATCTTATCTTTTAATTATTATAGTATTTGTAAAGTTCTCGCAATAAAATCTACCTAACTAACAGTATCGCCTTTGCTCATGTTTTTGCCATTGAAATAATGCTCTTGGTATTTTTTCCAACGATCTTGGTGCATAAATAACACGCACAACATATTTACTCGAACTTCAGGGTAGTAAAATGTATCTCAGCGTTAGTTACATACTTACTTGAAATTTGTAAATTAGTTATTCGCTTAGGGTATAACTAGTTACACAAAAAGTATCTAGATGCATGTAACTAGATACATTACAACACTTTCGATAGGTATTCTCGCACAATTACGGCGTTATGCGCGGGTGCACCATCCTGTTGAAACTTTGGTTTTCTTGTGTGCCGTACATTGTTGTATTCGTAATAAAAAATGCTACTCAATACAGTATGTAATTTTTTTTAAGGGCCATATAAACAAATGAAGCTGATGATGATTTCTCTGAAACGAAAAGTTCCCTTAAAAATCTCTCAACGCTGTCATGTAGAGCGCAACTAGTGGCAATTAGAAAGTGTTTTTCTTATTTTTTTGTATCTGTTCAAATAACATCAGAAAAAATTAAAACAAAATCCACAAATTTCGTTTTTATGTGTTTTTTAGAAGTGCCCCTGCCTCTGCAGGTCTTAAGTTGTTCTATAATCCTCCTATTTTACCTTACGAATTGGGAAAACTGCAGGAAAACCTAATTCGGAGTAGCCGGCAGATTGCTCGAAACTGATCTAAGGAAATTCCCATCTCTGCCACAGATGAAAAATTCTTACCTTAGCCCAGGTTTGAACACCTGACCTCCCGGCTATATAGCTCAACGCTCTACCACTCAGCTACACAATCCGTTTCAAAGATCCCCATGATAGACATCTTGGACACAGTGTATAGGTACCTATATTCTATTTTTACAATTAAAAAAATTAGGAATAAAATTTCATATTCAACATTGTTGGTTTTATAACATGTGCTTAAAGTGATTGAATAATATTTTTCCAAACACTTTTAACTATCTACTTATTACGTATATACAAAAATACCTCAATTGGTATCTATGTGATACGCATAGGCGAGCAATACCTCAAATAAATTGTATTCCGCCATCGCAGCCGCCAATTTAACCGCGGAATGTCGGCCGGAACCTCCAATACCAACCAGAAGCACGTTCCCATTATCCTGCATTAAAACGCGCGAAACTCTGGAGACATGCTCTATTGCAAATTTGAACATAACAAGATGCATGGGCGACCTAGAAATCATGTTGTATTCTCCCAAGTAGAAATTCATCTTTTCAACTAAATCCTCTAGATCGGCGACCTTGCAAAAACATTGTTAATTATAAATTGTGCGATTCGAATACAACTTCATCATAAATTTTAGGATCGGCATCTGGGTTCATGTAGTTTCCAAAGAATAAGTTACGAGCAGTATCGACAGATAACTTCTCGCCTTCCGGTATCCAAATTGCCATTACCTTTTCCATGTGTTGCCTGTAGACGTTATAACTCGTGTTTTTGACAATGTCGAAAAAAGTTTTCCTTGTGTTAAAAATCAATTAGGCCGAGACAAAAAGATAATAGGAAACCTACTTGTCACCATCATCGATTAGCCTGTCGTTAAACACTCGATAACTTTCGTGTATCCACAATCGGATTAGTTTATCAACATCGGTCATGACGGACGAAGGAACCAAAAGCATTCCACCGATCACCCTTGAGAAATCGCGCAAGGAAAATGTGTAATGGGATTTCAAAGGTGTCGGTAGAAACTTTTCCATTGCGGCTTTGTAAATCTCCATTGTTGCATTCACAATGTTCTAAAAATGACATATTGATTCATTGAATTTCGGATTCAATCGACAAACTTTAATTTGACGACAAATTGAATCCTCAAAGCCCTTAGCAAAGTGCCATTCCAGGATTGTACTGAATATTTTCGATAATGTCTCGTCCCCGAAAGTGTCCAGGCATATGATGTTCATATGGCGCAGAAAACGGGACGTGACCATGTTTGTGCCGCCACCCGGCGGTCCCATCGCACCCACAAAGTGCTGTGAACACTTGCGTAACATACTCACGAATGAAAGTACCGGGTGACCCAATAAGACTGTTCCTCGGCCATACCTCGGGAACCGGAACCGGAAAATATTTTCAAGTTCTAAAAATGACCACCAGAGGGCGTAACTGCCATCTTAAATTTTAAAATTGCATTTTCTTTAAATTTCGTATAATAAACTAAACATTATTTTTTTACATTTTTTATCTATCATTTTCTTAAAAACAAAAACTCAGTTATTTCAAAAACCAAGATGGTGTGGGACGTTCAATTGTTTTTGCAATATCCTGGTTTAACTTCTTAACCGTTTGACCGATTTTAAGAAATTTGGTATGGTTGAAAAGAGCATTCCTTGGGCAATGAGAATCAACCAAAATATAGTTAATTTAGTTGAATCCTTCTCCGCCAGGGGGCTAGTTTTGACACTATGATACAAAATCCTAAAAAAATCAAATGGAATGATATAACTTTTTCTTTATGAAAAAGTAGCCAAATAACACCCAAAGAGGCCAGTGTTTCAAAATCTCGTGCCTAACCTCAACAGCCTTATTGGGTCACCCGGTACATGTTGACTTACAATGTCCACTAGATAAAGAGATGATGTGTCCGCTTCAAACCAATACCCGTGATCAATTAACTGGCGCAGCAACTCAACAGGTGGTTGCGCTCCCCACTGTTCCTTTTGCGGCATTCCGACGTCGTCAACAAATAAAATACATTTTTTACCCATCGCCGGACCATAGACCCCTCTTCGCCGCTTATCCAACTTTGACATTACAATTTCTTGTGTCTGAAAAAATAGAATAACAGTAACGATACAAAATTCGTAACTGAGTACCCAAAATAGAGGCTGAATTTGCGTTTTTACAGTGTGTCAATTTCAATACTCAGAAATGCTCAAATTCGTATCGAGAAAAGGTCGGGGGCCTCATAAACCCCAAAAAAAATCGAAATGGAACCCCCATTATTGGAAAACTTTTCAAAAATTCTTTTCGACGGTGCCAAAATCACCACATTGCAGTTAATAAATGCTCCAAATGGAAAATCTCAAGAATCTTCAGAAAGTGGGATTCTTGCTTGCACTGTTGCCTGAGTGAAACAAAAAAGGATTAATTAATCAATGCGAAATAATAACACAATTCATGTTGGTGACGATGGGTATTTAATTCAATTCAACTTCTGGGGTGTTACAACTCCCTGCTCCCAAGAGGAAAGCGAAGCTTAAAAAAAAGGAAGATAGAGATTAGAGACACAAACGAGATAGAGAAGAAAATATAATGGTGAAGGAACTAAAATACAAAATCCCATCATACTCAAAATTGCTGAATAAATGAAACAATCCAAGAAAAATTCCCATAGAAAGAAAAATCCCACCGCAAGTACCTAGACCTAGACTGTAGAAAAAAAAACCTCAAAGAAAAGACAAGAAAAGAGAGTGAAGGGCTCAGATGATGGAGCGAAACTTGCGCCCAAAAAGAAATAAAAGCTGTGAACGTAGGCTTCCATCAGCCCTGCCATTCTCAACCAACCGACCGAAGCCCCCACGTTGGGCGCCAAAATTCTTGCCACAAAACAAAAAAAGAAAAGGGAAAGGAACAATAATACAAAAGAATAAAGACTTCTGGCTTGCCAGTTAATTGGTCGGTTTGGGTCGAGGTTTACAAAAAGGGTTTTCAAGTAATAGGTAGGGCGCCAAAAAAAATGCGGGAGACATATTTAGAATCCTCTACGTTCTTATACAACGGAACTCTCGCACAGGGTTCGTGTAATGTGTGTGCTGGTGTGAGTCGTTTGTAGAGTTGCGGGTGAGAGTCGAGTGTGGGTTCGTATAGTGAATGGGTCGCTTAAAAGGATGGATTATTGCAATTTGGACACGTTCGAACAGTATAGTCACTTTTTCAGCAGTGATAACACAACAACTTGCTCGGATAGGTACTATCTTAGATGGTATGACCCATTCCTTGGCAATTCCAACAAATAACTTGTGGATTTCGTGTACGTAGTTCTTAATAGGATTATTCAATAATTAGCCCCCACCTCCAATGATTCCAGAACGGATCCCCACCTGAGTAGAAAATAAATTGTTACGAGGGCAAGGCGCGAGGCGGGAAACGTCCCCTCGGAACGGTTTTGAGCGGTTATTTCGTCGTTTCAACTGGCCTCTGTAACGGGAGCCCTTGAATGCGGTTAATTTTTTTATTTGGTAGGGTTGCGAGTTGAATTTCGTTAGGGTTACGCGTTTTTTTGTTAATAAGCATTAGAGAGTATACTGGGTGGTTCTATTAAAGGGTTTTTAATAAAATTTGTGATCTACATTTTACAGATCATAGACCTTCATGAGAATTACTAAAACGGCCGTGGATTCTGAACGTAACTTACTTAGTCCCCACTCTCTTTTCAATTTTTCAGAACGCCCCCAAAATGGAGCTAATTACTTAAATCAGCCATCTTTAATCATTTGATTCGTTTACGCGCGCGTTAGATCAATACAATAATAATAATAGTCCTTATAGGAGAAGAATAACGGCTATTATTATTGTATTGATCGAACGCGCGCGTAAACAAATCAAATGATTAAAGATGGCTGATTTAAGTAATTAGCGCCATTTTGGGGCGTGCTGAAAAATTGAAAAGAGAGTGGGGACTAAGTAAGTTCGGTTCAGAAATAAGAAGGACCACCAGAGAGTAAGCTCTAATAGAAATACAAAACTTAAAACCTCCACTGGTAAAAAAAAACTTTGAACAACTTGTACATTCACACGTAGTTTTGTATTATTATTAGATCGGAGTATTTAACATAATTCTTGATAGAGAATGTCTGCCAATGGGTAATGTAATGAGGGAAACTGAAATATTGCAGAAAAATAGTATAAAATTAGTACGACTATATGGCGGACTTTTGAGAAAACACAAAAATTAGAATATCTCAATAACTCATCACATTCGTATAAGGCATGTTTGGTTAAAACAACTGCAAATGACCTCCAATACATATATGTTTATGAACCAGTCACCCTGTATAAGTAAGTAGCGTAAAATACAAACCATTGCCGACGACGTTCTCGCGCTAAAATTGATAACGTTTGGTAAGAATTTATCCTTGGGCAGTCCTATCAAGTGATCCAAAACAATGGCGGATTTTCCGGTGCCTGTTGGACCGACAAACAAGATAGGTAACTGATTGGCTAAGCATAATCGTAGGAAATACTTTTGACAGAGCGACTCATTTGTTTGTATTATAAGCTCCGACATCTAAAAGTCAACATTGAGATTGAAAAAATGTTCAAATTTTGATACCTTAGCATTGGGAGAAATGGAAAGTGCCTTGTCCATGGTTTCCGTCCATGTGATCCATGCACCATTGCTTTTCTTATCGAAAACCCAGTCAAAAATGATGTACCGCTCGGGGAATAGCTGATTCTTTTGTAGTTTAAATGATTTCGGTTTGGGATGACTCTTATCCTCTCCGTAGATTAGTTTGCGAAAAAAGACGTCAAATGAAATGCGTCCTTGAGACGTCAACGTTGAGCCCAAGCCCCACACAATACAAAAGACAATCGCCGTCTGTAACCAAATGGTACTAATCTGTTGTTCCTCGACCAGAAGACTGCTCAGTAGCCGAGAAAAAGACTAAAACTTGATGTATACATTGTAATACTTCACTAGCTTGTACCTACGTGAAATAAATGCATATCTGAAACAATCACAAAGTATTTGCAATGATGAAAGATAAAATCGAAACATGGTGGAATTAACCATTCGATCATCTCCTGTACTATTTCCAACTGCTCGGGTACTAGGGTCTTCTCGAGTTTTGCAAGGTATGAATCTTTGAATGCAATCCAGCCCAACAAACGGGGCTCCATATATATCATTCCGCATCGAGACACTGTTGCTGGAGATGCTTGTTCTAAATCGGCTGGCTCGAATATCAAATTCATTTTATTAGACATCTGCAACATTTCCAAGTTAAAAGGCGAGAATTTTACCCAGAACACATTACCGAGATTATTTCCCCAGACATTAAACATAACTTTTTATTGTCATCTAAAACAGTGTTCATATTTTCTATCCACACTGCATCTACGGGACCATCAAACAAAATCCATTTGCGATCTGTGGTTATGGACGATGCGTAGTCCCTAAACGTTGTGGCTAAAACGCCATCTGACCACTCATGCGAGGCCGGATCAAACTGGCCGTAAAGTTGACCCATTGAAATTGCCTTCGGATTAATAATACGAAACATCACCCTGTACTCTTTCAATTTGGCTCCCTTAATTTGACCTAACGCGCCCAAGGCTTCGCCCAAAGACTGATAGGAGCAGGTCTTTCCGGCCAGCGGCTCGCCCACAACCATAAGACCGTGCCTAACCAAGATCATTTCGTAAATTTGAATGCATTTCTCAATAAACCAGGGGGTCCCTTGAAGCACTCGCTTTTCTAGTTCCTTCACAAGGCATTCGATTAATTCGCCTCTTTCGAAATTTGGCACTTCGACGCCCGGAAATAAATCGGAGAATATACCCTCGAAAAGGGGGACGTCCTTTAAAAATAGGGACGATATTAAAGGACCACACCATACTCAATATCTTACTTGTGCTAGAAATTTTGGCAAATTTACATCGATAATGGCACGTAACACTAATTGCGATTCTTGAAATCCGGGGTAATTCTTCTTTAAAGCGCCCGCTGCCAATAAAACAGATTTGACGGCTCTCATTCCGTAATCGTAGTGATTCTGAGATGATAATTGTTCCGAGCACAGTTTGTAGGTGTGCACAATTTTTTGGGCCAAGCTGTAATAGGTACGTTATTACAGTCTCGTAATTTAGTTAAAGCGAACAAGATACCTTGACGCCATCACGAAGCCGTACGAGTACAACGAAATTTCGCCAATCATTGCGTAATCCGGAACCATCATCGCCACAGTTCGGAACAGCACCTTCAAATTATCCGGCAATTCTTGTCGTCCAGCATACCTATACAATACACAAATTAACGAAAGCAAGTTAAAGGTCTCTGATGCGCTATCACGAGACTTGAGCGCATTTTTGATGTGGATTGAGTAATTTTGTTTTGATTACTTCCGTGGTGATTGAATGAAATTTTCGATACAGAACCATTATATTCATTATAAGTATACCTATATATCTAGAGTGTTAAAGCTAGTCAGCAAAGAAACAGAATTAGCTGAAAATAGTCGGTCTCACTCTCAACTTAAAAGTTGCCACGGAGCTAGTTAAAAGGACATAGGATAGATATAGGTTGGGGTAAGTGGGGAATTGACAAAGTAACAACACCCTTCAAATGTTACAAATTTGAACACGTTGCAGCTACAGTGACTTAATTTAGAACAGTGTCGATAACAGGGTATCTCGTTTTTGATTGGTCATTGGTTCTGGTCGCCATATTGGAGCAAAATTCCAAACAGGCCAATAGAAAGCCTCTCAAACGAAGCGGTCACTCCGTGCTATAATTTATTAATTATACTATTTTGACAGTTCACGCTTCACGGCTTAATGTTACTAGTTTACACTTTGCTTCTTGTATTTGCTTTGTTTTACGTTTTCCGTCTCCAGTTTTATATAAACTCGTATTTTTTAAGATGCATATAGCTTGGATTTACGATATTATAAGGTAATTGGCTTAAAGTGTTTTTAGATGTACTACAACTGTACCTAACCTTACTAGTCAACTAGTGGTAATTAATGTAAAAATTGTTTCAGAAGTCCTAAATCATGAGTCTAGATAGAAAACTTGTTAGAGAAGCATCTTATACCAAATTTACCAGCAAAGTAAATTGTCGTTATGGATAACGTTATTCATAACGACAATTTACTTTGCTGGTACGCAGTTGTGATCATAAATATACGCTTGAATTGGTTTAAAGTTTAATATTGATGATTGCTGAAGCACAAGGAATATTGCTTTTTTGTAATCCGTGAAATAAATCAATGTGGGTTCCCCATAGATTGTTCTGCAAAGTTTTAGACGATCATTTTTGCACCGTTAGTTTTAAACAAGAATCTTTAAATGCAACTGCCATATATTATTCTATACCGTCACAATTTGACATGACACGGTATATTGATCCTGTAATCAAACCATTTTTTAGCTCCAATATGGCTGATTATGATAAGTTGTCGCCACTGTCCTAATACAGTCACTGTAGTTGCAGCTACCTCCAAATTACAGAAGGCGGAGGGGGTTGCTTCAATTGCGGAGAAAAGGGTCATAAAGCACAAAACTGTAAAAAAGAGAAATATTGCTATACGTGTGATATGACAGGGCACAGAGCCGATGCATGGGCGTATCTGAAACACGGAGATCTAATAGGGAGAATTAAAGAGGCAAAAATGTGATACGACCTATAAAAATGGGCACTAAAATCCTACAAGTTAACATAGGTAGAAGAAAGGCAACGACGAACTTACTGTTTCAAACTGCCCATCAAAAACAAATGAGTCTTCTATTGATCTCTGACGAAATAAATCCATGGTGATAAAGATCAAGATGCGGCATTTAAAATAATCAACAGAAATATCGAAATGCTAGATACGATGAAAGATGGAAACAGTCAGGTTTGGATAGAATTCGAGGATGCTATTATCTATAATTGCTACTTCTCCCCAAACGGATCTAGAAGAATTCGAAACGTACCTATGGAGACTCAGGCAAAGTTCAGAACTCACATTAAAAACGTGATGATATCAGCTGCCATGCATTTATCTGAGGAGACAGGGCAAACTATGCACGAATGGTGTATCGAGCAAAACCTCCACATACACTACAATAAAAGTGGAGTAGCGAGTATAAAACCAGAAACTTTGAATATAGCACTAGCAGCCGCACTTAACAAATCGTTTCCAAGAAAGAAACGCATGCAAAGAAAGTCCTGTATATCTGTGGAATGAAGAAGTTGCTACACAAAAGAGATGTATGCATTAAAGTAAGAAGAAGAAGAACAAGAATAAATGCAAAAAGGAACACACTGGAAGCAGAGAGAAATCAAGCAGCCGAACAGTTAAAAAAGAATCATGTGGCTGATCCACAAAATGGAAAAAATGCAGAGCATTGACTACCTCTTCAAGCTTGTCCGATCTTACTTGGTAAACAGTCGGAGAGAAATCAGTGATGGAAGTCTCCTGCGGAGTTCCACAAGGATCCGTCCTGGGACCGATCTTATGGAACATTTTTTACAGCAAAGTCCTAGAGATACAAACTCGGCCAGAAGTAGAGATATTGGGATTTGCGGACGCAACCGCAATCACGCTACGCGGCAGAACAAAGGCGGTAGAGGAAAACGAGCACAGCAAACTCGACCACTTGATATGGGTGCTGAAAATTAAACAAATTGTGCACAACTCCTGTGCAGATAAAGCGCAGTTTTTAAAACCGAAATAGCTTAGTAGTTGCGTTATAAGGTAGTAGCATGCTATATTTGTCGATGTTTTCTTTCTTGTTAGATGATTAATGGGGGAGACTTCACCAATAGATATGTCTCGTCCAGACAGTTTATTTTTCCTTTGTGAGTACTACCATTGACTATCTGTTCTTGAGATATAAGGAATTATTTATATCCGATCACGATAAGGAGTCGAGGAGGAAGCAATGGTTGGTAGAATGTTGAGGCCATTCATTAGAATACCATGAAAAATAAAGCTAGTGTCACGGACAGAGGGACGGACGGACAAAACCCAAACAATAGCATATTTTTTTTAATTCTTAAAAAATGCGCTAAAAATTAGAAACAGAAATGGTTATTCTATATAGAGGTAACAAAGTGAACGTAGAGAGGCAAAAGCTAAACAACAAGTAAAATAGCTGGGTAGGAACACGACCATGAGTGAACACATAAAGTGTACAGAGTGGCCAACTAAGAATGCGAGGTACTGTATCTGAGAATCTATCCATCGTAGAGGCTTGCGGTAAAAAAGTTATTACTAAAACGGCCACGAACAAAACCTGGAACATATTTTTAGCCGAAGAATAACTCTTTTCAATTAACCTGAGTTTGTTAAAATCGGCTCAGTCGTTTCGAAGATACAGGGTGTTCTTTACGGAAACCTTTGAATACCCCCCACCACTTCATTTTTAGAGATACAGGAAAAATTGTCAAACAAAAAAGGTTCAGATTATCGTCGTCTTCAAAGACCGGACATTTTTTGTTAGGTTAATGTAGCGGAATTCACAGAAACAACACTTTTTTAGATTCCAGATTGCAGTTACGCCCTCTAGCGGCCATTTCAGAAACTTAAAAATATTTTCCAGGTTTTGTTCGTTGCCGTTTTAGTAATAACTTTTTTACCGCAAGCCTCTACGATGGATAGAATCTCAGATACAGTACCTCGCATTCTTATTTGGCCACCCTGTACAATAATAAAGGCTGAAAAGACAATCAGCTCAGCGTTCTAATGCCAAATGTCAGCAAGCAAGAGACGTGTTTCAAGATGCGATCTCGACAATATTTGTTGTCCAGGAAAAGACTGCAGGTTTCTAGTTGTCTCTCCCTATTCCGTCTTACACCGCGAACGACAGTTCAAAATACGGAATGTGAGGTGGTAGGCAACCATTTCGTTTGGGTGCAATTATCGCATCCTCGTTTGAAACCATCTACTAGAGAAGCAGATTTGCTGGCTCGTGTGGCGCAGTTCAGTTGAAACTGGACCCTTAGTACCGCAAACTAAGGGTCCCTGGTTTGAATCCGACTGAGAGCATGGATGTGTATAGTGACTTAAGTGTGTATAGTGGGTTGGGTTGGTAGAGCAGCCTTGACTGAAACCCCGCCCACTCAAAAATAAAGGCAAAATAAATAAAAAAAAGTCAAGGTTCTTTACGGCCAGTTGTGGAGGAGATAAAAGAAGCTTTTTTTGTTGGTTTAACTTGGATTTGTTCCGGTGCCATACCAAGAAGTAATCGGTTTGAGTGGACCTTTGCTACTAGTACAAGATCCCATATAAGGTCAACCTTCATATGTTTACTGATTGAAATACATTTTTTAGCAATCTTCATATGTAGGTATCTAATCAAACACATTCAAGATTAGGTACCCTTAATTAAAATTAATATTTCTGTCTGCTTCTATCACATGGAGAGATCGCCTGCGCACTCTCTTACATCGATGCATACGAACAGCTGTTACGCCGTGTCCTTCTCTTTTACACGTAACAACACATGTTTCTCTATTCTCGATTCAGATTAACATTAGAGGCGCTGATGTAATTTTAAAATGGCGTGTATAGGTGGGAGCGCTTTGTAAACATTGGGTTATCCTAGCATGTTTTTAAGTGAAATTGTACGAATTTTAAAGTGAATTGAATTTATCCTGCCATTTTTGAGACTTGAAAATATAACCCCTCAGGTAATCCTATCCTATCTGAAAGGCTCTGCTGAAGAACTCGAGGCTGTCTTGAATTAGCTTGAAATTTTATAATTTATCATTCAATTTCTAGCGCACTCGTACAACTGTACTACAATTCGCTGACATTCCCTTATGTTAAATTTACTTTAAAAAATCGCCTACTTACACTATATGGCTCAATTACACTGACCTCATTTAAACAATAGGTATGACGATTTAAAGTTTTGCTACTGTTTGTGGCATACCTAATCACACAGACTGCACATTGCATGCTTGAATGTGAATATGCCGCTTTTAAGTTATGTTAGGTGTTGCACTGATCACATTTAAAATTCTTGAAGTAATGTGAAAAAATGTGACCTTTTAAACTATCCTTGCTCTTTAAGGTGTAATTACAATGATTGCAAATGAAATTTAGCAGGTGTATTTACTTTTAGAGCTGTAAAAAAACTACAATATTTATTACTTTTGGCCATTGTACCAAAATTAACAAAATAGGGGTCTTCACCCACCAATAGTAATTACAATGTGCTGCTACCAGAGGTCTCACTATTAGAGGAGAAGGTACAAATATGGGGTAGGCGTGTAATATGGGCTACAGACAGTGATATTTTAGACATGCATAGCGTCATCTATCAATTGACCTCACAATTAAATGTGTTTTTGCTATATCTAATCTGACTGGCGAATCGCGACAACCGCACTGTTCCGTGTGAAGGAGAAGGATGCAGCGTAACAGCATACGCGAGAGTAGGACAGAGCCGCGTTCCAGTATAATTATAGTTCGATGCAGGAATAACACAATAGTATGAATATAGTGCTGAAAACCGCGAAAGTTGTATGAGATCTCGCTCTGAGAATCAAAAATGCGCTAAAAACCTATCCTTTAACGGCACAAGCACCTACCCGGGGTTCATTGTAATGAAACAAGTACACGTCGGATCCAACGTTATCTCGGTACCTTCAAAAACAAATTTTTCCACTCGGGCAGCAACCGCCATTTGTATGCTGGAAATCTGTTGAGCCACGACGGATAGCACTTCCAATTCGATTCGATTAAACTCGTCGAAACATGCCCAGGATCCAGACTGAGCCAAACCCTAAGAAACAATGTGAAACAATAGCGTTAACTATCGGTAATTTACCTTAAAGAATTTTCCCAGCGCTTTATAGTCCAAACCGTCCGAACAGTTAAATACCACGCATTTTTTCGCGACTACCTTCGCCAAATCTTTACAGGTTTCAGTCTTACCAGTGCCGGCCGGTCCTTCGGGTGCTCCACCCAAATTTAATCGAAATGCTCCCATAAGGGTCCTAAACGAAAACGCAATTAAGTATAGCGAAATGTGTGTAAACGCGATCGAAACCTAAAGCAACGATCTGTCAGAGGGGTCACCACCAAACGAGCTTGATTTCCTAAATACTCAAACCCGTAGGCCACGTCCGTCGTAATCATACACACACTGACTAATCCTTGAGACCAATAGTATCTCAACTGCGATATCCAGTTAAAATCCCCTATTGTTCGTACTTTCAAGTCACGTAGCAATGCTACAATATCTTTACCTGAAACGAACATGACATTATAACCATACAGGTGCAATGCTGGTCGTACCATGCACATCAATTACTATTAGGGACTCGACCGTAATACGCACTCCAGGATCGAGTTTCCCTTGAACCAGTCTAACACATGTCTCTATGATAATGGTACACCGATCAACTTGTTTTGCAAGCCGTCCCTCCTGGATTGCTTCGGTGACATCAGCAGTCCATGTGATATAATTTACACACTGAACTACCTGTCCAGGCCACGCCATCAACCATTCAACTCTTTCGGCCACCTGGTAATTATTTAGTGAAGCTGTTGTAATATCCTTCATTGATTGTATCATTAACTGCTGAACTTCTAACAGCCACTTCTCGACCATTCCCTACAAGATATCGGTTAAGTATACACAAAAACAATGCGTAATTCCGACCTTGGCCTCGGCAGGTACAATTTTACCGCTCAGTTTAACGTGCTCCTCCTCCGCGCTAATCATTCCGACGATTTCGTCGTCCTCCGTAAAATCGAGAGCGTAAACGCCCTCGAAGCACTTCTTCAAGTGCGGCTGAACTCGCGTCGGATCCTTCGTTTCGGACAGGATCTCCAAGAGTTCGTCGTTCGACAAGAAGAAAAATCTCGGAAAATACAGGCGCTTCTTTTCCAAATAGTCGTTGAGTCCTTTTTGAATCTCATCTAGTAGTACATTGCACTGTCGGAGCAGAGGCAACATGTTTTTGTAGTCTGTTGCCACAAGCACGTGAGTATCTTGCACTGTATTGGCCTGAATCGCTCTCCACGTTCGATCGACTTGCTTGAAATTTCTCGCCTCCGTTGGCATTTGGCGCATTATATCTTCCGAGCAAAATATTGGCTCCAAATACATCCATGTGGCTTGGCACTACATAAATAAAAGAAGTAACAGTTAATAGTTAACATTAGGCTTTAGCTAAGAGGGGTTGGAAACGGTTGATGCATTTGTAAGGACGGGTAAATTGTTCGCGTTTCCGAGGTATTTTTTCAAAATAGGAGTTAACGCTCAAGTGATTCATATCAGACATTTGCAGTCCACTTAGTTTGCAGATCAGAACCAGCTCCTCTCTACCTCCCAAAGGACCGAATTATGCCAAATGTATTAAAATTTAAAATACGCAATTTAAACTAAAAAAATCCCAAAATATCTAGCATTTTTTTTAAATTCCCCTGAAAATATTCAAAAAGACAGGAATCCTTTTCGCGTTGTAGATCGGCTTATCGCTAAAAGTTAATTAATTTGTAAACAGATGGTCGTAAGTGTTGTGCTTTAGATAAGAATTGTGCGTGTAATAATAAAGATGTGGAAATGGACATGAAAAAGAGAGGGAAGAGTTCTTAAATAGAAGAGGAAGTGTTTTAAGGTGACCTTTTCGCTTTTGTCCGTTTGTGGGAAGTCGGGTTGTACGAGATTCATAAATTAATTAGTTTCAAAATCAGTTGGTTAACCACCCCAAAGTTTAAAAAAGAAAGTTTGGTAAATGAAGGGAGTATGTCGGTAGAAATTAAATAGTAGAGTTCGAATTTAAAAGAAGTTAAGTGTCTGGGTAATAAATAGGAGGATAATTTATGTTTTGTGTAAAAGAACAGTTTCATTCTAGATTGATCCCAGGATTGTAAGAGTTTCATGTTAATCTACAAATTTCGACCAATCTCAGACCTTAATCCATTGGTTTAAACTGCCTTGTGCAACCGGCCCTTAAGAAATATAGAAAAATACTGCTTTGGTATAGTATTGAAACATAGGTAACTGCGAAAGACGGAGATAATATATTTTCACGCTTATTTTGCTCAAAGCCTAAAACGATTTTTAAGATAAAATCTCTTTCTTTTTTTATTTTGTTATACATGCCGATAATTCGTATGATTCAGCCAAGTCACACGAACATATCAGAAGACTTGTTAATTTTGGGTTGAGTGGAAAGCAGTCAAGCATGCTTCTATGATTGACTGAACTCTGCCCTTAGGCAGTTAACTTTAATATATTAGGTATATTATTTAGATAATTACTTTGTTTAAATGCATAATAAAGACATTTATTATTATAATTAGTTGTGAAATGATGACTCTCAGTGTCAGTCATTGTTCCTATCCACCTGAATTTTTTGTAAAACTTTTTTTTTCACTCTACAAGATTTTTCTCAAATGCTCCAGAAACGAAGACTAGCAAACCTATGTATCTAAACATAATATGTCTATAGCTACGTGAGTACACCTTTTTGCACATTCGCAGAAAAGGTAAATGCGTCACAATACCAGAGAACCTAGAAAATTCCTACCAAGTGCAACTATACTAAAATTACTAGGAACTAGGCAACTTCCAAAGTAAAAAATAATCGAAAATTCAGGTTTGCAGTTCTGTAAGATTGCAAAAAAAGAACGGTAAATTCCAAAAACGAGAACTAATTTTGAATTAATTACTGAAATCAAAGAGTTTACTACTTTTGGTTTTAATTCATTCATTTGCTTTCAAAATATGTAAAGTATACAAGGTGGCAGGTATCTTTGTAGCTGCAGTTCAAGGAACAGGAATTGACCATCAGAATAGGGTGCTGTAATGTTCGTTGTAATACATACATTGAATATTTTTGTTTCCTTGTTTGATTTTGTTTCCAGGATCTGCAAACCACCTTTTAAGTGCACATATACGGTATAGCCTTTCCTCGTTTCATAAATTATAATTTTTGATAAAATCTTACTCCTCAAATTCGAGTGCTACCATGGGGATCTCGGAAACTGTAAGATATAGGTAGGTAGTTTAAATTGGGCAAAGTTGCGTATTTCGATGCTTAACAAAATGCAGTTTTTAAACTGAAAAAATTCGGACAAGGTTTGAGATATCCGGAAAAAAACCAAAAATTTTTACCGAAGTTATTTTAAGATATAAAAGAAATGACACATTATTATGGCCACTTGTTTCCCTCTACATTCTACAAATGCTACTTTTAAATTTCAAGTCTGACGTTTCGTCTCCGGTTAACCATCATCAACGTTGTTTTTTCTTAGTGTAGGATGACATGACAACCACAATGACATGAAACCACGTGTTGTTGCACGTTGGTTCTCATCATTTGTGACACTGAGCGTTGCAACCGGGTGTTTTGTTAGGTTTACAATGTTTGATGTCGGTTTATTCATCGAATGCGTGCATGCAAAAACTGCACTGTGGGAAAAACAATCTAAAGAGTATGAAGATAAAAACTGTAGGGAGAAATCATGGGTAGAAATTGAATTTTTGGACATTCGGTAATATACAAAAATTTTTTTCTTGTTCCTTCGAATTTTTTCATAAAACTTCGCGAACCTATTATTAGCTCGTCCTGAATTAAAAGGATCAATCCAATATTGACAATATTTCGCAATAGCCCTTCCGCCTCAAGCGCATAAACCATCTTTAACAATAATTGAGACATTTAGACTGCCAAAATATAGCAAAAACGCATCCCTTTAAACCGGAATAGTGTGACAAGTAGATCTCATCCTGTTTAACCGCATCCGTTTTAGCGGGAGCGGTAAAAACGCATAGTGTGACACCACACTTATGGAATCCATTTTCTTTCTTTTCAGTTTCAAAACGCCATTTTGTTAAGCATCAAAATACGCAACTTTGCCAAATTTAATCTACCCACCTAGCGCTTACAGTGCCCGACATCGCCATGGTGGCCCTCGAATTTGAATCAGTCTGTATAATGATTTGTCTATTATGAGTGCTGCAATTACCACCCGCATGTTAGTAGGTAAACGGAGGTATTGCATTCGAGTAAAAAATAACCCCCCTCCCTCCCCCGGGCCGTAGTCAGAGGGGGGCAAAGCCCGCACTTGCCCCCTCTTTGCCCGCTGTTAAAATTTTTTTAATATGACACGCTGCAGCATGGTCATAAATGATCAAAAATTTAACAAAAGACGAGATAGAAAACGTCAACCATTTTAAGTGGAAAAATAATAAAGAAAATGTTTTAGGTTGAAAGATGGATTTAATAATAGTTTCTTTTCCATTATTAAATGATTTAGGTTTGTGGTTACGTTTCCCAGGTTGTGGGCGCATAAATAATACACATACAGGGTGCCCACTAGGTGCGTATAGGTGTATAGTACCTATGTATCCCGATAAATAACGACTATACAAAATTGTTCTATATCTCAGTTTATTTTCCTATAATAAAACAGCATTCAGTTCTTTTTATTTCAGAAAACAAATGAGTAACGAAAAACAATTGATTTTTTTATATGTCATGTACCTTTTTATTATGCTCCTTTGATAGAGATTTTTTCTCTTTCTCTTTTCGAACAAATTAATAGTATATTAAGACAAAAGTGTATAATGAAGTCTCTAAAGCACGTGCAACGAATTTAATGTCACGTCGCGCAGCGGAGAGCCTTTAAACATTGCAAGTGCTTTAAAGACCAATTGTATACACGTGATTATTATAGTATTCTTTATTATACCTGCAATATAATAAATAAAAATAATGGAAATAAATTAAAATCATATTCACGTTATAACTCGAATATACAGGGTGATTCCTATAGTACCTGCCACCGTTTGGGAGCGTGTAGGTGGTGCGTAGGGGAGTATTTTGATATAGGACACTTGGGGTCGGAAATCTAAAATAAGGGTGCCAGAGCCAAATTTACCTTCTGGAATTTCGCGCCTGTAGGTAGGCAACCCAACCGGCCGGCGGTGCACACGGAGCGATCTCAGGCGGCGATGTGTGGCTGACACTTGATCAGAATTTTGTTTTTCTACTCATATGGGTTAATAAATACATTAAACGTTCCAATTTTATGAAGTAAGAGTAAAAATTCCTCACATTATTGGATAACAGCAGTGAGTAATAATTAATCACTGGGCGTGCCTTTAAAAAACTCACCGCAGCCAGCCAATGAGAAAGTTTGATAAAAAACAAAGAATCAATCTGTCAAGTTATCTTGTTGTAACTTTTCTTTGTATCGAAACATAGGACTTGCCCAAATCTAAGAATTAAATTTAATAACAGGAAAAACACAAATGTAAATGCAAAATTGTATAATTGAAAATCAATATTAAATTAAATAAAACATCCCACGCTAATTTAGAAAATTAAGTTGCTGAATTGAACTCAAAGGAAAAGATCACTACTACCGACGCAATTCGAATTTGAAAGTGTCAAGATGGATAGCAAAAATGTACGCCGCCAAATATAACAGAAACGGCAAAACAATTATGTTTAAATGTATAGCCGGAAAAGTCTAAACATAAATATGGAAATGTATATAAACATTTCATGGATTAGCAACTCTCAAATGCCATCAGCTCTTTTTCCGAAAATTTTCTTCTCGCTTATTTTCATGAACTAGAATATTTCACTTGGAAATAAGTATCGTCATTATCATTTCGTTACGTTGTTACGCCCAAGGTTACACCATTTTCTCGACCTAAAAGACAACTATTTACAATTTACAAAAGGATCTTCAAAGTGTAAAAATAGGAAGTGAGGTTAAGTATTCGTACAAATTCTGTTACTTCGTAAGTCGCACATGCCTGTTACTTTGTCGTAGTTTTGGTAGTATCCGCATTATTCAATGTTTAGGCGATTAGCTATAATTACATAGCAGTAAACCCACAATTTAAACGAAAACGATCAAATTTTAAGAAATGAGAAACGAAAGCATGACAACCTTTTGACATCTCGGATATCGGATCTCACTTGTCACAGTATGACCAACTTTAAATATTGACAAAATAACTCTTACCAACCCCAAATGCAATTGCTTTGATAGCAAACGATAAGTTTGAATATTTTCATTAATTTTTGCCAAATATTCGTAGAAAAAGTATAGTATTCTATTCGCATGTAATGGCTATTACTCATTCGAATGAATTACGGCACTCGCCTTCGGCTCGCGCCGCAAACACATTCTCATGAGTAATAGCCACCATTACATGCTCATGGAATAATATACTATTAAACCCACGAAATCCCGTCTGCAACGACGCGTATCAAGTGAATAAACACTATGGCACGTTTTACTAACACGGAATACGCGGACATGCACTTCATGTACGGATTGGCAAATGGTAACGCACGAGCTGCACGACGAGCGTACGCTGAGCGGTATCCAAACCGTCAGTTACCCTGCAGACAGGTCTTTCAAGAAGTTCACTTCCGACTGTGCGAGACAGGGCAATTGCAGGTAAGCTGACGGAGGCTTAACTTTACACACAGATTCGTGATGCACATCGATACTTGGGTCATTTAAGCACCCATTTCGAAAAGTTTGTTTGTTTACACCGACCTCCTCCTATTTCGCAGCCCACTAGCGCCCGTGATCGCGATCGCCCGTTGGTAAATGCCTTAGAGGAGGATGTGTTGGAACGTTTCGAGGCAAACCCGCGTACTAGCACTCGACTTCTAGCAGATCAGGTGGGTTGTAGTCAACACACAGTGTGGAACATCGCCAACAACAACTTACACCCCTATAAGTTTAAGAAAGTGCAAGAGTTACGGCCGGGTGACCATGAAAGGAGGCTGGAATTCTGCAACTTAGTCGTCCAGGAGGAAGAAGCTAATCCGAACTTTCTGAGGAGCGTGCTAGTTACTGACGAGAAAGGATTCTCAAGAGAGGGGACCTTCAATCCTCGTAACAGCCACTACTGGGCGGAGCACAATCCTCATGAAACGTTTACGCGAGGATACCAGGACAAGTTTTCTTTAAACGTTTGGGCTGGCATCCTGGGGGACAACCTACTGGGGCCTTACATCCTCCCTCCGCGTCTAAATGCCCATAATTACCTGATTTTCCTGCGCGAGGTGCTACCAGAACTTTTAATGGATGTTCCAGTGAACTTGTACTGGGACCACTGGTTCCAGCACGATGGGTGCCCTGCTCACTACGGGCGGCAGGTGAGGGAACACTTGGACCAAACCTATCCGGACAGATGGATCGGCCGTGGAGGTGCGGTGGAGTGGCCTGCCCGCTCGCCCGACATCACCCCATTAGATTTTTACTTGTGGGGTGTGATGGAAGCGCACGTCTACGAGACTCTCGTCGAATCCGAAGAGGACTTAATTGCGCGCGTCGTCATGGCCGGAGAGGCTGTTCGCCAGGACATAGGAGTCTTCACGCGAGTTCGAGGGGAGTGGTTGGCTAGATGTAGGAAGTGCATTGAGAACAACGGTGGCCACGTTGAACACTTGTAAACGTTATTGCTTTTGACTGTCGTTTTCCCTCCTTCCCTCCCATGTCGCTTCCTCGCGCTAACTCGCTCTGCATCGCTCCACGCGAAACGTCGGTCGGTTGGGTTGCCTACATACAGGCGTGAAATTCCAGAAGATAAATTTGGTTCTGGTGCCCTTATTTTGGATTTCCGACCCCAAGTGTCCTATATGAAAAGACTTCCCCTAGGCACCCCCTATACGCTCCCAAACGGTGGCAGGTACTATAGGAATCACCCTGTATGTCTAATTAAATGGGCTGTTTAGTTATAATTCCATAATAACCTTGGAAATGTTACTTGACGTTTGCTTATAAAAGTCACGGTCTTTGTAAATAAAATGACTAAAATAACACACCGTCCATTCAATGGCTTGTTGCAAAAGTAGAATAAAAGTTGGTAGGTGCAAAATCCAAATCCAGTAAATCTTATTATAAAGAATATTAAAAGTTGTTTTTGTGGTTGAATAGGCATCTTACGGGCAAAGTCTTAAATGCATCGTTAATGCTGACATATATGAGGGATGTTAAAGGTATTTATATCCTATCCTTTGGCGCACCCATTCAAAAATTCAAACAATGCTGCGATTAAGAAATAGAACAGATTTGGCTGCGTATATTTAAAGTTAACATTATACTTAGCAACCTTAAAAGCACTTGTGTTCTAAAGATCTGATTTCGCACGCCTTTGAGTGTGCAAAACGGAGATTGTGATTCAAGTAGGTACTTATAGAAAAAACAAACTATTTAAGTAATTACATTGTAACTTCAAAATTGGCGGGTGTGGGGCGATATTGAAATATTAAAGGTAGGGGAAAAGACGCCCGGAGTAGTTTTAGGGGATGTGGTTTAAAATGCTTATTCAATGGTTGAGCCTTAAAAGAAAACACGCTATTGCTACATGTTAATATTAATATCAGAATTCTGTTTTGAGATCATTGTTGCGTAAGTAATAAATTATTTGCCCGCTCCGAGAAACTAATCTGACTACGGTCCTGCCGCCCCCCCCCCCTTCTCCATAAATAATTATATAATGTAATAAATGATTGGGAGTTATGCTCAACCCCTGAAAAAGCACAAACTCAGATTAGGTATTTGTTTTCAAGACTATCTTAAACCGCTTTTACACAGGGATACAGTCGCCCGGATACCGGTATCTCGGATACACCTGAAACATTGGCTTTGTTCGCGGATGCAATTCTGAACGAATTCAGAATCGACGTAAAGCGCATTTTAATTCATTAACCGCGAACGTTACTTTTTAAACTGCGCATGCGTATCATCCATGAACTGGTTCAGAATTGCATCCGCGAACAAAGCTATTGCGCCTTATGGAGCCGTCTCTTGCTAGTCCCAGTCGCCAGGCGATTTTATGACTGACTGATGGGCTATTGGTTCAAATGAAACTGTTAACACTTTTTACTTTTTCATTAGCCCTGAAAATACTCACCCAAACAGTACCTTACTGAGCAAGAGCAGTTTTGAATGCCCAAAGCCTACAAAGTGAATTCTAACGACAAATTGTACCTCGCATACAATATCACCGTTAAAAGCGGTCTTAAGAATTCCCTTTAACGGATACTGGGAAACCATAAAGAAAGGTTTTTCGTAAGCGCATACAAACTTTTCAGCTCGACTCGCATTAACGTTCACTGTATTCATAAAATTTCTTAAATCACTAGGTAGGTATCTAACTTTCTTATATTAGAACTTTTCAACTAAACAAGACTGACTGTCTTTCAAAAACAAACTCGATTACGCCAGACTGCCATACACTAAAACCCTCCACCAAAACAAAAAGTAACGATTAACGTCCACCACCAAGAAAAGCCCCGATTCACAACTTCCTCCTGCTATTGAACACATGCTTCCCTCTCTGTTTCCTTGGTCCTTTACCAAATTCAAACCCGGTTGTGCAAGTAATGAAAACGCCTTCTAAATTTGAACCCTCATCCCATTTAAAAATTTGTGGGTGAATGCATTAAAATTGGCCTCCCAATATAAAAATCGACCGATGGTACAAACCATAGAAATATAAATAATAGAAATGTTATTTTGTCAAATATTTCAATAACCGATTTGAATCAATTAAATTAAACTCACAATTAACCATGCTTCGATAATGTCTTGCATCATTATCAATTTATCCTCCCACTTCTGCATGCGATCTTCAAATGCCTTTACAAATGGCGAGCCTCTCATTGTCTGAGCCTTTAATATATGATCATCGAGCATAACCTGGATTTCGTCCACTGCAGAAAGGATAGACACTCCCGTTTCCCTGAAATTATATCGTTTTTAACATGTGACTAGCGCTTTTCAACGTACCGATATGGAACGCATTCGAATTTAATATCGGTCCATTCTTCAACCATTTTAATCAAACTCTTCTCCAATGCGTATTCTTTGGTGGCCGAACCGCTAATCTCTTCCAATTGAGATGCGTACTTTGTAAGACCGTACTCGATCATTTCGTTCAGTGACGAATCCTTCGAGTGCTCCACTTGCACACCGACAATTTCGCTGATCTAAAACTGCGAAATAAACACTCAAAGATCAGAGTTGTGTTGTCACCTTATCCCAATGCCTCTGTCGTAAGCCCTTATTGCAAACTGTTTGCAAGACCGGAAGAAACTGTTTGAATTTTTCAACTTTAGATCGCACCATTTCCGCTATTCTCTTTGCCCCCGGATTATCTTGTAAAGTCTTTGATAATTTGTAAAGCGTACGCCACATTGCTTCCACTTCTTCGACAATTGCATCGGCGTCCAAATCGGCGAAGGGCCCGTAAAACCTTCAAAATGGATTTAGTCGCGCGACAAAAATTTCAATTGGTATCTTACCATTTTTCGTACTCCACATGAAAGTGATGGACAGTGTGCCACAATTTCTCGTACGGTTCGATTGTTGCTAACATTTCCGGCACGGTCATAAATGGAGATGCCTCCAAATCTAAAAGTTGCTCTTCAAAGTTGATCTGCTCGGCTTCTAACTTGTCCTCCTGTAAAGTAATGTGATAATCCATGTCGGCGGATTGATTCCCCTTTACCTTTAATCGTTCGTACAGCGCTTGAACCGTCTCCAAGCACTCGGTCATTTCATCAATAGTCAAAATTGGCGGATCCCGCTTCTTAAACATATTCAGCTGCTTCTTATGCTTGATCAGTTTTTGTTCAAACTGGACGAGGCGACTTTTTAGCATTGCCTCCGCCTGCTCCCTTTTCAAAGTAAGCCTTTGAAATGCCAAGTCGATCACGACTTCCATATCCTTCGGCCACATGAATACTCTACAGTTCAACTGAATATCCTCCACTAAAATTGTAAATTAGTCGGATAAACTCGTATAATGTTAGGTATACAGGACAAGTGAGCGTAGTTCATAAGAAACAAGACGTCTTCGGCGGTTTCTCTTATTGATTCTCGCAAATTGAACAGAGTGACATCTCGACATTCGATAACGTAATTTTGTAACTCTACCAGAGCTGCGACCGTGTCCGTTGATTCGCTTACTCGTTGTGACATTTCATCAAACATATCGCATATTCTGCAATTAATTTAAGCAACTAAAAAAGACAGATTGTGCAAGGAAAAGGTACTGAAAGTATAAATTTAAGAACATCTCTCCAGCATTGCGTACACTTTAACTACTCAACGCAGCCAACCGACAAAACTTTCATGCCCAAACCTCAATTGGAGGAAAATTAGGACAGCTTAAACCGCCCATTTCTACTAGTTCTCTTGTAGGTAAAATATGAAATTACAAATGAAATTATGAAAACTAAAAGAGTTAGCCTTTCAAATTCGCTTTAAATTTAATAATTCTGACCCAATTTAGCCAACATCGTATCTATTCAGATGGCCGCTCTGTAAACATTTGGAACGTATGCTATTAGAAAGCTGTTCCAAAACTAAACCCAGCAATTCTATAGATGGTCTTATTCTCACTATTGCATTAGATAAGTATCTACTGTCTGCTTCTATCACATGGAGAGAGCGCATGCGCACTGTCTTACATCGATGAGTACACCATCACCATCAGCTGTTACGCTGCGTCCTTTTCTTTCAAAAGGAACAGTATGGTTGTCGCAATTCCAGGTACTTAGCCTATGAGAGAGAATCAGGTGTATTGTTCTGTGCGAAAGAAAAGGACGCAGCGTTACAGTTGATCGGCATTGAACGTAAGAGAGTGCGCATGCGCTCTGTCCATGTGATAAAAGCAGACAGAAATATTAATTAGGTGCACTAATTTTAATCAATGGTAGTCTTGACTTAATTTTTTTAGGCGACCCATTTCCAATGTGCTTGTTTACATTTTAAGATTGCTAAAAAATGTATTTCACTCGGTATACAGATGAGCGAAGATTGACCTTATATGGGACCTTGTACTAAAATAGGCAAATCTAATTTAGCTGGAAAACTAGTGTCTGAACAGTACTCTTGATATCTTCCAGCTTAAAACGATTATAAGCAATAAGTTCCAGTTCCAGTTCCAGTTCTTTTAAGTGCAAAATTAAACGAAAGCTACCGTCTGGTTCCGGGACTAAAAAATGTTTGAGTTAAATTGCCCAAAACAATTTGTCACTAGGCTAATAGCTCAAAATTTTGAAAGGTCAGTTAAGGCTTCTTTGTAGGTTAATAAACTCTGTCTCCTCTGTCCTCTGCCCCTGCATCCTTGCTAGATTTCTCCCCCTGTAGAAAGGATAGGATGGTGGTCGAGCACTGTAAAAGGGATGAGTCCGTTGGTGGAAAGGTTGACGGTCCCGCCAAAGCTTCTGGCCTAGCATCAGGCCTCAAATCCCGGCTCACTCTCTCAAAATGTTTGGCTGCCCTCAATCTCGCCTGACTAAAATATTTATGAGTTACACTAACCCTAAACCGGTTCATAATTTCGAAAGTTAGGAGTGTTTCTTGGAAGTTATATACAGGGTGCCCATTATTTATTATTATTTTATTTCCCATAACAAGGCAGTATTCAGTTGTTTTTATTTCAGAAATCACACCAGCAACAAAAAACAATTGAATTTTTTTAAATGTCAGTGCCCCTTTTCATTAGGCCCATTGGATAGGGATTTTTTTTTTCTTTTGTACCCTAATACAAAAAAAAATTATTATTATTACATCAATAACGTTAATCTAGATACCCTACATCAAAATAAAACAAATGAATGTGTACATTTCTTATAAACCTTGAAGACAACACAAAATTAGTTCTAATTGCTGCAGCAATTTCTCCCAGAATACTCAGACAATGATTTCAAGCTTTCCATGATACGTTAGTTCACTGCCATGCAGTTAATAATAAAAATATTTGCGATGAAAACCATTTTATTGCTAATTTCATTTTGTCTTCAAGGTTTAATAAGAAACGTGCATGTTCATTTGTTTTATTTTGATGTAGGATATCTAGATTAATGTTATTGATGTAATTATAATAAATTTTTTTGAAAACATTTCCTTTTATTAGGGGACTTACATGTTATATCATAGAAAAAAAAATCTCTATCAAATGAGCCTAATAATAAATAAGTGCTATTTAAAAAAATGCAATTGTTATTATTATTATTATTATTTTTCGTTACTCATTTTTTTCTGAAATAAAAACAACTGAATGCTGCCTTATTATGGGAAATAAAATGTTCATATAGAAAAATTTTATAGCTATACACTCGATATTTACTATATTCCATACATAATGGGCAGCCTGTATATAAACCTGTCCTACTCCAACAGCAAAGGAAGCGCCCTTCCAATTGCAGAAATGCTGCATCCCAAATGTGTCTGAAAACAAAACATACGGTTGTCTCGGTTCTTTGACGCTACATTAATAGCTGCCGCCCTTTCCAAATTTAGCTTTGGAGCCTCTAGAGATGTGCAATTGGCCGGAGGAGGTAACGAGCACACATTGCGTTTGAACATCTTCATTTAACCTGATACACTTTATCATATCTAGCCAACTGGCTACCAGCTCTTTTCTAATAAAAGAATCGATTTTCTCTAGCTTTTGTGCAATGCCAATAGGAAAATATCCGTGTCCAATTTGGGAGTATTCCCGTGGTCAGAAGTGGTATCAGGCATATCCCTGAGGCTAAGGAATCACTCTCGTTTCTATTTAGTCGAGACACGTTCGAACTTCTCCAGTTTATGTAAAAGTCTCCTCCGTTTTCTTTTCCTCCTGCTATCAGGAGTTCTTTCTCGTCGTTTCCTCATTAAAAACTCAAAAAAGAAACACTAAACGCAGATCAACAAAATACATGCACTTCAAACCGTACAAATAAGAAGACGAGAACGGGAAAAAACGGGATATTACAGTCAAAACTGCAGAAGATAGAACGTAGGCTTCTTTGAAGGCGTTTAGGTGTACCTACTCGGAAAGCACCTCACGAAAGTCCTACGGGAACGTGGAAAAACTGAATTAAGACTTGCTTAGACGTTAGCCAAAATTTGCTTTACGCTTTTAATAAGAAAAATTGCACAATTTACAGCCAAGGGTACCATAAATTCTAATGCCGAGAAATTTTGTGCATGAATGTGTTACAGCAAGCTTTGTGAATGATCAGGGAAAGTTGTGTCTGCAAATAAGGTAAATTTAACCGTGAGGAAAGAAGCAACTAAGTCGTCGATATATATTCGGAATAGAAGAGGACCAAATACGCTTCCTTGCGGAACACCACATTTAACCGTTCTGTAGTCGCATTAGAAGGTGTCAATGAAGCTAGTATTTGATAAGTGTTTAATTTTACACTATTTTCAAGGTAGGTTCTCTTTCACTCATCTTTATAGTTCACTCAGCCCTTAACCATAGGACCAACCCGCTTTTAAAATGTACAAATTCTAGCCCTAACGCACACTTAATTGGATGATTTAAGTTCAAAACTCATGAAGGTACCTACAATTTGTCTCTTTAAGGTCTCAATTTTTGCTATATCTAATGGTCAACCTTCAATTTTTTTTTGATTTCAAGTAGATACTTTTCATCATATTTTATTAATTTGAGTTCATTTACATTCCACTTCAAAATTTATATTAGGTCAATGGGCGCTCTTCATTTTTTAGGAGTGAAAACTAGGTACCTCTTTTTGACAAACACCTATAAAACTACACATTAAAGCTTAAGGTTAGTAAAAGTTGGCTCAGATGAGTTGAGTGGATAATTTGAAACATTATTTCAGTATATTTCAACCCTTAAAAATCAACCCCTATTGTGGTTTCATTAAAAAAGTATTTACTTACCCTTTACTTTACTTTATAAAATGCATCCCCTCGGGATGAGGACATCCTTATCGATTTTGATCCCTATAGGCTAATTCCTGCCTACTGTTAAAATTTCAAGTTAATTGATGTATTTTGAAACAATTGCCAGGTCAAAAACCTTCGTTCCCTATTATGGTAATACATTTTGTTAAAGTTCTCATATTTAGTGGGCAATTTCGAGTGATCAGTTTCGCCCTACGAGTAAAAAATAAAAGGAGAGAACCTTGCATTAAAAAGGGTCGAGACGGAAATGGACAAAAAGGAAGTTATAAGAGTGCGAGAAGAGTGGAGAGAAATGCGTCATTATTGGCAGTGGTGTAATAAAACAAAACTGACATCCGTCTCTTCTGTTTTATGATAAGTCAAGTCCACATAACTGACCAGCGCAAAGGAAGTGATATGATGACGACTTCCGTCGCGTGTTATGCTATTTCCCATCACCGTGTTATATTCTCTCCTCTTATTTTTTACTTGTAGGTTTCGCCAAACGCCCCCTACCCCCACCTCACCTCTTCCGTACCAATCACCATACACAGTGAGTTGAGGGTACCTACGTCATCGTTTTTGCATGACTTAAATCCCAAAAATAATGAAAATGTATTAGTTGGTTAAGAAAAATACAATGAGAGTGTGTAAACCTTCCAAACTATTTTTTACTTTTAACAACCTGTTTGGAACAGAATATTCGCGACCTTGTCTGAAGAGGGACGCCCACGTACAAACGTAATTTTATCTTAATAAATGAGAGAGGAATGTAGACTTGGTCATGTTTATGTGTGTTCCTTTTAATACAATAATTATTCTTTGTACAGGGTGACCAAATAAGAATGTGAGGTACTGTATCTGGGAACCTGTCCATCGTAAAGGCTTGCGGTAAAAAGAGTTAGTACTAAAACGGCCACGAGAAAAACCTGGAAAAATTTTTAAGTTTATGATATGGCCGCTAGGGGGTGTTCTTTATGGAAACCTTTGAATACTTTATTTTTTAGAGATACAGCAAAAATTGTCAAACAAAAAAGGTTCAGATTATCGTCCACTTCAAAGACCGGACATTTTTTTGTTAGGTTAATATAGCGGAATTCGCAGAAACATAACTTTTTTAAGTTCCAGATTGCAGTTACGCCCCCTAGCGGCCATTTCAGAAACTTAAAAATAGTTTCCAGGTTTTTCTCGTGGCCGTTTTAGTAATTACTTTTTTTACCCCAAGCCTCTACGATGGCATTCTTAGTTGACCACCCTATACTTATGGCATGATTTGAACTCATACAATGCGGCTTCGGATGAACCGGTTACGTTCTAAACATTGAAAGCCCCCTACAATACTTTTACAGAACTACTTAAGCGCGAAAAACTGGCTATTTAGTGTAGTATGATCTTTGACATTAGTGCGAGAATGAGTTATCAGTTACCAACAGTGCAAAAGATTATTATATTAACTCACTTGCGGTTTCGCGCGAAATTTCTTTTGATAAAGATCTCTACAATGTGCGTTCGTAATTCGTCGATGAGATCGTATAGCGTTTGATTTAAAATTCCACATTCCAAGCTTATAAAGTTTAAGGGAATGGAATTTCTGAACATAATAAATTCTTCTTTCTGAACATCGTAGATTTCAAGTCTCTTACAGTACTCCTTCATAATGGGCGGTGGATCCATTGCCAAAAACTCGTGCAACATCTTTTTCGCTTTACCATCTAAAATATAGTGGAACTGTTTATAAAAGCTTAGATATAGTTCGGGTCCCAAAGTGTTCATTTCAAAATATGACATTCCTTCTTCTATTAAATCTGCAATGGGACCTTCTCCGTCGGAGACGGAGGACAAGTATGTGTCTTTGTGTTGAAATTCTGGAAACATGATGTTTTCTATTCGTGGTAATTTTGCGTTTACGTTCAGTATCTTCACAAAACAAGTTCGTAACATCGTACGCACTTCCTCAAAGGTAGGCTCGAGATATATCTGTGATGAATTAGGTACCACTTTGGCGTACACTTTCATTACAGGTGTATTCAGAAACATGAAATCGTAAAATGTTCCATCGTAGTAATTTCCTGCCTTAACAAAACATTGAACTAAATTACACTAACGACATACCTTACCTTATACTGGCGTAAAAATTCAACGAAATGTTTCAAACTGACACTGATAAGATCGCGAATTTGAATCCCCATCAAGGCATTTACACAGTCAAAGTAACTTTCAATCATCATCATAGAATCCCCTTCGATTTTTGGCACGAACGGACACCAATGATCCCTATGTTTTAAAATAACATCTGCACACTTTGGGTACCACTGGTTTAATAGAACGTCCCTCGACTGTTCGCAAATGTCGCAAACTTTTTCCAACATTGCTGCGATGTCCATGGGAAATCCGTCATCTTCGCACAGTCTAGCTATTGGAAGAATTAACATGCTCGAATACCTGTAAATTGCTCGAATTAATTTATGCGCAACCAAAAACTGTGATACTAACTCTTCTTGCCACAGGTCACGAATTCTCATCAGTACCGGGCTTTCTATGTGAATGTGTCTTTCTAGTAGTTGTTTTCCAATGACGTACGATGTATGCCATACAGCCGGTCCTCGAATAATCAAGGTCGGATATTCGTACGGAATAGTTTGTATGTTGAGACGCTTTCTCTCCATCCGATCCTTCAAAATGTACCGTAAAAGATTCCACCTCATACTCTGTTCGTAGTGCTCTAATATTTCAGAATTAAAACTGGTAACAATTCGGTAATAATTGAAAAGATAACGGTATTTTTGCGGAATTCTTTTCTGTATTTCTTCGACAAGGTTTGTAGGGAGAGGTGATAACACTTCAACATCAATACCCTACAATATCGAAGATTAAGACGTTGCAATACGCACGAAATGTACCCTTGTACAATAATAGTCGAGGCGTTCAATATCTTCAACCCGAACCAAACGATTCATCTCCAGCTCTACCTCCCTCACCAACCAAAATTTCTGTTCATCTGGATGAACCGGTAAAACAGCTTCCATCTTGGTAAGTGTTCTAAAACAAATGCCTAGAAAAAACTATGTTAATAAAACTTACTCCCTCTCCTGAATATACGGATCAACTTTCATCAGTTCACGTTTTTGTCGAAGTCTCTCCTTCCGTTGCAATATTTCCATGGCCTTCTGTTCCCTTTTTCTCCTGTACTCTCCCGACAGTAGGTCCATTAGCGATACAAATCCGGGATCTTTCTCCTTCTTCTTTCTGTGACGTGCCGCAGCTCTCGCCTCCTCCTCAATTTGTTCTTTCGTTTTTCTAGGAGGGTAGCATAATTTACCTTCCGGTCCGAAGGGGTTCGGCGTTGGTTTTTTCTTTTTGTTTGTTAAGTTTTGAATTTTAAACGCCTGCGCACTAGGGGTAAAGCACGAACCTATACAAACCGTTAGTTCATCGCTGACCATTCGACATCTTACCTATAGTTTCGCTCGGCGTATAATATTCATATGTGTCCTTGTACAGCCTAGTTTTGGTCAGCGATTTCTTGGCGATCAGTGGCGGATATTCCATTTCGCGGTACGCCCTTTCAACGTAACGCGACGGTTGATGCTCTCCTCTTGGATTTGCAAGCGGCAACCACGGTAGCCTAGGTATTTTTGAGCGACCATATTCGTCGGAGATGGGTAGTTTACTGCCCATTTCAATCAACGAAAATTGGTTTAGCCAGAATATCTTGTCACTTGAAAGCCTTCAGAATGTGCGCATCTTTCAATAAACGTGGCCATGGTAACTGACTCAAGACTTTATAGTTACTATAGCAAAATGTATCACTATTGACGTAACATTGTAGTGTACGAAATGGGTATTTTCCTAACAAGTGCGTATCGCGTGCGCAAAGTGATCAATTCCCGCACTAGTGCAGGAATGTCAATAGATTGTAGGAAAAAGAAATTATGAACGAAAAAACACCAATCGTGGTAGCACCTACATTTTTTAGCAATTTTATTATGCAAACAAACACACTGCAAATAGGTTGCCTGAGAAAATTAACTCAAAGCTACTCCTAATTAAAATTAATGTACCTAATTAATATTTCTGTTTGCAACTATGGGGATCTCTTAAACCGTAAGAGATACAAAGTCGCTTAATGGCCAAAGTTATGCAGAATGTAATGCTGATTAATTGTCGCCTTCAAAGTCCATGTAGCTCTTCAAATAGCGAAGTTATGGTCAAAAAACCGAAAAATGTCATTTTCAAAAAATTTGTTTTATCTTTCATGGTAGGTACTCTAATTAAAGGTCTCAACGACAGGAACCCCCTCTTTCTTGCCCCTTACCAAAGTTGAGGGCGAGGGGGAGACACTGGCTTTGCACTATATGTATGCCAGGCGTCCTTCAAATGTTCATGTATAAAAATCTCCCTCCCTCTTAATCATCTATATGAAGTTGATGATGGTTTCTCAAAGACGAAACGTCGCAGTGAAACTCTATGGGCAACATCTTGCAGAAATAAAAAGTGAGTGAAGAAGTGATATTTGTTTTTTTATATCTTTTTAAACAGAGCCAGAAAAAAAATCGAAATTGGGTAATTTCGGATTTTTTCGAATAACTTCGGAACCCGAATTTTTAAAATATCATTTATTTATTTGTTATAATACTTATTTTCTCTGTTACACAATTTTAAATTTTTCGTTTAATAAATATCGATTCAATTTAGAAAAAAAATATTATTTTACTCAATTATGCAACTTTTTCCTAATTTAACAGTGTGTATCTCTTATGGTTTCCGATTTCTCATGCTTAGCATTCTTACCTTGGACACAGTGTATATGGGAAACTAATGCGCATGTAAGTATTTCTGAAAAGTTGTACCTATACTGGGTGTCGCTCACTTCAAATGGTCCAGGTTTTGAATATTTAAATGTAGACCCTGTATATTTTTACATTTTTGGATAAAAATATTTCATATCCTTAAATTCGTCAAAAAATCCTTTTTTTTCGGAAAGTGCACACAAAAATGTACTTTTGCCAAATTGTTTTATTTCTGTCTCATATTAGCCACTAAAACTTTGCGATTGTAATTTCCTGAGATCACCTAAGGTCCTTAGAGTAGTTTGGGTCCAATCATGGCCACCTAGATGCAATATTAAAAGTGGCTCTAAACAAATCAAGTGGCCGAAACACTTTTGAAAATGTCACATGCTGATTCAGAATTGTCTTAGAAATCCAAAAATATAAACATACAGGGTGTTTCATTAAAAAATTTAAAACCTGCACCCTTTCCGGTGAAACCGGAAGTGATCGGAAAAAGAAAAATATGCAAAAACTCTCCTCTTCACGTACCATTTAAGTACCTATACCAAATCTCATTTTGAAACACCTAGAAATTATGGCTTGTCTAATAAATTCGTTGACATACCCAGTATATGTGTCGCCCAATGAACCAGTTCGAGGTCAAATATTTTCAGTTTTATACCGGAAGTTGCCTCACGAAAATCAGAAATTTACGAGGAAATTTATTACAATTAGAAATCAGTTGGTGCCACCTAATATAACGGCTAGTGCCAAAACTACCAATATGTCTGTCTGAGTCTGAGTTAACAACATAGCGAATTCTGGGAAAGAATCTTACATCTACTAATTTGTCGAGAAACGACTGCGCAACTCAAAACCAATTATCAAAACTCCCGCCAAAACTACCGGAAATTCATGGCACGTGATCGTCAAGTCTAGTGGTATAGGATCTACATTGTGTTGTGAAAAGAGGATGTGTGTGTCGCTGTACGGATCAGCTAAAATAAACAAAACGTAAGAAATGGGGGTTTGAAATTTAATTAAAAACGTTAATAACAAAAACAATCAAATTTAAATTCAATTCAGTGTTACCCTCTCAAAGTCACACGAGGGTAGCTCTAGGGACCTCATTGATTACTAGGTAGAAAAAACCTTCCAGGATATGTTCTTTTCCAATTTTCATTTAACAATTTTACATTATAATAGTTTTCAACTTGGCCTTCAAACTGCACGACAATATCGGAGAATTTGATTAACGTGTTTATTACTACTGTTATGTACCGGAGCCCGACATTCACACCAAGGGCCCACGGTATGAAGAACACCCATAATATACTGTTAATGGTTAAGAGCTCAGGGGTCAGCAGTAGGACATACCTTGTGTTACCATAACAACAATATAGGGATATGTGCAGGGTTCAGGGCGCCCGCCTTTGGCTTGGTCATGACCTGTCTCACTGTAATATAGGGGTATCATGCTTGCATACAGAGTAGGTTTTCGAAACCTATCAAGTAACAGATTACAATAGGAGTCATGAGAAATAATCACATTCGTCATTTATGCCAAATAAGATTGTGGCAAACTACCATTGTCTTGTGTAGTCATAATAAACTTCAAAGGTGGGTAACATGATAATAAAATATTAGCATAATTTATATTCCAGCATAAAAGAGAGTGGAAATATAAGATTCAATCTTATTTGACTTCCGGGCCAGGCGAAGACGGAAGAAAATAATGAAAACTTCTCAAAGTAACTCATTTTTTGGGAAAAAATCAATTTTTTGAAGTTTTTTGGGGTGAGTCACTATCAGAAATTGAAAAAGAGCCTCAATTTTCCTTTCGAAGCACATCAAGAGGAAAATGCCATATTAGGCGTGGGTCGGTTGTGAAAAACCAAAATACCAACCCACGAGATTAAAAAAACGCAGGACAATATTTGAGTGAAGGTGCTCGGAACGCAAAACTTTAGAAATTTCGCAACTTTGGCTCGTTTCAATGTTTTTTTCCCCTAAATAAATCAGAAAATTGAATCTGCGCATGTTCGCATTTTAAAATTCGCTCTTTAACATTTACAATTTTAGAGATAGTAGTTTATTTGGCACCACTAGGGTAAAGGTATTCAAACTTTGAGACTCGTGGATCACCCACGTAAAATATATGCGCTTTTTACTTGCTAAAACAGCATCTCGTGGGGAAAAAATAAGTTCCTAGTCAAAAGCGACCGTTGATTTTATTTAAAATTTCAATTAAGGTATTGGTGACTAAGATACAGAGGTGTTGATCTCTACCTGTTATCGCTTCACGTAACAATATTCGCGCAGTATTTGTCGAAAGTTAAAGCGGTGCGGTTGTATGTAGCATAGTTTGACTTCAATAGTAAACGGACTGAATGGTAATGGCGCCCTTTTCTTAAAGAAACTGAACTAAGAAGGCCAAGGGTGAGTTATTTCTATTTTTGGCTGTATGTCAATTCACTAAACCCCAAAAATGACGTCCTCTGCTAAACTACAAACGAAAATTAATATAAAATACGAAAATACACTCAAATTTAAATTTGTTTTCTTTTAATTCGCGTTCCGGGTCCGCGAGGTGACATATTTATACAAACATTCTTCAACGTGACAATATGGTCCCTATCTTCAACCCCCTTCGAGTAACCGTTACAACCCCCCATTTTTTAAATGGGAAATATGGGCTTGTTATCACAAGCGGACAAGGTCTCTTCATTTTCTCTATTCAAAAATGTTAAGGTTTTTAAATACAGGCTGATTCAAATTCGAGGGCCACCATTGGGATCTCGGAAACTGCAAGAGATATATAGGTAGGTAGTTTAATTTAGCACCCCCCATAAAGTATCCTCGGCAAAGGAGGTCTCTATAATTATTTCTCTATTACCCTAGCACTCTCGTAATGATCTTTCAAAAAAGTTACTGAATCTTTGTATAATAATACTGGAGGTATTCCATACGCCTCGGACTCCCGGTACTAAGTTTTTCCTTTAAATTCACCCTTCAAAACTATCATGATTGTTTTCGGAAACGGACAGTCTCATTTGGTCTTTGGTCTTTTCTCTAAAATGATCACTTTAGTGCTAAAACTCAATGTTTTCGGTGAAGAACGTAATACAGGGAGCAGGGAGCTCTGGGGGGAGGGGATATACAAACCTCCCAGCAGAGAGACTACCCTCATCAGCAAAGTAGGACTCGATAACTCTTTCTCTATTATCCTAGCACTCTCGTGATGGTCTTTGGAAAAAGGTAATTGCGAGGGTAATTGACTCTTTGTATAATAATAATGTGGGAGAGGGTATTCCATATCTCCCAGTCCCCCTTCTCCGGTGCTAGTTTTTTCCTGCAAGCAAAACTATCATGATTGGTCTGGGGCCAAGACAGTCGCATTTGGTTCATTCTGAAAATTATCGTTTTAGGCTTAGAACACCCCCCAGAGAAAATATCCTCCAGTAAAAGAAGACTCGATAATCCTTTCTCTATTACTATTACCCTAGTCCTAGTAGTCTTTGGGAGATGATAATTGATTCCTTGTATAATAATGCTGGGGGCCATTGGAATACCCCCCCATAACTAGGTTTCTCGCCTTTCAAAACTATCATGATTGATTTTGGGAAAGGACAATCGCTTCGGTTCTAAGGTCTTTGGTCTTTTCCTAGGAATTTATCGTCTTAGTGGTATGGTAACACTACATGAAGGAGGTAGTACCGATGGTCTGGGGGATATTGAATACCCCCCAAAAGAGAGAGACAGAGAGAGAGTACCCTCAGCAAAGGAGGACTTGTTCTTTCTCTATTACCCTAGCACTCTCGTAGTAGTTTTTGAGAAAAGCTAATTGATTCTTTGTATAATAATACAAGGGATAGTCCATGCCCGCAGATCCCCCAGTACTAGGAACTATCATGATTCTTTTTGAAAAAAGTCGTTGGACTTTTCTTGAAAGTTGGTGTTTTAATGCTAACACTTAATGTTTTTGGGGAAGCACGTAGTACCGGGGGTCTGGGAGGTATGAAATACTCCCCAGCAGAGAGAGTACCCTCACCAAAGGAGGACTCGAAAACTCTATTACCCTACCAGTCTCGCAGTGATCTTTGGAAAAAGGTAATTAAACATTACACTAAATGTTTTCGGGGCAAAACGTAATACCGGAGGGTCTAGGGGGAGGGGTATTCCATAACCCCCAGCAGCGAGAGCACCCTCAACAATGGAGAACTCCATAATTATTTTTGTATTACCCTAGCACTCTGGTAATAATAATACTGGGGGGTATTCCATACTCCCCAGACCCCCGGTATTATAGGTTTTTCCTTCCACACTACAGAACTATCAAGATTGTGATGAGGACAGTCGCATTTAATCTTTTCTCAAAAATTATCGTTTTAGTGCGAACACTCAATGTTTGGTGGGGGGGGTCTAGAATACCCCCCAGCTGGGAAAGTACCCTCAGCAACAGAGAATTCGATAATTGGCCTTGACATAGTGCCTTCACACACTACACAACTCGCGATTTAGTTCACACTTTTCCCGCCTTCCACATGGATTTAAAAAATACTGCAATTTACTGATGAGACAGTACTCGTATATTGTTATGTCTACTACAGGGAGCATTGATAAACAGTACGCATACGGGAATTAATTTGGCGACGTAGTTGGTTGTCCGTTTTTCGTCGGTCAATAGCGTGGAGGTGCGGATCGCTTAAATAAGTGAGTTAAAGACGCGGCTGTTCGGGTGATTTATCAATGCGTGGTTGTTCTTTCAACGTACGTGTAACAGCATTTATTTTGCACGCCCAATGTGCGCGTTTAATTTTTTAATGCACCTGAAATCTAGGTCTAGGGACCACTATCCGAAAAAAAATACAGTTAAAAATATGCCTTGGATCGAGCCTCAGACCTTACTCCATATCATTGTAACTGGGACTAATTTCAGTTCATCACTTTTAAACCATGATGCCTCAATCTTTTATTTACCCTAATTTTGTTTAAAAAAAACAGTACAGCAAATTGAGTTGCTGTGGAGTGGGGTTCGTATTGCTATAATAAGACTGGACTGTGTTTACCTTCCAGTTGGTCCATAGTGCAAACCATACTCCATATGGTCGATATGCACAAGACAAAAATATAACAGGTTTACCAAAAGTTAGTTTTTATTAATAAATTAACAATACAATCTTAAACATTACTATTTATTGTTCATTATACATATAAAAGTGTAAATATTTCAAATAATCATCTGTGTTTCTTAGGGGGTTTATTTTCTTTGAGAAGTTGCAAGGATTGCTCTGTAAATATAAACAAATAATAGTAAGGGTCAAACCAATATTAGCATTTAAATCAAATTCGTTAATAATGCGCAAATCATATTACCAGTGGCCTGAAGTTCGTCTACTTCAGCAGTTGTACTTGTTTCAGTTGAACTACCACAATCATTTCCGTTTCCATTGCGATAGTGGCATTTCTCTGCAGACCAAATGTCAGTAACATTCTCATACATGGTATACACTTTGTGCTCGTTTGGTAAGTTACACTGATCAGCAACTTTGGAAAAAGTCCTCAGTAAAAACTCCTTATCCTTTGCTTCCAGCACCAACATATCGCGTAAAATATCAACTATTCCTTTTTGTGCGATTGCTTTCGCCCGTAAATAGTAAACCACGACACTTAAAGCACAATCGCACAGTGTAAATACGAATAAATCACATGCTTACCACATGGCAAGAAGCATGAGTGCTACCGCGCCCGGTTTCGTAAAGTACATTAGAATTCTCCAAAACACGTTATGCTGTTCCAGTTGAAAGATCCCTTTAAGAATCAACTCGTACATATAAGTGTAATTTCGCATAGGCCCACATGCTGAACTCTTAACACTACAATATACATTAATCACTGATAAATATATTTGCAGGCAATTGATACTCACTCCACCACTATGTATCCCAGTGTAATTATGACGAGAAGCAGCGATAAAAATGACAAAATCAAAAACAAGGTTTGCGTTTGAGCCGCCTTCCACGATTTCGAGTAGGGCTTACAAAACTTCAAAGTGCAAGTCCGTCGAATATACCAAGACAGCCACAATTTAATCACCACGACGACGGCTAACAACGGCGAAAAATAAAATCCGACCCAAAATAACGTTTGGTTATACAAGAGCTGCAACGTGTATCTCGCAATGTCAAACGTGGGCGCGCCAATTCCCCTCCAGAGCTTTCTAAAATGTTGCCATTATGACTTTAGGGAAAAAATATCTATAATCAAACGCGTCAAAGAACTTACGTATATATTGAGTAACAAACAGCTTCTACAACTGAAGTCAGAACAATCGAAAAGAAAAAGTCAAACAAAATCAAACGAAAAATATGTTGTCCTATTGCAGTTTCCCAACATTTCTACAAAAAAGTAAAAATCTAAAAATCATGCGGTGCAGTTTAAACAAAAAAACGCATGGGAAAATTGTTAACCAAAAAATTGAAGAACCAAAACGGCCAAAACAAAGGTTTTCTCCAAAAGATCGTACTGTCCGGATTTTCAAATTCCTCAATTGTGAAGTGGTAAAAATTTGGGGAAAATTTTGCCCCGACAATTTTGGAAATATTTTACTAGCAACGGTTTTCACACCTTTTACGCAACTAATCATAAGCGAAAAATAACTTACTTGTTTTGTAGACTGCTTCAACCAAAATCCAAGAAATGTTCCCACAAGGACAACCTTTAATAAAAAGGTCCTGAGCAACGTAACATATAAGGCAGCACGTGGATGCTTGTAATCCTCGTAGCTATAAATACACATTTTTTAACATCAATCACAAACTTCTCGCCACACTTACCGTACGATAAATCCAAATACCAACGGGAAGAGCAGCATGATGATATTGATAACGACAGCAATAATAACGCCTATGCTGGACGATGATTGACTTAAATGAGCTGTATTTTCGTTCAACAATAGCCATAGCATGTAACCGACTCCGCCCAGAAGAAATATAACAATAACGTTACAGACAAATTGTAAAACCACCGTATAGAATTGTTGTAGAAAGGGCACATGTTTAACAATTTGAAATGACTCGCTAAGAAGTTCCTGAAATAATCAAAATATAATCAATTGCTACTGTAGAATAAGGTCTTGTAATAGTTTGTCGCAATCTACAAACTAACGTACTCGCGATAGTGGTTTTTACCTCGTGTAACATTTAGCATTTTCCACCGAGATTCAGTCATACTTATCTAGCAAAAAGTGGTAACAATTGACACAAGATGTGAAAGAGAGAAAACCGTTAAGAGAGAAAGTCAATAAGTACTCGCAGTTGCCGGAGGCGGCGTTAGAGGAGAGACTAGCAAGCAATTATACATAAGTTCTTTATTTCAACTGTAAGATGTCGCTGTAGTTTTAGTTGTTGTTGAAGTAGCCCACATTAAATTGCAGTTTAGTTATGTTTTTTGTTTTGAGAATTTTTATTAAACTCTGAAAATAATGCAGCATCGGTAGAGTTTTATAAGGTGTGTTCATCCTCCCCCCCCCCCCCTCCCCACTTCATTTTCAAAACGTCTAAGGAACAGGCTACATGCATCTCCCTGTATATTAATTCGATTTTAGCGCATTTTTTAAGAATTAAAAAAAATGTGCTATTGTTTGCGTTTTGTCCGTCCGTCCGGACCCACTTCTACCGTTTTGAACTACTTCTAGGGGAATGGTCCTAGAGGCCTGGATTTTTTTGCAGTAGGTAGCCTATACCTTGAAGGTGTGCCAGACGGCCATCAAATATCGCTGTCTAAAAGGGCCCCCCCCCCACGAGATGCTGTTTTTGAAAGTAAAACGTGCATAACTTTTACCTACGACAACCAATTGGTGTCAGATTTTGCATACGCATGCATTTAGTGGTGCCAAGTTAAACTTTAGAAAATTGGGGGAGGGGGGGGGTAAACACATTTCCTACCCTTCATGGTATTCTAATGACAGATCTCATCGAAATAAATTGGTTTGTACAAAGTATAACTTTCCTGTGCGACTCTTTTTCGAGATCAGTGAGCGACGGGGCCGGACTCTTATCAAAGTACGGGGAGGGGAGGGGGGGAGTGGAACTAGTTGTATGGTACTCCAATGAAAGGTCTCGACGAAAGGAATTAATTTATACTAACCATAGTCTTCCTCCTCGGTCCCTTGTCGTGATCGGTTATAATTCCTTATATCTTAAGAGTGAATTGTCAAAGGAAAGTACCTACCTACAAAGGGCGATTGGGACGTTTGGAAGAAATATAACCATTGGCCATTTAAATAAAATTTGATACATAGCCAACTTGGTATAAAACCAAATTTATCGCCAGTTTCAAAATTACGTTTTGCGCATGCGCAGTGCCAACGTTCTTATTTATTGAGGGATTTAAATAAAATTTGATACATTGGAATAAAAGGAAATGTGAGCCATTTTCCAAATTTGGTTTTGCGCATGCGCAGTGCCAACTTTCTTATTTATGGAGGCATTCAAATGAAATTTGATACATAGCCACTTGGAATAAAAGCAAATGTACTTCCAAATTTGGTTTTGTATAGGATGTACAGTGCCAACTTTCTTATTTATGGAAGAAATTTCGTAGGGGTGTTTAAAAAATGCGCTTTAGCTGCACAAGGGTTGTGCACAATTTGTACTTGTTTAGAATAGTTAGATTGGAACAAAATTGGAAAGCAAACTGGTACAGCTACATAATTTGAACCAACCTTTAATTCAGTATACAAAGAAGACACCTTTATGTTTGCGGCTTTCTCTGTAGCCACACTATAATCCCATCCACAAAAAACTTTGTGGGCGAAATTATTTTTTAAGCCATCTTGTGTCTCAATAAAGCTTCTTCTGTACGATTTGGCCATACTAAAACATCGTTATCTGAAGAGTTTGTAGATCACTCGCCAACTTACCTCAAACTGAAAACAATAAAACTGGCCACATAAATAAAAACGCTCGTAAAGAAGTACGCGTAAGGTACACTGTACCATTGTGTACTAATCAAGTTAACGCTTTCATTCGTATAGTGGCCGTAAAATAAAACCGTATCTTCAAAGTAACCCTACGAAGAAAAACATTAAAAATCATCCCCGAATTGTGGGAAACTTACTTCTCCGGTAAATAAGTCTGAAATTTGAAAAGTAGCATTGTTCTTAGTCTTAGGTTTTATATTCCAATTGAACCAAAGATTTTTGGAAGTCGAAGTCGTGACCTCAAAATTTTCGTAAAGCAGCTGAGGTATGACCACAAATACTAGTGCAACGAGCATTATTAGGCAGTTCATTATAAACATCCAACGAAAATACTTGAAATAGGTTGCAACACCGGAACCGAAGTGGCCCTCGATTTCTTTTAACGAGCTGTACCACAATTCGAAACTGTACGCGAAGGATTTCAGAGATGTATGGACCTAAAAAAATGCACCTTTATATTTTAACTATTAAAGGTGACAATAGGAGTTCTAGTTTTTGTAGTGTCGGAGCTTTACTTTCAGGTAAACCTTCTCAGTTGCAACACCCTTGATTTCGATGAGAAGTGTCAGGCTGGTGCGGGACCACAGACTTAATGTGGGTTAGTCAGCCCCCTCCAACATGGTTATTATATAGGGTGTCTTTTTTAAAACTCGCAGTCGCCCATATTTTCCAAACTAAAGAAAATCGCGCAAAAGCGTTTCGGGGGTATCGGGAGGGAACCAGAATGAAGTTATGAGTGACAACCCCCCCATTAACCCCCTCCCCCTCTTCAAAAATCCTAAATGGCAACCCCATACTTTTGACACATCGTTGGAAAGCTACTGAAAAATGCTTTCCAGTGGTACCGTTTTAAAATTGACACCCCGTATACGCATGTGTGAATTTTGATTTTAATCTTAGTCATTTTATATTGCAGAAAATTGACTTATTACTCTTTTAAAGAATTTTATTTATTGTCAGTGTTACAAGTGCCATTGACATTTTGATCCTTCAAGCCGGATCGGTTCATGGATTAATGTTCATTGTAATTATTGGTTGTAAACTGTGATTGACTGATCGTGAGCCAACAAGGTGATGACATGAATCCTGTGAGACATAGGAACCCACGGAAAAATGTCGGTCAGGTATGGTGAATGGATGTATCCAGGTGATCACATGAGGTCAAGCTACGGAGAGCTATCCAGAAACCCATTGCACGTCCCGACAATGGCGGCCAACCTAGGCTGTTAGCAATATCAGTGTGTGTACAAAATACAACAAGTTCAATTGCTGGAAGTGAGACTTCACAGGCTAGCCAAGAAAGAAGGAAAAAGCTGAAGCTGACTTTGAGAGAAGAGGTTCAGAAATCGACACTTAGAAGGCCGAGGCTGAGGTTATAGCAAGGCAGGCTGAAAGGCAAAAAGAAATCATTGAAGAACAACTCGAACTCGAATACTGCTTGATGGACTGGATCAACAGGTTGAAAGAGACATTGGACCAGTACTCCATTCCTTATGTATGCATCCACCAGTTTCTCCACCGTTTTTAGAAGAAACGATGATAGGCTGATGGGTCTGTAATCCTCCATCATGTCATAGTACAACCCTGCTTAGGTAGGTACACAACTCTTACCTTTCTCCAGGTTTCGGGGATGTCCCTAAAGTCAGGGAGGCTCTAAAGAGGTGCTCAATGCGGGATCACGTGTATGAAAAATGCCATTAACATTTTTTGTTTGAAATGGTTTTCATTTTTGGTGTAATGTTGGCTCACTTTGTGGTTGTTTTGATTACATGGTGTTGACCCGAAGTTAAATTTATATATTTGGTCATGCATTTAAATATGTGTGTTATCGAATTGTTTCATGTGTGTATTAACTCGTTTGTAAACTACACCTTTCACCAGCCACATCAGGGATGGTAAAAAAATGAAACCAAATTGAAATCTAAATTATAGGCTTAGAATTCCCGCACGAGGATCAACACAATGGGGAGGGGGAAGACTCTGCTACCAATTCACTAATAACAGTTCAACAATTTAATTGGCAACAGAATGCACCGACAATAACCACACATTGTACCATACAGGATCCTGTTCTGGAACAGTATGGTGAAATATGCAGGAATGTTTCTCATGTCAGAAACTTTTCACCAACACACAGTTTGATAATCTTTGGTGATAATTTTTAAAGAAATTACCTATGACATAAAAATCCCTTCCCTTGTACCCATCAGCATGGTAAGTCTCATCGAAACAAGGGCGTTTAACAGCATGCTTTGGCAATAAATTGTGTAAGTACAATTACAAACCTTAGACAACTTCATACTCGTCGTGTATTGTAAACCCTTAAAGAAACCAATAGGTTTCTCTTTGGTGCGTTTGTTAACACTAAAGGAAAGATTTTTCTTAATAATTCTTTTAACAGTCAAGGACTGGGGCATATCCCTCAACGCTTCCCTGTAATTGTAAACACATGCAACAGCTCTAAAGTAATGCACTAGTTACCGACGTAGCAGCTCCGATTCATGCGAGTTGTTCATTAATACGTCGTCTAGCTCCATGCACGTGGCAATATCGTCGGCGCATTCTTGCAAGGACCGCTTCTGAGTGTTATATCCTATAGAACTGTAATGTCACCTTTGTCTTTCCAATATAAAATACTTACCCGAGCAAAACAACCATTTCTTTCTGTGCTCCAACGAAAACGGAACGTTGCGAAAGTTACACGGTTCGTCGCCAAGTTTAAAAACGTTACGATGCACGGACGTAGTTCGATGACAATAATTTAAGTAGCTTGGCTGTATATCCGGTACAAAATCGGTAACAACATCTCCGTAAACAAGGTTGTCTTGATTGCGAGTGGCTCGCTTATTTTTCGGATTATAGTTGCTTTGGTTACCGTAATTTGGGTTGTCAACATTAAAAATAGGTCTCGAGTATCGTCTCAATTGAATATCTCCCATTTCCATGCTTTTTCAAAGCAACAATGAGACTAAAAGCAACAAATTAATGTGTTAATGTTACATTAAGCTTGTTTGTTGGTCTTGAATAAGCAAGCCGTTGTGTATTCCTGGGTGTAATGTAAATGCGTTGCCATTCAAGAGTCTTTTTGTTTAATTGAAGATTTTTTTATAAATTTAACTAATCACTTTCATAAAAAAAATAAATAAACAGCACAGTAGTGACAGTTGGTCATTTATCCCCACCTGGTCTAACTGTGTCTATATTACCTACGATGTCATGTCATATTGAAAGTAGTTCTAAAGACCCAGAGCAGCAGCTGGACGCGCGAAAGGGGGGGGGGGCAGAATTTGGTTTTAACTTTCGTGGTATCCTAATACTAATTAATCTTTCATGGTACTCTAATTAACTGTTTTCTCCCGACTACCGCCCGTTTCTCTTACCACTAAAATTGCGGTTTTATTTTTCATGGTACTTCAATGGAAAGTTTCGATGAAAGGAATTAATTTTTACCAACTACACTCCTCGTTATAATTCCTTATATTCCAAAAAAAGATTGTCGAAGGAGTACACACAAAGGGTGATTGGGGCGCCTGGAAGAAATATATCCATGGGTGATGTCAAAACTTTCAAAGCCCCTGCCACAGGCCACTCTTGCTATTTCAACCTGGTTTACAGACCTGAGATATTTTCCTACGTTGCTAATTCTTTTTATGTAGGTACCAACCAGAGCTGGGCAGTATTCGATTTTGTAAATACTGTTTAGTATTCAAATCCTTTAAAGTATTCAAATACTTTGTAATTAAATACTTTTATGGAAGCAGTATTTGTATTTGTAACTCAAATACTTTCACAAATATTTAGTAATCGAATACTTCGTAAAGTATTCGAATACTTCGCAAGGTATTTGAATACTTTGAGAAGTATTCGAATACTTCGCATAGTATTTGAATACTTAACCTTCCTTTTTTTTTACCAAAAATCGACTACTCCAAAATTTCTCGGGAAAACACTTTTTCGTATTAATTTTGGTGCGTAAAATCCAAATCAATTCGTACTTTTTCGATCAGACTTCTCAATCAAAAGTTATAGACTAGAAACCAATTTCGAAAGAAAATTCAAAGTGCTGTAACTTTTGAACTAGTAGCCCAATCTTGGAACTGTTTGAAATTATGGATTCTACAGGCCACATTCTATAAGAAAAATTTTTTTCCGGGGCGATCTAAGACAATTTTTTTTTCGGGGCTCAAAAAAAAGCAGTGTATAACCTTCCTTTTTTACCAAAAATCGACTACACCAAAATTTCTCGGGAAAACACTTTTTCTTATTAATTTTGGTGCGTAGAATCCAAAACAATTCGTACTTTTTTGATTAGACTTCTCAATCAAAAGTTATAGACTAGAAACCAATTTCGAAAGAAAATTCAAAGGGCTGTAACTTTTGAACTAGTAGCCCAATCTTGGAATTGTTTGAAATTATGGATTCTACAGGCCACATTCTATAAGAAAATTTTTTTTCCGGGTCGATCTGAGACAATTTTTTTTTGGGCCTCAAAAAAAGGCAGTGTATAACCTTCCTGTTTTTTTTTGGGATAATTAAAGGCAATATTATTATTATTATTAATACTTTTAAGTTATTCAAATATTTGAGAACAATTTAGAAATGTTTAGGGAAAGTTTCCATTGTCACAGAATCAAATATAAAAATCCGATACAACTGAATACCGAACGATCCCGGAGTGAAACTTTGTGACTCGATAGTCTACGTAACTTAAAAACAATAGGGATCTTTCTTATATCCATAAGACCATGTGTACCAATTTTCAAAGCGATCGCACGTTTCTAAACAAGTTATCATGCATACGGACAAACGGATGGTCAAAAATGGATTGGTTCCAAAATCGCTAGGATTCATTTCAGAAAGGCGTGTGTATCGTGTGCACGACGTACGATCGCTTTGAAAACTGGTACAGGTATTCTTAAGAATATAACTAGTGTAAGAAAGGTCCTGGTAGGTACCTCCTATATAATAATATAATAATAATAATACGCTTTTACTCCCCTTAAATTTGTATATAACAATAGAAATATAAAAAAAGCTAACCCCATACAAAGTATAACTTGATTTTTTAAGTAGTATTAAGACTTTTATCTAGTATACTATTTTAAATTTTTAAATAATGTAGTTGAGTGACAAGTATTTGAATACTTTTTATTGTATTCGAATACTTTTGTTTATTTTGTTTATAGTATTAGAATACTTTTGAATGTATTCGAAATACCTTTGAAAGTATTCGAATACTTTTGAAAGTATTCCAATACATTCTAAAGTATTTGAATACTTATTTTTTTAAGTATTTGAATACTTTTCAATGTATCTGCATCTAGTATTCGCTTGTGCTGGACGTAAAAGTATTTAGTATTCAAATACCTTTGATTTGTGTAAAGTATTTACTATTTAGTATTCAAATACTTTTCGAAAGTATTCTGCCCAGCTCTGGTACCAACACATTTTTCTTGTTAAAAACATTGCTAAATAAAGAGATACCACCATAAATAACTCAAATCTGTTCGACGGTTCGAACAATTTTTGCACCTTCACGTACACACGCACTCATTTATTGTGCCTATATTCTGAATCCTCCTATACTACATTGGAGATAGAAGTACGAGTTTTTGTCAATAGATGGCGTGGTATAATAATTAAAAACTCACGTGTTTTATATACAGGATTGGAGCGTGCATGGAACCACCGCATATTTAGGCATTGTAGTTGCCTCCCACGTTTATCACCATCATATTTGTGGGTAAACATTGTGATTGCGGTACTGCCTCGCCGATAATTATTGAAAAGTGTCGTTTTTTTGAGTGTTTCGGAATGTCTTCGTATTCTAGGACTTCCGAAAGTGACGCGTGGGCTCTCCTAGCCCTCAAATCGGCACCGACGAGTCCGACAAAAGTGCAATGGTCTCCCGAACCGAAAGGGGATGTAATCGCACGCTTAGAGGGTCGAGAATTCGAATACATGGTACGTCAAAACAGAATCGTAATCGGACGAAATAGTTCGCGAGGAGATGTGGACGTGAACATGGGACATTCCAGTTTTATATCGCGAAAACATTTGGAGGTTTTTTTCGATCACCCCTTTTTCTATTTAATGTGCAATGGAAAGAATGGCGTTTTCGTCGACGGCGTTTTCCAAAGGAAAGGGGCACCGTCGATACAGTTACCGAAAACGTAAGTGTTGTTATGTAAACAAAGTAGGCTTTGATTTAGTTGGGTAGATGCTCATGTTTATCTTTGGAGGCCTTGAGGTTACAACACACATGCACAATGCTGGATTTTAATGACGTCATTGATCCGCCAGAATCGTGTCGACTGTTAACGTTAAAATTAGGGGATCAATAACCACCCTTAGTAAAATTATAAATAATCCTGGAAAACCGCTCCAAAATACATGTGTATTTATTGAGCTGATGACGTCAGTATCTTCTATCTCGCACTTCCTATTAGTTTATCGCTGATTTTAGTCCTTATGGCAACAACGAATAGGTGTCGGGTTGCATTACCTTACACTGGTAAATACAAATAAACCTGTATTGATGCAAGATTCCTTTTTGCTTATTTCATTAGCTTGTGAGAAAATAACCACGTGTTTTCATTTAATTCTAATTTCGCATTATTATTATTACCCACTATTGTTGCCTCTATTTGTACAGAGATAGGCAGCTGATAATATCCAATCATACATTTAGGTATTCCTTATCTTGTAAATATTGGTTTTCTACTACACCTAAATAATGTTGCACTCCACTTGGATTTTAACATTGCTATATATACCTTAACCTAATTAGTTAAATTGGGGCTCTACAATAAACAATTAAGGGATTCATGGCATTTGGTGTAAATTTTAGGGCATTATCAGACAGTACTAAGTACTTGAGAATTTTCCTACTTGTCATTGTTAGGCAGTAAGTATTATAGCATTTATTAACAGTTGGAATTACTGTTGCTACGGTGTGGTTTAACATATCACCTAATAAAATTTTATATTCCTACTGCCAATTGTACTAAAGTTTGGTGTACACACGGTCGAGTGGTGGAGAGACATATATAAAAAGCCCTTAAAAACCCACTATTAATTTCTCAGACACTCCCTTATTCTTACCCTCAACGCTACTGGGTATATGAGGGCTGCCTACTAAATGATCTGCATGTAGCAGAATGGTTTGCTCCACCCCTAGGCCACTGGTTCTTAACCTGCACTCATGGAGAGATGATGATTTTTCTAGGCCCCGCTCCCCAAATTTAAAAAGAGAGGAAAGGCATTTCTGTTATTGGATGATTGTGCTTTGTGATTCGGCGCCCGTTTTGAGACATTACTCTCGACATTACTTTAGTGAGAGAAAGGCCTCTTTTCTAGATATCTAGTTAATTTGCTCCATGCTGTTGGAACCAGCATTCTTCAGTCCCACACTTATTTAACTGACATAACTAATACGATAAGAGAACTAGGAACGAATAATTATTTTTGATTACCTTTTTCCTAGCCTTTTTCTTAAATAGATTAAGAATATTAAGCATATAACTTTGTGCAGAAACGGTTGTCATCATGGAAGAGATTGGAGCGATTCTGTACCAATCAAATGAGAAGTGGTACTTATTATACAGGGTGGACATATTTTGAGGGTAACAAAATTTTTTGCCCATTGTTTTTGAGTGCCGCCGCCATCTTGAATTTTGTTAAATGGCAATACAGGTCATGTCATACGCCATTAGAAAAAGAGAAAAATCGCCTTTCTAATCACGTGTCAGATGACCTGTTGCCATTTAATAAAATTCAAGATGGCGTCCGCTTTCAAAAACCATATGTCAAAATAATTTTTTTAACCTCAAAATATATGAAATAATTTCAAATTGAAGCGTTCTAATTTTCCTGTCTATATCTCAAACAGTTTGAGTGTGAGATCTTTGGTTCTCCATCTTTAATAGTGACTCTTGAGGTGATCCTGTATGATTTTCAATACATATTGATCTTTTCTTTAAAACTATAATGGTCTTCATTGTTTCTAGTTGTAACACTTGTTTTAGCCCTTTTTTTGAAAAATCTACTTTTGGAGGAATTGTCCTAGAGAAATTGGTTTTACCTTTAATGGTAATCTAATTAAAAGGTCACCCCCCACTTTTTTGACAGATATAGATACACATTTTGAAGCACCAGGAATCCGAATCAAACAAAATCTCGATGTCGGTCTGTCTGTAATCTCATTTTTGGCGGACCCGATGGGAACTAAATTTGGTGCACATATTTTTAGATGAAAAGAAAGAGCTGAAAAGCGTTTGCAATCATTTTGTTTCTGCAACAATGTCGCACCTTTGCCCGTTGTTTTGTTTTGGGGACAAATATCCGCTAAATGGAGTGTCAGAGGAGGTACTTTCAAAAGGTGGTTGAAACGTCTAGACAAGACATATCTGCTGCTGATGTAAAAACTTAAGGGTGAATATCTTGAAAATGGAGTGTTGGAGGAAGGGAAAATTGCGCTCTAAGGGATTGATTCTTGTTACATTATACAGGGTGTTCGTAAATATGATGTCAATACGGAGGGGGCTAGTTCTTTAGCTTATTTTATGACTAAAAGTTCATAACATAGGTCCCCAAACGCTTTGTTACCGATCTACAGGGTGTTAAAATAAGAACAAATTTCTTCCAAGGTTTCTTTTTTATATCTCCTGCAATTGTTGAGATATTTTGCTCAAATTTGAACTATAAGTTACACTGCAGGGCTTACATCATTGGTCATGTCAATGGTACTTAGTGAATATCTACAGGGTATGTTTTTTCAGGAGCCATGTTCCATTTTCTACTCCTGAATTTTTTTTCGGTGCGCCACTGGTAAATTGTAGAATAAGAATTTGATTTTCTGGTTTGTTTGGAAACTGTAATTTTTTTGTATTTGCAAGCGCAATCGAGAAAGAAAATAAGAATCAGAAATAATTGTCTCTTGTGTTTTGCTTATGTTTATAAGCTAAATTGTAAAGTGTATGGTGAAATTTTGACACTCTGTAGATCGGTAATGAATTTTTAGTCATAAAATAAGTCCCTTCCATATTGACATCATATTTAGGAACACCTTGTATAGCGTAGATTTTGCAAGTGTGCCAGGCGGGTTTTAAATGTATACAGTGTGTTCGTGATAAGAGAGTCACCTCAATATTTCTTTTATTTGTCCAGATATGAAAAATTTGTCAAATATAATTTTATATGTAACATTACGATCAATCTGATCGCATATTCAAATTTCCGGTATCACTTTCGGTTGCTTGTCGAAGTGAGGAGCAAGTAAGGTACACAATTAAAATGGGTACATGCTTTACAAACAGAAATTTAATCATGATAAAGTTTGCAAGAATAAATTAAGAAAAATGGTAGTTCACCGAGTACAAATATCAGCTGGGGAAAAAAGAACTCGCCAAGAAAAAAACCAGCACACAAATTAATATTAAACAGTATAGCAAAATTAATTATTTGTAATGACATGAATGCATATTAAAGTGGTTGTCAAGTAAATTTATTAAATGAATCATAGCCTCCGCTGGGATTCCTAAAGAATTGATTGATGTTTAGTATTATGGATCGATTTGCTTTTATTGAGAGGTGCTACTGTTAAAATTTCAGATTGGGCCTCAAAGAAAAGAATTCTGCGCATGCGCGCGGAAACTTTCACGTGTTTATACTTTCAGATGCACCTTGCGATTTCCAAGCACAAATATTAGACTATCATTTCAATCGTTAGTGGACGAGGCATGTGAACCACCGCCGCGTGTCCGTGAGGTGTCGCCCGTGAGACATCGTGATCGACCAGGCGGGGGTCTGGGAGTCCTTCCGCCTTTACGGATTAATATACCGGATAATGATAGTTTCAGTAGTCCGTTTCCGTCTCCCACCGGTACGATTAGTGCCGCAAATAGCTGCCCTGCCAGCCCCCGAGGTTTGTACGGTAATCGTTTTAAACTTAGCTAGTTGACCGATTTTCTAATGGATTCGTGTGGAATTGCAGGCGGTCACGGCAGAAGAAATGTGTCTGCCGAACTTCAGATGGTGGCGCATTATGCGGCCCAGGTAGCACATCGAGGTGACGATGGTCATAGCATGTCTAGTCATAGTCCTGACCATGTTTACAGACAACCTACCTCAAATGGAAATGCAGTAAGTAAAACGTGTGCTTTCAAGAGCCATAAGATAATTGTGCAATATTTTCAGATACCTCCAGTTGTAATTAACGACGGATATGGGGCTAGTAGCAGTAAAGATGATGCAAAACCACCATATTCTTATGCACAACTTATAGTACAAGCTATCGCTAGCGCGCCCGATAAACAATTGACATTATCGGGCATTTATAGTTACATCACAAAACATTATCCTTACTATCGAACAGCAGATAAAGGGTGGCAGAATTCTATTAGACATAATTTAAGCCTTAACAGATACTTTATTAAGGTAAAGCTAAACATTTAACTACCGCAGCTAATGTTGAGCTCGCCAGGTTCCAAGAAGTCAGGAGGAACCGGGAAAGGGTAGTTTTTGGAGAATTGATCCACAATCGGAGGCGAAGTTAATTGAACAAGCCTTTAGAAGACGACGTCAGAGGGGTGTGCCCTGCTTCAGAGCACCGTTCGGTTTAAGTTCCAGGTACCCAAAACAAACACGCCCATTGCATTGTATTGTCGCCATTGTTTTTCTAGAAGCGCGCCCGCATCCCCCACTCACGTGATGTCATCTGGCCTGATTACACCGGACGCGTTATCTAGAGAGAGTTCTCCCGTGCCGGAACAGTTGGTGGACGTAAGCCAGTCGGCGCCCGGTAGTCCGGGTCATTCTATTATCGCGTACCCCGGTTCAGGTAATATGATCGGCCATCAGCAAATGAGTACCCTTGTCGGATCCACCAAAGCTAGATTGCTGTTACCGAACAGAGATTTAGAGCAACACTCTCATGTAATGTCGTCGGCCAATGGTCAGGACCATCAGGATGGTATGACATTAGATAATATTTACCGTTAATTTTTGTTATTGTTTACAAGAGCTTCTATGCTTTTACCGTCTCTAGTCCTGTCCATGACAACCTTTCACGTTTTTGTCACAAGGTAATTTTTTTGATTTGGAGAGTGTGTCCTTTCTCTGTGATCTTTCCATTATGTCCCAAATGGGAAAAATACAATTGGGTCCTTTTATTTTCTATTTTTTTTATCTAGGTAGGTATTTAAAAAAAAAGTAATAATAAAGTTGCTAAATATATAATTTATTTATTTTTTATGAGCTATTGATTTCGTTGTTATTTATGTCGGATGGAATGGTGATGCGGGGTGTAGATGTGACAATTTTTTATTAAAATGTCTGAGTTCATATACCAAGAAGAGGGTGTAGAGTGTACTTGGTGTGCGTCTATGTTGTATTGTTTTAAATTATTTTGTTTAACACCACCTACCTATGGTTTTATGTGTTGTGTAATGTTTATTTTGAATTATTTGGTGGTCATAAACCATAATATAGATATGGTATTTGGGAAATTAATATTTTGTACTGTACAGGGTGTCTTATTAATAAAGGTCACGGGCCATATCTATGGAATCCTTAATTGCACAACTTGGGGAAAAAAGATTTTGTCAACAAAAGAAATCACTAGAAATTATTTTCAAACCCCTTCTCCCGCCGCTCATATTTTATGATCTAGAGCAATATGTGCTGCATCGAAATGAAGGAAAATTCATACAAGATTGTGATGCATGTTTGTTGGGTATTTAGGAAAAAAATCATTTCTTTAGTTACCATGAATATACGCCCTCTAGTGGCAAACCTAGAAACTTGAAAATAATTTCCAGCGATTTCACTTTTGTTAACAAAATCTTTGTGCTTTAACTGTGCAATTGATGGTCCCTACCAATTCTGATTGGAATACAGTAGAAAGTTTGCCTAGTGGTTGGGTGATATGGAGGTTCAGTTCTTTGGAGTAAATACCAGTGCCCGTTCCTTCCATTGTTTTAGATCCATCTGTGAAGATGATGAATATGCCTGGTTGGGTGTGCTCAATAATCCCTTATTTTTCACAAGCAAGGATGCCAGAGTGACCTACTCTCTCACATGGTAGGCCTACATGACGGCTGTGGGAATTATTCGCATCGCGCCTGTGCAAGCAAGGCACATGATTAATCAGTGCTACCGTTGTGGAGTGTCTGGTTCTAGGCCACCAGACAATGCTTGGCTCCATAGCAGAACATATGTCTTACCACGGCAGTGTTCCGTCACGAGACAGCGTTTGGGGATGGGCCCCAAAGTCTCCCAAGTGCGCGGCGACTTTGTCAGAAACCCCTATTTGCTTTGAGCTGTGTATGTTTGCTCCAAATGAGTTTTTTGTCAAGTGTGATTCCTAGATATTTCACTAACTCTAAAAATCGGAGGTGTTGCTTGGAATAGCAGGGGAGTTCTAAGCCCCCTTTATTTTTAACGCATTTTTTAAGAATTAAAAAAATGTGCTATTGTTAGTCTGTCCGTCCGGACCCACTTCTGTCGTTTCGAACTACTTCTAGGGGAATGGTCCTACAATCCTTTTTGCAGTAGGTAGCCTATACCTCGAAGGTGTGCAAGACGGTCATCAAATTTCGCTGGCTAAAAGCCCCCCCCCCCCCACGAATTATTCCCTGAGATGCTGTTTTTGAAAGTAAAACGTGCATAACTTTTACATACAACAACCAATTGGTCTCAGATTTTGCATACGCATGCCTTTAGTGGTGCCAAGTTTAGAAAATGATGGGGGGCGGGGGGTAAACACATGTTCTACCCTTCATGGTATTCTAATGAAAGGTCTCATTTAAATAAATTGGTTTGTACAAACTATAATTATCCCGTGCGACTCTTTTTCGAGATCAGTGAGCGACGGGGCCTGAGAGGGGGATTAAAAATTATTTTTATTATTATTATATTTTGTCTCATTGTATTCTAATTAAAGGTCTCAACGAAAGGAACCGTTTTCTACCAACTACTGCCCTTCTTTCTGCCCTCTTATCAAAATACGGGGGGAGTGGAACTAGTTTTATCCTTCATGGTACTCTAATGAAATGTCTCAACGAAAGGAATTAATTTCTATCATCCATAGCCCTCCTGCTCGACCTGTTATCGTGATCAGGTATATTCCCTTATACCTCAAGAACGGATTGTCGGAAGAGCGTACTCACAAAGGGCGATTGAGACGTATGCAAGAAATATATCCATTGGTGATGTCAAAACAAAAGCTGTTTCGGTTAAAAAAATGCGCTTTATCTGCACAAGAGTTGTGCAGAATTTATATTTGTTTTTCGTGTGAAGAAAACTAGCTCCGTTTTTGCCGCGTTGATTGACATGGAGTGTTCCCTACACCACACTCTGGTTACTCTAAGAGCTGATGGCATCAGACTGCATAGTATACCCTCAAACTTGCTGGTTATTATACTGTATTCATTTTAAGAAGGTAGCGCTAGAAAGCATAATTATGGAAGCTTTGACCTTCCACTGTGATTGGTTAAATCACAAGTCAGTGTTGCGCTGAAACATAAAACGACTGGCGATTTTGTAAGCTGGTAGTTTGTTGCCAACTAAACTGCGTTAGTGTCATTAGTTGTTATTGTCAAAGATTTATTTCTGTTCACAGTGCTGAATATTTCTACTTTACAATAATTTGGTGCCGTTTTATATTTTTACCGAGATTTTTACTGTGTGTGTTTATCTGCAAACATAGCACCATCTACAACTTTCTTGTAATGAATGCAATATAGTATGGAACCTGCACCACCAGGTATGGTTATAGGGCGTCTTGGCAATCCTCAGGGAACATACATGTTTAATGGAGTTGGTAAGAAGATATACTTTGCCCTGTAAGTCGGCATGACTTGTGAGGCATCTCCCCGAAAAGGGAATATTCGTTAGCCAAATACTCCAAATACATATCAACATTAGAACCACCAAATAATTCAAAATAAATGTTTAACCACACTATATAAAACCATAGGTAAATATTAAACAAAATAAACACATAAAGAGTGTTTAAAAAAGCGGTAGAGCACCTTGGTGTGACCCCACGGAGTCATTGGATTTGGCCCATTTTCAATAGGCTTATTACATGTGGCATATAGGTCAACTGTGCAAAGTTTGAACTAAATAGGTTCAAGCAGGGACAGAGAGACCCCAGTACACTCTACAGCGACACCCTCTTCTTAGTATACTAACTCAGACTTGACTCATTTTAGGTAGAAACAGTTAAGAGCTAAGTTCGCAAAAGTCTCAATATTTGTCTTCTTTCTTAATTTTCTCTGATTAACTGCTTTGCCTAGGTTTTTGGGTAGGCTCTTTCAGATTTCTACCTAAGATGGCACACCCTTAAAGAGAGTATTTCGAAAAATATATCTGATCTGATGATATATCACTGCCAAAAGCACAGTGGAGCTGTCGCAATGTAGTCTTAGGGTGCACATGGATTTGAAAAACATTATTTGCAAAAAGGTTTTTTTGCTTGCAAACTTTTTTAAAGAAGCAGTGCAAATAGTCTCTTCGAATCCAACTAGATTTGCAGAATTAAATCACTCGATCCAAAAGTGAATTTCACAACATTTTTTTGAGTGCGCGCGCCATCTAGAATTTTTTAAATGGCAATATAGGTCATATGATATGGTATGTTCTCACGTGATGCGATAGTTGTTTCTAATGACATATCACATGACTTATGTGACCATTCAAAAAATTCAAGAAGGCGGTCGCACTCAGAAACCATATATCAAAAAAATGTTTCTAACCTCAAAATATGTGAAATAATTTCAAATAGAAGCGTTCTAAGTTTGATGTATATTTCAAGCGATATAGCGTAAGAGCTTTGGTTCTATCTTTAATAGTGACCCTGTATATCATAGCATAAGCAAAACAGTTGAAAGGTAATCTCCACCCTTGATAAACCATTTGACATTGGGCCCCGTAACAAGCCCACATGTCAAGAATTGACCTAATTTTGAATTAATAGTCTAAGGCCCGGTTGTACAATGTCAGTTTAAACTTCAGATTAGTTTAATGGACAGATTTCAGAAACATGATTGGTCAACTTGTGAAATATTAGCCAATTAAATCCTTTCACCTACAATTTAACGAATAACTGACATTGCACAACTGGTTTAGACAGGCAAACATACAAACATTAATAACGGATTTTGATAACGGAATATCTCAGAGAATTCGACTTTTTGGTATCACATTTGTATTATTGGGTTCTTTGCATCACTTATTCTCAAAGATTTGCCATGTTTAAAATGCATTAAATGCATTGATAGAACATTTTGGACAATTAAACATTACCCTATCAGTAATGTTTATTGTATTACAATTTAGGAACGATACTTTTTTCTGGTAGACTACAATAAAGCAGTACAGCTTTGGTTTTTTTATCTATATTACTATACAGGGTGAACATTTAATTTTTAATTTAAAATTAAAGTATCCAAAATTATAAAAAAAGTGCTACCAATCTACGTACCTACTTTTAATTTATAGTCAGTGGCGTATTTCTGTATGGTGAAGGAAGGTGTTTTCGTCAAAGCAAATTATTGTGTCAAAAATTATTAAAAATGTGTAAGTAAATGTATATGTTTACAGTGGCGTGCGCCTACAGAACTAGCCGGCTTTATAATGGAAGCAATATATGTTTTTTATGCTGCTATATCCAAAAAAGTGTGCTATTTAATAATTTATTATGAAAACTAGTAGTTACCATTAAAAAAAAATTCTTCCCTTGACCATGCAGAAGTACGCCACTGACCACAAATTTAAAATACATAGATTGGTAGCAAACTTTTATAATAGTGGCAACCATAAAAAGCTTCTTTAAAAAAATGTTGTTTCGAAGATCTATTCATCCAGACAAAATGTTCACCCTGTATAGTTAAGTGAGACCCTATAGCTTTATCATTTGATTATAGGATTTAAGCATCTACTTTCACATTTGGACATTAGTTTTATTGTTGTGTTTATAGCTGGCACATTAGTTTAAACAAAAAATACAGCACGAAAGAGTATTCTTATTCAAATTTATTTTATAGTGGAAAAATATCAACTAGTTAATTCGGGACAGGTAATAGAGGAGCAATCGTTGTCCCCGGCCGCTTACTCACCTCAACCAGTAATAGTACAAGCCGCAAACTATGCACATTATAGGTAAGCGGGGAAGCAGTCCGTAAATTAAGTTAGCAATATTCGTGCTTCCAGCAGTTTAGGAGTTGACTTGAAAAGGCATCTCGACGATCAAAGTATGGGCAGTCCGGTGAGCGGCGGCGAAACTTCCGATAGCATGCAAGAGCCGGAAGCGAAACGTCTCCGTGATCAGCAATATGATGCCGAGTAATAAATTGGAAATTTTAGTTTCGATATATCAAGTTTTAACATAGTAGGTATGCTGAGAGATTCAGTTTTCATTTGTACTACTTAATTATACATTTCGCTCTCCCTCCTATTATACATATATAACACATACATAATGTAAATTTTGCAATTGTATATTTACGATTTATTTTTAATTGTACATCTACAATATTAGGGTTTTTAGATATAATTTCGGTTTTATAACGATTTAAGTTAATTTGGTGCTGTCCGCCATGTTTTTTTTTTAATTTAATGATGAACGAACTAATCTGACTAGCATTCTATTTATTATAATATAATATATATGCTGTATATTTGTTATTCCTCAATTGTTTTCTCTGAGGCAAATGTTAGCACTTTATGAAAATGAATTTTGTTAGAAATTTTATCGCCAATAATAAAATGATGTATAACGAAAAAAGCCAATAAAAAAACTTACAGCTGTTAATTTTTTGAAAAAGTTTCATTACATTGTATTAAAAATGGTACTTGTTCTCTTAAACTGGTCTATTTATCGGGCACTGTAATTCAGTAATTTGTAAAATGTGATATTTTAATGTATTACATAGGTGTTGCGTTTGCAATGTCTTGAGAGTGAGTAATCTAGCGGATTGAGCGGTATAAATATGTGATACACTAAAAGTGATTTGAACAATCGACAGTCTGACATTTTAAAACTTGATATGTTGCATAAGAAGAAACTTCTATTTCAGCACAAGCCTTTTTTTAAACTGTGAAATGTATTTACCAAACACGTCAGTTTAATTAATTCAGATCTGCCCTAATGCACTTGGATGCGATGTCAAGGACTTTGTCGCACTCATTCAATTCGCTTGTAAAACGAACAAATTCTATATTTATGGTTGCGTACTTCATATTTTCTATTGCAAAATAAGGTATCTAATACCCTAAATTTTGTTATAGCAACTGTAGTTGTATTAAACAGTGCCATTTGCATAATACTAGAAGCTAGTGGTCCAAATGAGAAATAAAGGTGGTGGTGGTCGGTGCAGCTTCTGTTTTTATTTCACTTTTGCTATATTCTATTTAGAGTGCAAAAGTATTTTTGACATGATGTAGTGTTAAACACTAAATTTTGGAGGTACTTGATGAATTTTTATGGACAAACTTAAGAGAACTATTTTTGAAAATTATTAGATCAATACTCTAAATTTGAGTATTGGTATTTTAAAACGTAAAATTGATGTATTATCTATTACAGTTTGTACAAATCCCTTAGGTTAAAAGCAATGTAATACTGAATTAAAACAATGTTTGGATATATCGCTCGTCCTTAGCCGTAGTGATATATTTACCAGTTGAATTTTTAATATTGTTTTAATGACAGTTGCGCTTCATCTTTTGTTTTGTTTTATAAAACTTGCATGTTTAATTAAAAAAAAATTGTATATTTATTTTAAATTGTTAAATTAATATTCTTAAATAATTCTCAGTGTAGAAATTTGTTTTATTGTAAATAAATTATTTCTTTAAAAGCTATATCGGCATCTTTTGATTTAAACAGTAGCTTCAATTCAAGAGCACAAAAGCGTGGACAGGCCAGAGAAGTGACAATTATAAAAACACTTTGTTTGATGGCCTCTCGATGCTTTCGTACTTTCACACTTCTAATTAAGGCATTTGTTTTAATCACATTTTCTTGCAGCAATTATTTTTATTACCTAGCATAGCGGCCACAGCAGTTATTAGTGTTTAGTCGTGACACAGTACCTTTGTATCTGCGACCGCCCCCCTACGAGAGGCAAAAAATGGCTTCCTAAATACAGAAAAGCACAGGCACGTCATCGCTATGTAAGTTCACAAAAAGCACTTGCTAGTATCTCGTATAAAGAAACATTGCAATACTGACTTAAAACTTCTCAATTTGAGAGACTTGCCTTCGATCAACTTCTGAACATTCCAAGGAATTTATTAAACAACTTTGATTTATACCTGAAAAAACTATTGGGCACCACAATAGAAAAATTGGACATGAAACACTATCTGGATCGTACAAAGGATTCGAATAAACACACAATTAATTGATTGAAATGACAATTTATAACGATACACATGAAACAAAATCCCGGAAAAAAGAAAAGCTTACGAAGCTTGTTTGGCCTTAATACCCCGCACTCAGGCGGTTGATTATTAAAAATAAAAATCTTAAATGACACTCGGGAAACTGTTTTTGAATTAATGATTATTTTTATCTCAATCAACCGTATTAGTTTTCAATTTTTTGCATAATAAAGACAGAAAATTGGAAAAATAAAACCCGCATCTTTTTCAATAATCTGTGTTGCCATGTAATTTTATAATACAAAAACTACGCCAATATCCGTCATGCCATGGAATGTCTGCTATAAAACAAATCAAATTCTATCAAAAAGTATTATATTTAGAACAGCGAATTCAACATAAAGAAAGACGAAATTACTAAAAACGGTTCCTAATACAACAATCAACAATAAATTAATGTTCGAATTAGTCACCATTAACTGCAAGACAGTAACCAAGTCGATCATAAAATCCATTTCGAACTGATATTGATAACTGGAGATCTTTTTGTTTTAGAAAATTCCATGGCATCACAGATTATTGAAAAAAATGCGGGTTTTATTTTTCCAATTTTTCGTCTATTATGAAAAAAATTTAAAACTAATAAGGGTAATTGACGTAAAAAAATGTTCCCTACAAAAAAACCGTAATACATTTTTGCTCTAAAATAATTTGGAGAGCCAATAATCGCATGTTATGAATTTTACATTGAAATCCCTATGATGCGTTACGCAAGTCACCACCCTGTATATGCCGCGCTTTGGGATCATGCCATTTAAAATGTATATGCACTAGCTTTTACTCGCTAATACAGCGTTTGGGGAAATAATTCATGAGAATGGGGCGGGAGGGGTCTCTTTAACACAGAAAAACGTGCAGATTTTAAGGTGATATCTGATACTACTTTGAGGTATCAGGTATAGGTACTTATAGTTATTGCAAAAACACTGCGTTTAGGTTTAATTAAATAATGAAATGCGTCAATTGGGTGGTTATATACCTACAGTACAACCTCGTTAATCCGAATAGATTCGGACCACCGACCCTTCGGATTATCAAATTTTCGGATTATCGCGAAACTAGTGAAAATAATAAATTTGGACACAAGCATTAAAAAGTAAAAATTATTCTTTTCAACGTCTTCAGGGGTGTCATCGTTGTTACGAGGAACGAAATTATTTCGGACTAGCGTGTATTCGGATTATCGATGTTGTACTGTATAAGAAAAATTTTTTCCGGGTCGATCTGAGACAATTTTTTTTCGGGGCTCAAAAAAAGGCAGTGTATAACCTTCCTTTTTTACGAAAAATCGACTGCACCAAAATTTCTCGGGAAAACACTTTTTCTTATTAATTTTGGTGCGTAGAATCCAAAACAATTCGTACTTTTTCGATCAGACTTCTCAATCAAAAGTTATACTCTAGAAACCAATTTCGAAAGAAAATTCAAAGGGCTGTAACTTTTGAACTAGTAGCCCAATCTTGGAACTGTTTGAAATTATGGATTCTACAGGCCACGTTCTATAAGAAAAATTTTTTTCCGGGACGATCTGAGACAATTTTTTTTTCGGGGCAAAGAAAAGGCAGTGTATAACCTTCCTTTTTTAACAAAATCGACTACACCAAAATTTCTCAGGAAAACACTTTTTCTTATTAACACACCACGCACAAGCGAACACACAGCACAATCCGAAAAAAACCACTAATTGTGACAATAGAACTAATGCACTCAGAATCTTGGCGCTACATTCTTTTATGTGTTTATCATATTAAGACGTTTGTGCATAAACGCGTGTGATGGTGTGAGGGGAGATATCAATGCGAGTATAGGAGCCCGTGAGTTGAGTGCGTGCAATTTTTAACGTTGTGAAATAAATAATTAAGCAAGAAACCCGTTTTGTTTTATACAACCTTCCTTTTTTACAAAAAATCGACCACATCAAAATTTCTCGGGAAAATACTTTTTCTTATTAATTTTGGGGCGTAGAATTCAAAACAATTCGTACTTTTTCGATTAGACTTCTCAATCAAAAGTTATAGACTAGAAACCAATTTCGAAAGAAAATTCAAAGGGCTGTAACTTTTGAACTAGTAGCCCAATCTTGGAACTGTTTGAAATTATGGATTCTACAGGCCACAGTCTACGTAGATGTATTTTGAGGTGGCTCAAAACGCCTAATAGTTATCAGCGACAGTTTTTATTTTATTCAAAATTTCAAAGGTAATGGTGACTAATATATACAGAGGTCATGCCGACGCCGATTTCTACTGTTATCGCGTCACCTAACAATTTTTCGCGCAGTATAGTTGTTGAAATGTGTAAGCCATACGATGCATTAGTAGGTAGCATCGTTCCAATAACGGTAAATGGTAATAATGTTCCTTTTTTTGGAGAGACTGAAGTAGGAAGGCTATGGGTGAGTTATTTTTGTTTAATTATGGCGTATGTAAGTCCTCTAAATAAAAAAAAATCACTTTCATACTACTGAACGTCAAATCAAAATATAAAAATGCGACCTCCTCTATTTAAATCCCAGTAAATTTTTTTAATTTTTTAACAATGTTCTGTTCATCCTAAAGGAGCGTAAATTTAGTTTTCATTATATTTCAGCCTCGATTTCAGCGCACCCTGTAGTCGACTTTAGCAAACTATTAGAATTTAACTGCCGTTCTTGTCTTTTATGACTGACCTATACGGTACACCACGTACTGCCCATCCCGACTTAGTGCCCTCGGTACTTCAGCGCCTCTGGCGCGCCCTCCCGCCTTCAGAGCGCTGTGCCGCGGCACCTTTGGTACCTACCTAGTTACGCCACTGCCTGCCGGTTCCTGTAATTGTTGTCCACAGCAAGTTGCGCGCTACGTAGGTTTTAGGTACTTCTTAGTAAACGTGTGTACAAATTTTGAAAATTCACGCATTGTATTTTTCAAAATATTCACGCTAAAATAAAATATCTGCACATTATGATGAATACATTTCGATGTATATACAGTGTGATTGATTTTGCGTGGCCAAGGGTATATTTAATCTATTATTGGAGATAGGAAAAAAGTGTAAGAAGTAAAAGTACTCTACTTTCAATCAGGGCCGGCCCAAGGCAAAAGTTACACGTAAGCGTGCACTAAAATTTGCGCCTCTTGAATGGGAATTTTTAGCAAACATGTTTTCAAAAATGCAGGGCGTTAATTATTGTCATGCTGATATTTCGGGGGGTGATAGCACTCGTCAAAATAAGAAAAAAAAGGCAAATATGTGCGTGGTGTAAAGGACGCCATTTTCGTTATACAGGGTGGCAAAGTTTCAATTTTTCTCTTGTATTTTGCGTTGTCTTTATGTTCTGGGGTAATTGTTTCAAATTTAATACATCAATTATTTTTTAGAATCTCTATAATATCAAAATAGTTAGTCGCGGCATTGTATATAATACATATACAATGGTCGCGGTATACAGGGTGTTGCATTTTATTTGCCACCCTGTATAACGAAAACGACGCGTCCGCTATTTACCTACAAATATGCCTCCCCTCCATGGTCCGCCAGTCAAAAAACTTGTGTAATTTTTGCGCCTTTTTCTGTGTGCTACACCGCTTACGCCTAAATCCGGCCCTGCTTTCAATTTGTGATAGAGCTACATATTCAAAAAAACAAGTGATATAAAAACAAAAGAAACTCATTTGACATACCAATAGAATATAATAACAAAGCGGCATTATTGTTGAGATATTTGCATCTTTGTCTATCTTTAGCAATAAAATTGAGACAACAAACATTCCATATACAGGGTGACAATTTGAAAACTTACCACCCCCCATATCTTAGTAAATAAACGAGATATTTAAAAAAATCAAAATCCGTTTCGGTAATTCGGAGGGGGAATCACAATGACATAGTTGGCGACGCACCCCCTCCAACCCCCTGCGCCCCAGCCACCCCAACTTTTAAATCTTAAATAGTGACCCCCCATGTGTGATACGTCGTTGGAAAGCTCTGAAAAAATGCTTTCCAACCATACCAAATAGCATTACATTTAGGTTAGTAATTATCGTGCAAATCAAAAAATAAACTAATATGATACATTTGAAATCTGTCGTATTTAAAACGCAACCGGCGAACATAGACGAACTAAGACAGAGAATAATTCAAGAATGTCGAAATATTGCAAAACCAACATTTGAAAAGGTTCGACAAGAGTTTGAGAATAGATTATAACTGGCGATCAAAAATGAGTTGCTGTCGAGTCGGCTTTGGAAGTTCAAGTTAAATACGATTTTCCATGTTTATTTTTTGATTTGCACGATAATTACTAACCTAAATGTAATGCTATTTGGTATGGTTGGAAAGCATTTTTTCAGAGCTTTCCAACGACGTATCACACATGGGGGGTCACTATTTAAGATTTAAAAGTTGGGGTGGCTGGGGCGCAGGGGGTTGGAGGGGGTGCGTCGCCAACTATGTCATTGTGATTCCCCCTCCGAATTACCGAAACGGATTTTGATTTTTTTAAATATCTCGTTTATTTACTAAGATATGAGGGGTGGTAAGTTTTCAAATTGTCACCCTGTATAAAACGCGCAATCTATTCTAGTATAGTGCACGATGATCATTGGACAGCTGCGCCCCCTTTTAGATTCTCGCATCGAGGACTACAAAATCTTGATGTGCAAATAAGTCTCTCTTTGTTTCCGTAAGGTGGTCTCACTATTCTATTCTTTACACCCAAGTCATCAGTACTAAAAGACATTACCAATAGAGCAAATAAAACAATGTCATATCACCAATGTAATCTAATCACATCACACTATAATTCCTAGTATATAAAAGTCTCGTTCAATAATGACAAAAAGATAAATAAAAAATATTAAAAAAGTAAATTGCTACCTACGATAAAAAAGTAAATAAAGAAAATAAACGCCACACAACAGTATAAATTATATACAGCTGACCGCACAAAATTATTATTATATAAGATTACATTGCAGTTTACACATTCTTGAAAGAAAACGTCTCTATATTACAGTCCATTTGGTTACTACACTGTTGTAGTATTACCGATGGTTGCCTGAAAGTGTGACCAATGTAAACTTACGAAATTGTGTACGTATACATACCGTGTGGAATAATACTCGGTGATTGATTAAAACTTCCGTGATGTAACATGGGCAGTGCTGGAAGATGATGACGATGTACTGGAGGAGGCGGGCCTGGAGGGTGCAGGGGAAGGTGGTGAGGTACGACCACAGGTGCATTCGGACGATACGCCGGGGGAGGATAGCTGGTATCGGGAGGGTTAGTAATGCTAGCTAGCAGATTAGGATGAATATTATTGAAAACGGGCTCTTTGATTCGTGCCGGAAATATATGCGGCGGAGGCGATCCGGGCGGCGGCGGCGGGGGAGGAAGTGTATCTTCCTCGCTTTCCTCGTCAAATTGACTCTGTCTAATAACTTTCACCTAAATATCGTTGATTAGTTCACGTTTCAGACACCACATTTTACGTACTTTTACTTTCTTCTTCTTGGGAGCCTTTTCTTTTTTTGGCAGTTTAATTTTCTTAAATCTTTTCTCTTTTGGCAGTTTTCTAGGAGCTGGTGGTGGAGACGACAGTTCTTCGCCTCCAGAAGGGGAGGTTCCCTCGCCCGGTCTAATTCCATCGGAAAATAGTACTTGTTTACGTTTATCAAATAACTCTTCCCTTTCTTCTCTCCTGCAATAGACATAAAGTGGTTTAGTCGTTAAAACTGGTTTAGGTATAACTTTTGAGCTAAAATTCCTTTGCCCGACGGCCTGTAGGCGCTATTCGAAACGATTTGGGGAATCGGGGGCCATTGTGCCGGTTTCTGAGATTCATTCGCCTGCTGTTCATCCGATAGATTGGCATCTTCCAAGATAAGCGCTTGCTGAAATGTTGATTAAACAAAAATGACTCTTTTAACCGTCTTACCTTTATACTAGCTTCGGTTTGCAGTTTTACTTTAAGTTGCTTACGCCGTTCTCTTTCCTTGCGTTTCTTCTCTTTTTCCTTACGTTTCAATTGCCTTTCCTGTTTTCTTTTGTCTTTCTCCGCCCTCCTTTCGGCCTTTTGTTTTATTAACATTTCTGCATTAAAAGTACTTTTAATTGGAGTTGACGTCGAAGGGACTGGAGGAGGGTCATTTTCAGGTTCAGGTTCAGGTTCAAAGCTATCCGGAAATGACGTGGTGGGTACTATTTGTAACATGTTTCCAACTTGTAAGATTTTCTGGGTACTGTTGCTGATCTAAGTAGAACAATGTAGTTGATTATAAACAATGTAGCACTTACTTTATTTTGTTGTAAGGGAGTCTTCCTTTTGGGAGGGGCGGGGGCCTCGGAATAATCTTCCGTCGGTACAACCTGTAAAATATTCCCTACTTGCAAAACCCTCGGTTTAGAACTTTGATTAAGAGAACGTTGATTCCGTTTGTTTACTGTATCAGGTTTTCTTGGTTCCTCAACGTAACTATCAAAGCCCTCAGCGTAATATTGTGATTCATAATTAGCGTTATTCGAATAGGTCGTGGCAATAGGTTTAGGTTCTTCGGATAATCCTAACGCTTGATTGATTCGTTCATCAAGTGACATTCTCCTAGGTGATTTTTCGCTTGCACTTTGGAGATTTGGAGATTCGGTACATTCAACTAAATTACTTTGCAGTAGCTGCTCGTCGCTAATCGTCGAGTCGGCTACACTGCGCTTAAAACCATCTAAAGGAGAACTAAGGGGCGATTGTTTCAGAAGATTATTAGACGATTTGTCTATGCTGGACATTCTTTCTTTCGTCGTTTTACTACACTTTTTGATGGAAAAGTGATCCAATTCGTGGGAGGATAACTTTCGATAGGTTTCCGATACTGGAGAAAAATTTTCACCTTTTTTTCTTCCTTCCTTTGGCTTCGATAAGATAATAGGTTTTGCAGAAGATTCTGTGTCGTTGGTTGGCACTTCATTCCTGAAATAAACGTGTAAACAAATATAGAAAACGAGCTCCTGGGTATGGCTATAGCATGTGCAAAACCAAATTTTGAACCTGGTGGTAGTTTTGCTTTTATTTAAAGTGATATGTATGAAATTTCATTTAAATCCCTCCATAAATAAGAAAGTTGGCACTGCGCATGTGCAAAACCAAATTTTGAAAAATTTGTTAAATTTGTTTTTATTCCAAGTGCCTATGTATCACATTTCATTTAAATACTTTCATAAATAAACAAGTTCGCAATTTGGCTTATAAATGGTCGAGAGGCGAAGAGGGCACAGTGAATGCTGATCGATTAGGCTCTCCTTTTGAAATGGCGTTTGATATGGCTAAAGCTATGCGCATATTGAATGTCATGCAATTCGGTTCTTAACTAACGGAGATGTCAAAAGGGCCTTCTTTATTTTTTGGTCTACATTACCAATTCACAAACTACAAATTTGATAAAGAATCCACCTGCAAAATTTCATCGTAATCGGTCCATTCGTGCCAACGGACGGACAGACACAGCAAAATTATAAACTCGCTAGGAGCTCGTTAATAATAGCAAAAGGCCATTTTGAGTTTGAAAGCTTTATTAATAAGCAGCAGAAGAGGGAATATTCACTGATTTGTGTAAAACAAAAATTACAATGGTCATGCCACAACAGATGTAAATACAGTAGGCGGTCGGTCATCCGCGGCTCGAAAATCCGGCACCTTAGATCATATTAATAATAGATATAGCCAATACCAATGCATGTGAGAGAGATAGCCAACAGTAGAATACCGATCATGCGCACTGAATTGTCAATTGACATTCCCTGCATTTCAGTGGCGTGTTATTTCCGTAGAACATAAAGGGGTTCACGGTGTTATTACAATAGAAACTTGAGTAGTTTTTACAAAAGTAATTAGAATGCTGTGTTTAATTTGTTTAATTTGCGCCGCCTATGGTTTTCAACTGTTTACATTCGGATGCTGTGATGTATTCGGTCCTACTTTGATCTTGACAGCAAAACCACGCGTCTTTTTTGCTTTTGTTGGCCCACTAATAATGGTCACAGGCCATATCTATGGAACCGTTAATTGCACAGCTTCGTGAAACAATTTTGTTAACAAAAAGGGCCAAGAGAAATCACTGGAAATTATTTTCAAGTTTCTAGCTTCGGCGCTAGAGAGCGTACGATTCATGGTTAAGTAGAAAAATGACTTTTTCTAAAATATACTCAACAAACGTGAATAGCAATCTTGTATCAATTTTGCATAATTTTGAAGCAGCACATATTGCTCTAGCTCATAAAATATGAGGGGTAGGGGAAGGGGAACATCTATTTAAGAAATCGAATGTAACTTCGGTTAACCGATTTTCATATAATATATAATAGTTTAGTATTTATTAATTTTTAACTTTACATGTATATTTATATTTTCTTGTTGTTTGTTTACGCTTGTTTATAATGTTTGTAAATTTTTTGAATTATTCAACACCTCTCTGGTAAAGAATAAAAGTATCTATCTATCTATCTATAATAGGTCTTGTTAGAAACAGCTGTCTTCGTGGAATCAGATTTTACATTAATAGAACCTTTTTAGTAAATGTGATGAGTGGTAGAGGGCGCGATGTGACATTAACATGAACTTTGCAGGTTTTTTTGCAAATTTCAAATGGAACGATATAATTATTATATGATATTATCAAATAAGATGAAAAAGTGAAAATATCAGTGAAAACCGCATTCACAAGTGTTAATTGCATTATTAATGCTAATCCAAGTTGGCTTTGAAACAAAAGAAACACAATGCCACGTAAAAAACTGTCAAAGTTGCATCAAGAGTGTATGCTGTAAGGTATCCTGAAAGAAGAAAATATCTCTGATGTCTGGTGCGGCATAATCGAAAGGAGAATTATTGGTCTCTATTGAAACCCTTAATGGTGAGGGGTATGTGAATTTTCCATGAATCGTACGCCCTCTAGCGACGAAGCTAGAAACTTGAAAATAATTTCCAGCGATTTCTCTTGGCCCCTTTTGTTAACACAATTTTTTTCCCGAAGCTGTGCAATTAACGGTTCCATTGATATGGCCTGTGACCATTATTAATGGGACACCCTGTACACTTGGTCAAGAAGGCGGACTTTTTGTACTTACTTTAGTAATCTTTTATTGTAGGAATCTATGATACAAAAATCTCTTTCGGCTCAGCCGATCAGGTGTAGGTAGATTTCTTTCCGCCATCTTGTTCCAATACGGCGGAATTGAATGATTCACAAACTTGACCGAGATATTTATGAGTAACACCAACCCCTAAAGTTTGGTCCAAATTGGTTCATAATCTACCTAAAAAACATAGTCACTCGCGACCAACGAAAGCGCATTTTTCTCGCGCAGAATCAGTAATAATTCAAGAAGGTAGGGGTAATCCAAAAAAATCTTTTGTCATTTTGGTCTTGGAACCATGCTACACTGTATAAGTGTATAAGAAAGAAACCCCAACAAAAAAGTTTAAAACTGGAGGATCAGTAGTGGTACAGCCGGACAGACAGACGGACAAAGTGCGGACAATAGCGTTCAGTTTCCTTTTGAAAAATGCGCTAAAAAATGTTTGATATTCCATACAAATTCACTAATCCGGCAATCCAGTGATTCGAGCGCCTACTGTATAGGTATATAGGATTTTAATATTGATAATGCTGAAACCCAATTTAATATGAACATTTTTTATTTTTGGCCTTTATTTTTAAGTGGGCGGAGTTTTAGACGTTTACTCCCACAGACCTCCGGAGATACGTGGGTATCGCATACCCCACAGGAAAAAAGGATTCAACGTTCGTGTCTCTACAATTAACATAACATTAGTATACTGGCATACCCCCCCACCCCCCGGAGCCAACTAATGCCTGCTCTACCAACCCAATCCACTATACATTTACAAATATCCATACCCGAACCCGGATTCACACCAAGGACCCTTAGTAACGCAAGTTGTATAGTAAGGCTGATTCTAGCCCACTTTGACCTTGAGTTGCGCCCACTCCAAGAGTCATTTGAACGACTGCGCAGCACCTAGTGAATGTCACTGAAAGTAATCGTGGTTGTTATCTAAACTCAGTGTCACTGAAGGTCATCGTGGTTGTTGTCTAAACTCAATTTGATCGAGGTTGTTGTCTGTAGACTAAAAACCTTAGACCATATAGTACATGGACTGCTAATTGTAAATAAAATATGGTCAAGGACATCGCCTGGGTATGTCAGTTTCAGGGTAAACGATTCCGTCCGATGAGACACGATTTGAGACTGTCAACCTATAAATTAACAAATGTCAATTAATTAATCGCCTAGATATGGCAAAAAAAGCGAAGCTGTTCTTATTTGTGGACGTATAGAAGATAATCAAGAGTATTTAAAACTTCCCGTACTACGCGGTTACCATAAAAGCTACTCTTTACGCGATCTGAGTGGTGTTCATACGACTTTAGTTTACCCTGAGATGCACATACCCACGACTACAGTGCCCTCTATCCGTGACCACCCATTTTGTATTGAAAGCATAGGGCTAATAGCAGTCCGTGTACTATATGGTCTAAGCTAAAAACCCACTGAAGGCTATACGGTAGGGTTCTTGCCTGAACTAATGTCACTGAAGGCTATCGATTTTTATGCCTTACGCAGTATTTTTCTGCATTTGGCGCAGAGCACGAGATGGGAAATGGTGATTACAACCCCGAGGAGTGTCAAGAAATTGCCAAAAAGTACGACTTAGGTTAAGCAATATGTGACAGTTACTTAAACTATAAAATATGTGACAAGTGTATTATTCGGAAATTAAGGGATGCCAAGTTGGAGCAGTTTAGTGAAGAGTTACAAGGGTGGAAGAATGACACAGCATCTGGTGAAGAGTGTTAGATTTGATAAATCGAATAACAGAACATATGTAATATAGTAACGTAAGCAAGGAAAGGATTGTGAGAGACTGCTGCACTTCGTTTCCAAAGCAAAATTGGACAACTTGATGCAATTCTTGATTCCTTTGCTATGCACAACATTTTTAACACACATGTGCCTTGTAAGGAAAGAGGCTTTTATAAGTCTCCGCCACCATAATCAGTCATGCGTTCGAATTACATTTTAGTTCAGGTAAGAACCACCCGTTTGACCTTCAGTTGGTTTTTTGAATCGACTATACATTGTTTTGTGTGCCCTTTATTTCACATTCAATTCTAATCCACCATTTAACCTTCAATGCTGCCCTGCAATTTTGCCCTCTATTTCGCTTTCAAGTTTGATCTTCAATGACACATTGCGATCGAGTAATGCGCAGAGAACTCGCATCTACGTTTGACCTTCAGCGACATTAGTTCCTGAGAAAACCCTACCCTTAAATCTAGACCAGTGTTTCTCCACCGGACGTCGTAATTGCACCGGTAAAAGATTGTAGTCCATATTCGCGCGGTGGGAGGAGGGGGGGGGGGTCTGTGATACTAATGGCTCAATTTAAAATTCATTACCAAGGACAATCAAACAATATAAACCAATGGTTCATGATATTGCGTAGATATTATGATTTTCATTGATTTTTATTACACCCGCATCACAATTGCTGTTTAAAATACATCTGATCGTGCAAAAAGAGGCGACTAAAACAGGCCGAGCTTTTTAATTCCAATATTGATTATTACCAAAGGATAGAAGATTTAAATACAGTAGCGGCCAAAAGTGTTTCACAATTTAATTTGTTCGTGGTAACACTAGCATTTACTACGGATGTTAATGAAATATTAATATGTTATTTAGAGTGCTATTAAAAACAATTCGAGTCAGTCAACCACTATTTGTTGTAAGGATGCTTCATTTATTTTTTAGATTCTTTATTAACATCTGATAATTCTATGGTAACACCATGAAAAGTCATTGCCGACCAACTGTATTGTGATAAACTTTTGGCCGCTGCTGTACCTATAACATTTCCATCATGTATGTCAGCATTAACATTGCATTTAAGACTTGGTTTGAAAGATGCTTCCTATTCATTCACGCCACCAATCTTTAATATTCTATATAATGGGTTGTTGCATTTGTTTAGATTTTGCAGGTACAAACTTTTTCTGTTTCTGCAACAAACCCCACCGAATGAATGGTGTATTATCTTCTCGTTGCGCGTGTTTTAAAGACTTGTATACTAATATACTATTTTTACTTGCGTCATTGTTTTTTTTATTCCAGATGGATTTTTTTTAAATAATCTGAAATTACGATTTTTATCATTTTCAATAATACAAAGCGCCTTAAATTGTTTTTTAAAAATTGCGGTACTTTACGCGATTTCATTAATTTAAAAAAATTAATTCAAAAAATGAGTTACCTTTTTACTAAATTTTTCTCCGTTTGTTTTGGATGTGAAGTCGAATTTCTCTGTGGCATGTCTGAAATGGTTTGCACACTTTCTTCCTCATTCATCGGCAGCAGCTTGTGTTCGACAATTTCCGTCGTAGTAACTTCCTCTTCATTTTTCACCGATATATTATTGTTCAAATTGAAGTCGTCCATTTCGCTTTTCGTAGACACGGCCATAAGGGGACTGCTTGTTTTTTTAATTTTTAACTGCGGTAAGATGGCGCTGTCGGTAACACTCGCTTCGATTGCCAATTTCGTTAATTTAGAAGTGTCAGATTTTATGAGAACCGGATCGGGACTGTCTTTGGGCTCAGGTTTCTCTTTTGGAATGTCATGTTTAATTGGGGAAACTGCTATAGTTGCCATTACGGAAATTTGATCGGCAATAGACGGTGTGCTATTCAAAACTGCCGAATCAACTTTCGGCGATGGAACCGGTAAGGGAATAATTTTGTCTTGCGGTTTATGGGGAACTTCAACTTGTGGCAGTGGAATTTCTACAAGATTCACTTCTTCTTTTTGGAATAGGTCACGTTCCACATCTTCTATTTTGAAAACTTGCTTGGTTTTGACTTTCTTTACGGAATCAACGCTTGGCTTTTGCGCCACCGGTTTTTTCTTAACCTCCTTCCTTTTCTTTGCAGAGTTAGACGACGAGGAGGTTGTTGATGATGATGACGATGAATCCGAATCATCCGAACTAGACGATGACGAGCTACTAGAACTACTCTTAACTTTCTTCGACCTCTTTTTTACTTCACTTCTGCTTTTCTTCTCATTTAACATCGTGCCTTTCGTTTGGGAATTTAACGCCTTCAAAAATTTCTCATACTCATTTTCTAGTACTTCCGGTTTCGCCTTTTCATCGTTTACGATAACCTTATTACGTTTGTTACTATACTCCGCCTTGGGTACCTCGACTTTAGCACTCTCCAATTCGTTTACATCGATACTTTGCCACCTGGAACGTTTACGCTTCTCCGATGACGCTCTTTTATCAGCATGCTCGACGCTTTTGGGTAAAATTTCCGAAACTTTTCTAGAACCACGATCGTCCTCCTTTGGAAAATGGTAGGTTTTGTGACGATATCGATCTTCGCCGGCTTGATACGACTCGTTGTAATTTTCCTCAACGTTAGACCTGCGCAAATAGTATCTCTCTCGTTCCAGTTCCTCCAATTTCCTTTTCTCAATTTCGAATTGGCGCCTTTCCTCCATTAGCGATCGCCGATCTTCCGCCAGCCGCATTTCCTCACTCTTAATGGTCATATAATCGTCCTTCTCCCAAGAATCTTCGGTGTACAGAGAGTAACACTTTTGGTCGTTTTCCAATCGGAAATTAATACGGTCCGAATTGTGTCTTTCGGCCTCCCACTGAATATCCCTGTAATTTCTTATGTTTAACGGCATTTCTAGGTAAGGGGGTGAAGGGTTATCCAAAGAACATCGCGACCTTCTCCTATCATTGATGAATCGATCCCTGAAAGGTGAAAAGTCCTCGACTACGGGTGCCTTGTGGGGGGACTCACTTTTATAAAATTCTCGTACGGGAGATTTACATAGAGGAATATCGGCGTCGCTCTCCCATGACACGTTGATACCGCTTGTGTCTGTATACAAATCGGATTGTTTCGACGTACTACTGTTCAATAACTCATCGTCGCTTTCCCATTTGGAATAATACTCATCGGTATCAGGTGTGTTTAGTTCTCGCTCCGCTGGAGCTTTTGCATTGACATCCTCCACCTCCTTAGTCTCCTGTGCCGGTGGCTTATCGCCGCTATCTACTTTAACCTCCTTTAAGTTATCTTTTTTAACCTCCTTTACGCAATCTTTACCATGTGGGGGTATCTTCTTTAAAACTTCTTCCTTGCGTTTCTTTTCTGGAATCGGCGATTGCTCTTTTTTCTCTAACTTGTCTTGCTTTTGCGATGAAGAGTGCCGATCCGAAGACCGTTTGTGTTGACGTTTTCGGACGGTTTGTTCTACAGAACGAGAACGATCTTGAGTGTCTACTTTTTCAGTATTAGTGATTTCGTTTGGTGTCTTTTTCGTTTGTTTTTCTTTACTCTCACTTTTTTTAGGTTTTTGCGCGTCATTATGTACGTCTACTTTGGGGGGTTTCGTCTCTGGTCGTTCGACCCAATCATTCTCTTCACTTTTCCTTTTCTTATCGCTCTTATCGCGCACTTTTTTCTTTGGCTTCTCCTTTTTTTCTTTTTTTTTCTTTGTTTTCTTGATTTTGTGCTTGTGTTTTCGTTCTTTGGGTTTCTTTTGTTGTGGCATTTCGGTTTTGCTTGCACCTTTCACAACGGCTTTCTCTGTCAATTTGGTATCGTCTTTATCTTGTTCCTCCTCGTCGGAATAATTTTGGAGAAAAGATAAACTCAGAGAGTTTTCCAACACTGTACACTCGGTCTCCTTTTCGATACTGCTGAAGCATTTCTGTGGATACCATCTTCTTATTGACGATTTGGACGTTATTTTCTCCCTGAAAAATGATTTAAATGTACACGTTGAAACATAATTCATATTTCAACTTACAAGGGACGAGCGGAGGTGTTAATAATCTTCGAAATGTTGTCGCGATACGGTTTTGAAATATAATCGAGCACACTTTTCCTGTTATATGGTGTCGACTCAACTTTCTCAGTCACACTAAAGGATATTGGCGGTTTTGTTTTCGTACTCCTAACGAATTGATCAGTAAAATGTTATGAAATGCATTAAAGCTCACCTTCGGGAAAGAATTGGAACAATCCTCTCCTTTCCTGAAACATCCTTAAACGTCAATGGATGTAAAAGAAGTGAAGGAGTTTCGAACAAGAACTGCCTTCTAAAACTGAAACAGAGATTAAAGTTATAGCATATTATATGCAGCAGTAAGTCGGAAGAAGAAACAAGATTGCAAAATGTTCAATACCGAACTACAGTAAAACGTGAACCGGATTAAATGTACCAACCATCAAAATAACATCACATAATCATCTAATAAAAGGTCAATTTTTAGAAAAGGACTAATACCCCCAAACCACATACAATTTGTTTTAATTGTCTCGAGTCGGGACACACCTTTCATATGTGTTTAAAGAAAATTAAAATTTTTGTTTTGTTTGTGGCAATTATACCTACTTTAATTGGAAATTGTCAAACTTTTAGGTAGAATTCAGCTTCCTGTTACAATAGAAGGGAATTGCAAAACCATATCGGCCGTTGTGTGTACGAGTATCACAACACCAATTATTTTAGGTGTGCGCGGATATTTTGAAAAAATTACACTTTACGGAAGGGAAAATGTTAATCAGAAAATTTCGCTCTACTGAGTTTGGTCTTTTTCTCAAGAAAAGCGGTGCATAAGTAATCGTCTGTGTGGCTCAGTGCTAGAAAGTTGGACTACACAGCCGGGAGGTCCGGTGTTCGAACCTGAGTTTAGGTGAATTTTTCCTCTGTGGCAGAGATGGGAATTTCCTTATATCAGTTTCGAGCAGAAATGATTTTGACATGTTTTAGGTACAAATATTTTGGTCAGCAAAAATACACATGGAGCACTTGGGTATCAAGTAATTGAGTTTGGCCTTTTTCTCAAGAAAAATAATGCATAAGTCACGATGTGACATATTTTGGGTACAAATATTTTGCTCACTAAAAATACACATGGATCACTTCTAGACTATCGAGCAATCGATTTTGGTCTGTTCCCAACAAAATTGGACCAGAAGATAAGATTTTAGACATCGTTTGGGTACGAATATTTTGATCACCAAAAATGCATATGGAGCATTCCGTGGGGATCGAGCAATCGAATTTGGTCTTTTTCTCAAGAAAATTGGTGCATAAATAACGATTTGGACAACTTTTGGGTACAAATATTTTGGTCACCAACAATACACATGGAGCCTTTTTGGGTACTGTCTTTTTGTTAAGAAAAATAGTGCATAAATAACGATTTTAACGTCTGGGTAAAAAAAATTTGCTCACCAAAAAACACAATGGACCACTTCTTGGATATCGACCAATCGAGTTTGGTTTTTTTCCCACAAAAATTGGTCCATAAGAAATGATTTCACATCTTTTGGCTGAAAAATTCACCTCTTCGGCATTAAGGAATAGTTCGGTATCTTTCCCAACAAAATTGATGGACAAATACAGATTTTGACCGATTTTGAGCAACAACGCCAAAGTTAATTTTTGATAGTTGTAGATCTGGAACGCATAAGTTTTCATTCGAAGTCAATACGAAGTCTAAGAACTGAGCAATAGCGCGGAACGACGGTTCGGTGGACGGAAAAGTGAGGACATAAGCGCTCTACATTCGTGGGTTGCGCTAAAAATGGAGCAATACATCAACAAAAGTAGCAAAAAAACTTGGTTAACAAATAGGTAGGTACCTGAATTTCCCCTTCTTAAAGATTGCTATTGTGTCCCACGATGAATGTCGCCTATCTATATTTCAAAAAAGAGACCACGGAATATGTAGAAAATCTAACAGTATACAATCAGAGGAATTCACCTAAAAGATTTTGAAGTTGGTGGCACTTCCAGTAATACCAAACCTTATTTTAAAAGGAACATCCTATATTAAATTTTTGGGTTTCTGGGACAATTTGATAATGAGTTTCATTATAATTCCCCATCGTCAAATGGTTTTAATTACTGATTTATCGCATACAGAGTGTCCTAAATTTAATTACCAATTTAGACATTTTCCAAATTGAAAGTTTTTAAATGCAAAATAATAATAATAATAATAATATGCATTACAACCTAAATTTTGTTTAGTTTTCGACATGAAAACGTTATTTTTCTTACTGTTTTTAAATAGTAGGTCATGGATTCATGGAGATGTTGTTTTGTTTATTGTATCCATGGTAATTAAGGCAGGTGATGATACCTCAGCTGTCATTGAAAATGGCAAACGGTAGAAACATATTTCAAAATTTTGAAAAATATATAATATACAATTACATACGAAAATATAGGTTTGGATACATGAATGTAATCACTAATCAGGAAAAGAATGCAAGAAATTGACGTCAAAATATACAGGGTGTTGCATTTAAAAAATACCAACTTTGGGTCAAATCTCAGAAACAGTGTTCCAAAAATTTGTTTGACTGCCCTATGTAAAAATATTAAAAATAGGCAATTTCTACCTTTTTTTTCAAAAAGTTAAACTTTTTGTCTTCACTCTTGTATCTCAAAAATGAACGTAAGTAGTTAGAATTTTATACAAAATTGTCTTCCCATTTTCAAATATACAGCAAATGTAAAAATGTGGAGCAAATGCAGCAAATTTTGGGTAAATTTAGAGGAAATGTGGCAAATACTCATATTTTATGGATGTCCAGAGATTCTGCATTTAATGTTTAATGTCATGTACAAAATTTCATTTGACGATTTTCCCCTTAAGTTTCATTCTGAATTATGAGAGTACACCCCCTAAATTCAAACAAGTTGGAACAGAGAGAATACGAACTAATACCCATCAATCTTGTAATATCCTGTTAAATAGCGTCAAATCAGAAAAGCAAGCATTTCATGAAATATCAAAATGATTAACAAAGAGAAACTTTATTAGAAATCAGCAACAGGAGCGTTCTGCAAAACAGCAAATAAGCATTACTAGCAGAATGTAGATCTAAAGAAAGGCACTAACAAGCATGGATTGAAGATTTACAATACATACTCAAGACACTCTTCAATTTTCTTTGCAGATTTCCCATTGGCTGTCTCTTGATCGTATCTTCTCTCCCTAAACTCAGCCCAACACACCGGATATCTGCTTCTCTCCCTCGACCTAGGGCGTACTTTCTCGTCACTTCTACTCCTTCGATGCTCCTTCCTATGATGACTCTTCCATTCTGCAATAATGCCATTAGTTACATTAAAAACTTGCACTTTAAAAGCAATACCGTTAGATCTACTTCGAGCATCTATCTTCGTCTGTTGTTCTGTAGGTCCGTAATACGTCCGGGCATGTTCCATTTTTTTGATTTCCTCAATCTCTTCTATCACCGCTTTGGCCTTTTCGGTTGGATTTAAACCTGGAAAATTATCATTGTCAAGCGATATCTAATGTATAATGGGCCCAAGTACGTTTTTTGCATTTCTTGGCGGGTTCCATTTTATCACTATCAGTCTTCTCCTCTTCCTTAGACTTATTTCGTTTGCAATTTGGCGAAATACTTTGTTTTGAAGCCGAAAATGCTAACAGCCGTTTTTTTGCCTGTTCTTTGCCCAACAGTGCGATCTTTGGTACAGATATGTCTAGTAAATTATCTGTATTAGGTGTAGGTGTAATACTCTCCGTTGGAGGCATGTTACTTGGACTACTGCTCGGTTCGGCACCAGGTGACTGATTGTTTGTACAGATTGTCTGATCTGTCGTCAGAGTTAGATTAGGAGAGTTATCGCAAGCATGGTCATCGGTTTGCTTCTCGGCCGACTTTTCATCACTCATGCTTGCTACTATTTGCATTTGTATTATATCACATAAACCATTACTTATGATTGTAACTATTTTATTTACATTAAAGTAACACAGTTTAACATACCTTTAAATGCATATTGCAACAGGCTAGAAAACGTTAGGGCTAAATTTGAAAAATAATTGGAACTATTTTACTAAAACTTTCATAGTTTAAAATACTATTACAAAATAACAGTCTTGAATGTTTATATAAACACTGTGCTAGGTGCAAAAAGGAGCCAAGTTGATCATTTTAAATTTTTTATAAGCTAAGCGTGTGCCTACACGATTTTTAGTCCGTTCATTCATTCATCAAACATGCAATATTATTACATTTTTTAATTTATTATAAAAATGATTATTATTTGTGTGCAAAATCTTCTTTTGACACCATAATCAATAGATACTAGTTTCACAGGCTGGCCAGGTCTGATGTTTTTAGTGTCAAAACAAAAATAACTAAGTAAAGTTCAAGTACAGGTCATGGGATGTCGCATAGTTGCCAAACCTGTAACCGTATGTATCAGTATGTATAAAGCTTAGAAAAGGAAAGATAGAGGAGAGATAAAAGATGATCATCAATTTTAGTTCTGTTTGCCATCAATAATATATTACTAACAATAAAGTCAATTTACATGCTTTTCATCTGCACGTATAAACAAGAAGTACAAAAGCTTTATTTGCCACCAAGCTATGTATGCGAATATTTGCTTCGACCCGCAGCATTGCATTTTATTGAGTATTACGGGTCTCCTCCTTCCATAGTCTAAGCCTCTTTAGAGGTTTTAAGTTAGGAACATTTGTATGTGAAATTCAATCCGGTGGACTAGAATTCCAAAATGCCTTTGGTTAAAAGTAAAGAAGTTACTCCAGGGGCGGACTGGCCCGGAGGGGCGGGTGGCGATTGCCACCTGGGCTGTAGATCATAATGGCCCGTTGGAAATTTATAAGTATGTGCTGTATTTAGTTTCTTGCACTATTAATAAATTATGAACACGTTTCTCTAATTGAGGTTGATGTTAGGTTGTTAAAAAATTCTGTTTTAATTGAAGTGTTTTACAATGAATTTATCATTTTTTGTCGTAGTATTTTGAAAGTGCTGAAATACAATGATAGGCGACGCACCTCGTGTGGATTGTATATTTTGTTACTTTTAATTATCAGCTGCAATTAAAAAAAACTGTATGGTAATTGATTTTCGAGAAAGGAGTGTTTTTGTGGTGCACCTCAGAGTTTACCCCCCCCCCACCCCCGCCACCTTCATTACTACACTAATACTTTAATGGCCCGTAACCTATGCAATTTCACCTGGCCCGTAAGTACCCAGTCCGCCCCTGAGTTACTCCAACAAGTTCCATACAATAACAATGTGTGAAATGCCTCTGAGAATGATTTTTTCGATTGTATGCTTTTTCCATAACTTTCCAAGTCCTTGCCAGGTCTCCTGCTCAGCACATTCCACTTAATACCTTCAATCTCCATTTCAGATCTTTTTCAACGCTTTTCAGAACGTTGTGTGTTCATTCTGGAACAGAATAAGCTCTTTTAGCTTTGGCATTATGTGAATCCTTAAAATGTTGGAAGTCGTGTATACCAGTTATGGGAGCAACTGGAACGTGTGAAGCGCTTTCCACAACTCTCAAAGTGTTTTATAGAGCCTTTGGGCGTTTTCTAGGGTCACCTATGTGTTTTATAGATTCCTCTAAATTTTTCTTAATCATATATAGCTATGTAAAACTTGGAGGACGATTTAAGAATCTTGAAAAAGGCCGAGGCATACTGGGAAAACGCTAGAAAAGCCGGTTTAGGACACAATCCAGAATGCTTTAATCAATTTGGTTTGGTCTATTTAAAATACAAACATAAAATGATTTTAAATCCGTTTTTCAAGTACCTGATTGCGGACAGTTTGATTTCTTGTAAAACAATAAGACATTTTTAAAGTTTGCCTAACAATGATTATTCAAAAAACAATAACATTTTAGGCGTCAATGAAATTCAAAACGTCTGCAATTTTGCGGACCTGGTATTCGGTGGAATTTCGCATTTGTAGTTCGAATAAACAATGGTAGTTCTACGTGAGGGACGTAAAACTGGCAACGCCGGACTTCAAGATGGTCGACACTCCAATTCACCATTTTGTTATGTTTTAACTTTCAACATATGATGATGTTTTAAATATAAATCTCCAATTTTAATATTTAAAAAATGCAGCCATATACAAAGGTACCGTTACTACATTTTGAAATTTGTCGAGCGTTAATGCGTTCTTGTTTACAGAAGCTACCATCAGACGAAGAAGAAGATTTGGAATCTTTACGTTTGGCTGCTTTACAGTCTTTAAAAAGATCTGTACCTAGTGTCAATACCTTCAGTCTGCCTACTAACAATACGAAGATTTACAAGAAGACTAACAAAAGAGGGAGAGGTTGTCATGTAAATGCGCGGAATAACCGAAATGTAAGATGAAATTGTACGTTAGCGTTATACATTACTTTTTTTGTAGGGTGTCTTTGGCAGTAGAATAAGGAATTCGAATCTTATTTCTGTACCTACTGTAGAAACGGAAGTATGTCAATCAAATGCAAGCAAAAAACCGGCAGAAGCGCTTTCGAAATTAATTCTTCCTCAAGATCGTTACAGTAAACAAGCGGACGTGGAAGAGAAAGCTGAACCTGGTAGCAAATTTGATAGGTACAAAGATTCGGAAAGTGAATCGGATTCTGACTCCGAAGATGTAACGGAATCACGTGAGGGATTGCAACGTTCGAGTAGTTTAGAGGCATTAATGCAGGAACTAGAAAATGAAATTCAACGTGATGCAAAAAAAGAGGAAGTGCCGAATGTTAAACAAGTAAAAAAGGTTAAACTCGAAGAAGTGACCAGTATTACAGTGGCAAAAGTGAAACCTCCTGCCGTTGAGGTTATTAAAAAGACAGTGAAAGATGTGCACCCACCGCAGCCCAGTTTACCACAATTTCCCGTTACACCTATCATTGAAACGAATGGTGGCATTCCGGAAAATACAAATAGTTACGTGCATGCGCAGGTCCCGTTTCCTCATACACAACAGTTTTTTAATTTTAATCCGTGTCCTACCGTGCCATACGATCCGAATGTGGGGTATAATTTTCCACCGATCAATCCGATGGAGGGTCATGTAAAACCGACGTACTACGAGAGACCTTTGTCGCCGCTTTCTTTCGATACGGGAGTTTTCAACACGATTACTGCACCGTTGTCGCCTAGAAGTGCTGCGTTTGTGTTACAAAATCGTGAAATAATCGAAAGGAGGAAGAAATCACCTAGGCGATCGTATTCTCGAAGCCCCTCCCCAAGGTAAGGTATAGTTTTGTCAACTGAATTGTTCGATAAAAGGATTATTTTTATTACTTTATTTGATTGTGGGACGATCTGCATATTTTTCAGATGAAAATGTGCTATTGTCCTTCGCATTTTGTAACGGGTCTTTTTTGAATTTGAATGTCAATGTTGGCTTTGCAAAATTGAGATTGTGAACCACGAACTTATAAATTAAGATGGACTGCTAATGCGGAATTGACAAATGACACCTACATGGGGGCAGCCATGATGTGCACTCACTTGGTGCGAAATTCAAATCAACTAATAAACAAGCCTTGAACATCACGTTTTCTAAATAAATTACTGTGACACATGTTATTTTCCAAGGCTGCAATAGTCTCAAAACTTGAGCACTAGGAAAATTCCTCTAGAAAATGACTAAAACGTGCACATCATGACCACGCCCATGCTAGGGCCATTTCTACCTCTATGCAACTGTTTGATCAGCAGTCCATTTTAATTTATAAGTTGGTGTTATGAACCCACCAAGATTACGCAAACTGAGCGATCCACCAATTGTCAAAGAGCATGGTGCTAATTCTAATTGTGAGGTTATGTTTGGTTACAGTTGTCTCTAAATCTGAGAGCAAGTCTTTATTTCATTTCTTGCTCTGAGGTCTTAATGGTGCATGGCTATCTTTGTTATTATTGTATTTACAGATTCGGTTAAATTGGCAAAGTTGTGAGTAGTAATATATGGCCGCTCCTAAATCTCACTAGATGAAAATCCCTAGAAAAGTCACTAGAATTGAGTGGTTCTGAACTGTGGTAGCGAGGTTTGCGCCTGTGCTAACGTCAAGGTCAAGGGGTCGAGGTTTGTGCTCAAGATAAAGTATCGGAGGTTTGCGTCCGAGCTAAAGTAAGTCGGTTTGTGCCTGAGGGTTCTTGTCGATGGTAGTGTACGGCCGATTCTAAATCTCACTAGATGAAAATCCCCCTAGAACAGTCACTAGAATTGAGTGGTTCTGAACTGCGAGGGTTGCGCCTAAGCTAACGTCAAGGTTCTTGTCTAAAACGAATATATGACTGTTTCTAAATCACACTAGCGTTAAGAGGTTTGAGCCTGGGCTAAAGTAATTTGATCATGTTGGAGGTTTGCGCTCAGGGATAAAGTATCAGAGGTTTGCATCCAGGCTAAAGTAAGGTTTTCGCTCGAGATGAAGTGGTTTGTTTATGAACTGAAGGTGGTATATAAAGGATAGGAATGAGTGCTGTAATATTCATCTTGGTATAGAAAGAGCATCCGTTACAATGACAAAAACAGCATCAACCACAACAACAACAACATTTGTAAATGTGAGCCGAAACCGCAACAGAATTGAGGATTTACTTACGAAAATAAAGAGATTAAAATGGGACCTGGAGGTATTCGAGGTGCAACGAAAATTGAGTAAAGTGCGCTTGCACACAAGAAGTTGAAAGAGCCAACGTCTATCAAAATTACGATTTTTTTGTACTACACATGTATATTTAAGGGCTGGCGCTCGTATCAATAATTATTGTATGTGAGCGCTTTAAGATCCATTTTTTAACTGTTTGGAAAGCACTATCGGACTGAATGAAAAAACGCCCTGCAGCTCACCTTATATTTCCAAAGTGTGACCTTGAAATCTACAGTAATAGATTTCTGCACGGTGATTGACAGGAGATAGAATTGTTAGCCCGGACGCAAACCCCGAAAGCAACTTAGTGTGATTTCAGTCCTACATTATCGAGAGTAGCTTTACTAGTTTTACAAACCCCAGTCCAGAACCGTACAAGCAAAACATTCAAACCCACGGAGCACATATACAAACCTAGTTACTTGAAGGCCCCGATCAAATTATCCTACCCCGGAAATAAACCACCACGATCAAATTGCCTTAAACGACCTTGAAACTTCACCGTAACCTGACCACAAACCTCCGGCCCAAATAGCTCGGACGCAAACCTCCGATACTTTATATCGAGCACAAACCTCGACTCCTTGACCTTGACGTTAGAACAGGCGCAAACCTCGCTAGCGCAGTTCAGAACCACTCAATCCTAGTGACTTTTCTAGGGGGATTTTAATGTGATTTAGAATCACCCGTACACTGCCATCGACAAGACCCCTCGACTCAGGCGCAAACCAAATTACTTTAGCTCGGACGCAAACCTCCGATACTTTATCTCGAGCGCAAACCTCGACCCCCTTGACCTTGACGTTAGCACAGGCGCAAACCTCGCTACCGCAGTTCAGAACCACTCAATTCTAGGGATTTTCATCTAGCGAGATTTAGAATCGGCCATATATTACTCTCGACTCAGGCGCAAACCAAATTACTTTAGCTCGGACGCAAACCTCCGATACTTTATTTCGAGCGCAAACCTCGACCCCCTTGACCTTGACGTTAGCACAGACGCAAACCTCCAATACTTTATCTTGAGCACAAACCTCGACCCCCTTGACCTTGACGTTAGCACACACGCAAACCTCCGATACTTTATCTCGAGCGCAAACCTCGACTCCTTGAACTTGACGTTAGCACAGGCGCAAACCTCGCTACCGCAGTTCAGAACCACTCAATTCTAGTGACTTCTAGGGATTTTCATCTAGTGAGATTTAGAAGCGGCCATATATTACTACTGTTGTGTAGTTTTTCATGCTGATGGATATTCCGATGCGATATTTTGAAAATAAAAATTCATTTCTAGATAATTGGAAAAAAGTGAATTCGATCAATTTTCGAAAATTCCATATTGTTTCTTAAAAATTTTTTTATCAACACTGAAATAAAACCGGGTTGCACAATGGGTTCAAATAAACACAATTAATCGATTGATGATAAAATTTTATTGCGAAACACGAAAAAAAAATTAAACAAAACTCCTGAAGCAAAGAAAAGCTTGTTTGGAAATATTACCCCGCACGTAGGCGGCCGATAGTGAAGACAAGAAATCCTTAAAATTACTGTGGTCATACACAGGTTTGCGACAACAAGACGCAAACGCTGACAGCTTCTGAAGTTCACTTTTCTTTAATACACAAAACTTGATGCCAAACAACATTAACTTGAGGCCTGTGACTGTTCAGACTGTACAGACTACAAGAGAACGTTAACAGAAGCCGCCACGGTGCACTTTTTTCATAAAACGTACAAACCGTTTTAAACTGCTTAACAAATTTAGTTAACTTGCTTCTATTATAATGGCGAACTGCCCGTATAAAAAAAGCTTTTCCAACCTTCGCGAACCAGCCGTGTTCTTTTGTCGTCTCCAATATTTAAAGAAAAGCCACCTCCATCATAAAAAATCTCCTGCCGGTATTTACAAATAAAGCGCAAGATGATAACGCCGGCTGAGAAAGAACGCGTCCCACGTCCCTACTTACGCCGAAATAAAGGGCACATCGTTGAACACCTGCACGCTGCGTTATCATCACCAGATATGCATTTTCGTTGAAATAGTTAAACTGATCGCAAACATTTAAATAAACCTTTTATAAAATACGCAAACTTTACCAAATGTGTCTTACTTAATGCTTGGTATTCAAATGAATACACAATTACAAACAATTGTAAAATGGAAAAACAACTACGGAAATACAAACTCAAATGAAATAAATCAATTCTGTGGCTATTCGTAAATAACCCCCTCCCCCAGATTCACTTTACTAACTTGAAATATTTCTCATATGCAAGGTGTCCCGTCATTATTTTTGGTGTTTATCAAACACATCACATTTTACAAATCCCACTGAAGAAACTAAAAAGTCAGGTAATACAAAAAGTCAATAATTATCCTTATAAATAAAAATTTTCATATAAATGCCTAAAGGGGTGCAATTCGACCGCAAATTGATTGTCGATTTCAAGAGATTGCCTCCCCTGTTTCGAGAAACAAACGAAATTTGGTAGTCTATCATAACAGAAATCGGATTTTTAAATTTCAAAAAAAAAATTTTTTTAAATATCGCCGCCAGGTTTTTTGCATTGCAGCATCTCCATTTCGTATTCCCCCAAAGACGTGAAGAATTATACATATTTCATCTGGTAATTTTATCGAACTAGGTTTAGTGTCGTGGGCTCTCCTATTATTGCCCTATAATGGACTATCATTTTGATTAAGTGTACAATTTCGCTTTTGAGTTACTGTCAGACTAATAGTACAAGATCCCACATAAGGTTAACCTTCGCTCACCTGTTCGCTGAGTGAAATTGATTTTTTAGCATTCTTAACATGTAAACACACACATTGCAAATGGGTTGTCTAAAACAATTAAGTCAAGACTACTCTTAATTAAAATTAATGTAATTAATATTTCTGTCTGCTTTTATCACATGGAGAGAGCGCATGCGCAGTCTCTTACATCGATGCGTAACTTTTTCAGTCATTTTGAAATGAGAGAGCAACATTTTATAATTGATGTTTTGGGTATTTTATTATTATTAATTGTTAATGCTTGGTTTTAGGTATCGAAGATCAAATTCACGTTCAGAATCTCCAGTGAGACAGCGGGAATCTCCAGGATCGTGCAGCAATGCAAGAAAATCGCAATCCTATAAACGTTCACCTCCTTCACGATACGGTTCTCCGAAGCGTCGACGAAGATCGCCGGCGAAACGTAGACATTTTTCACCTTGCAAGGAGATGGAAACGAAGGAACATACTCAAACTCGCGCCGTTAGTTTAAGTTTGAGTCCCAGTCCGGAACGGTTTACTCCAAGAAGTTTGGCGGATGAGAAGCAGGGGGTTGACGATTCGGTGTTGGAAGCCAGAAGGAAAAAGTTTGAAAGTGACGCCGTTCCAACTGAGGGAATCATAAGGCTTAGACCGAAAGTTGATCAGAATGAACAGTTAACTGAAGGTGACTGGAATGTGACCTTTTTTTATTTTAGTCATTTCATTTTGTTGCAGATGATAAGAGCGTGGACGGCGAGGAAGGTTCTGCGGATGAAGGTTTATCTCCTAGCGAAGACACCTACATCGACTTGAATCTTAAAGTCAACGATTTGTTTTCGGACGAAGATTCGGATGATGAAAATGAAGGTCGCTTCAAATCAAAATCCAATGACTCATTGAAAGATGTCGAGCGTCCAAGAAAACTGCCACGTGTGGCAAAGGATAATTCGAGGAAGAAACGCCATAATGATTACGATCGTGATACTAAAACCTCGAAAAAGGAAAGAAGAGATCTAGATGGCGCGGTAGTCGCAAATTCGAGACATAAGTCGCATCTCGCGCCCCTGGAAAATAGAAAAATCGAAATTAAGATTAGAAATCCCGGTAAATATGAAAGCGAAATTGCGGATGATGGGAAGGAGAAAATTGTTCATTCTCGTAAAGTTGAGGTTACAAATCGGGTCTCTCCATCCGATTCTGAAGAAACTGAGGTTGATGTTAAAAGTGAAGGTATGAATTATATTACTTCAATGTAAACCATAAATGTGAAGAGCTTAGTTTGTTGTATATTGAATTTGTTACATATTTGAATGTAATTTATGGAAATTGTAACACACCCTGTATCTGTTATTCTTAGGTTCGGTAGATTTGAGAGCTCAGCTAAGCAGAAAACGGGCGGAGAGGCAGCACATGGTCCCCAAAAGCGAAAACAATCCCTCTCGACTACTACAAAATGCTCTTCAGGGCGCAGTCTTCAAGAAACAACCCAAAGTGAAAACCAACAAGAAAGAAAAAGATTCGTCAGCATTAGGTAAGTGGTCAGAAAACGGTACGCCATCTGGTTTTTGGATATTGTTTTCTGTTGTTTTGTATGTTTTTCAGATCCATTCTAGCTTCAATTATTTATTTTTAGTAGCTTTAAAGAAATTTTTTGTCTCTGGGATGTTATTTTTAAAGTGTCAGGTAGAAGAATTCAATTTTCAGACTTCAGACAAAATTGGTATTAGCTACTGTGATTAGTTGATCACAGTTTTTTGGACATGTCAAAATTTCACTAATGTTTATTTATTTATGGTATCGAAACTAGATCGGATTGGAGCTCGCGTCGCTCGCTCCTACCGATCACGGCGTTTTGTTATCACACGCCGTTTTTTGTGGTTTTTAGTTTGTAAATTTTTTTTTTAGCTCGACCGTTGTGCGATTGTAGTTTGGGTCGTTTTTAAGTGACGTTGGAATTTTATAAAATGCGAAAAACAAAGGAAAAGAATTTTGATTCGGCTCAAAAAAGCACCAATATATCGATAGTCTTTTTTTTTAGTCAAACTCGGCGTATGTGTTTGTAAAAATGCTACGCATTTTAAGACTTCGCTAGCGTGAGTTGATTTCCCATAAATTTCGCCGAAAATGGGGTATTTTTTACGTTTGAGTCTTTATTTTTTCGGTGTAGTATATACGTATTTGGTTTTGAATAGTGTGTGCTATTTCGCTTCGTTTTAACTGTATACCATCTTTATCATCTATTAATATAAATAAGAAAGTTGAGTTTTGCGCATTTGTAGTACGACTTTCTGCGTATGTATTCTGTTTATTTTTTTATTAGAGATGGCGGTTAGGTTAGGTCGAGATATGGGAAATTAGGTTAGGTCGAAATGGGCAGTTAAGTTACGTCGAATTGGGCAGTTAGGTTAGGTTAGGTCGAGATCTGTTATTGGGTTAAATCGAGATTTACTTTTTACTTTGAACTTGATCTTGAACTTTGAACTTAACCTAACCTAACCAAACGTAACTTAACACTAACTCAACCTAATCGTTCACGTTCACGAATGTCTTTTAATTGGTTTCGTTTTGCATTTCAAAATTTGTCCTCTCATCAGTTAGGTTAGAGCGAGAGCTTTCTAAAGACATCCATGAACCATTATCTACTACGTTCCGTTATCGAGATATCATGATTTAAGTTTTTTTGTGGTGTCAAATTACAAATCGATATATCTTCGTTGTTTACCGTACGTTCGTGATGAAAGTATGTAATGGTAGGTTTGGTGTCTTGGGGCATCTGTTCCCGCCATTTGCGAGTTTCTATCTTCGTTCCAAAATTTCGACCATCCCATCGGTTAGATTACATCGAGAGGTTTCCAAAGATACCCATAAACGCGTTTTAAGTGTTTTCGGTGGTGTCAAATTACAAATTGCTATATCTCCGTTAATTACCATCCGATCTCGACGAAATTTGGTATTGTGGGGTTCAGTAACTCGGGGCATCCGTTCCCGCCATTTCCGAGCTTTTATCTCCGTTCCGAAATTCCGACCCTCTCATCGGTTAGATTAGGTCGAGACCTATTTCAAGACACCCATGAAAAATCCAAAAAACCGTTTTTGCGTAGATCGTCCAAACGCGTGATTTCTGAAGTATCGAGGTCGTAGGTCGAAAGACGCCAGAGATACGTCGATATCTCAAAAAGGGGAGGGGATGGGAAAAAATTGAAAATCCCGTTTCGACCCCCGGGCAGCTATAGATCAAATTTGATCCAGATCGGCCGGTAAATAAGTGAGATAGAGATATTAAAGAGATGCGCGTGGACTTAGAAAAAAAGGCACACTCCCGCCCCCTCTTTGGAAAAGCTCAAAATTGTGGTACTTACAAAACTGCAAAAAGCAGAAAGACTAAACTTAGTATTTGGCTATACGGCAAAATAAAAAAGATTTTACGTTTCGGTTACATCACAAACAAAAAGATCTGTTCTAAACAACGACCTTACCGTTATAAAATTCAGCAATGCCGTGGAGGAATCAACGGTTTCCAGCCGGTTCAGCGTATTCGGTGACCTACATCCAAAATTAAAACTTCTTTAATTTCCGGACATTTTAAAAATACGGGACCAGTGTCAAAATTCAAGTTTTTTAAGAGTGCACCTGAAATGAAATGAATGAAATCTTCAAATTCTGCAGTCAATGTCCTTTTGTTTCTTGAAATGTGAGGTCAAGCGGCGAAATCTGTTATCTCGTTGATAGATTCCATAAACTACATAACCTTGCTGGTTTAATGCTGGGTTTCGCATATTTAGAAATTCAAGTCGATTAATAGGCAATTAACGGACCTAAATCTTAACAAGATTGATTCTCTACCTCCTACAGGAACGGTTGCAAACGGCAAATTAAATACGGCCTCTTACATTACTTAATGAGCGGCTCTATAAATTTAACCCACTAATTGCTACCTTATATTTCAAAGTCCCTGTTTATCTACAGAGTGATCACTCAAACTGGTAACTTCAAGTATGTAAAATAAAATGTGGGTGGTAGAGGGGATCAAAACAAGCACTTTTTCCAAATAAACCGAGGGTCCAACGTGTTTGGTTTGGGAGCCACCCCCAAAGAAGTGGTGCATTTCTTTTCATTTCTTCTTTAATTTTTTACTGAAAAACCGTAAGAAAGACTTGACACGTCTTTGAATAGGTTTTCGGGTATGCCCTGGCCGATTTTGCAAACATTTTGTCAAAATTCCTACCACGAAAGGGCGTACCCCTAAATGGGCGTGCGAAAAAAAATTCTGATTTTGACGACATTTGGTTATCTGGGCGTTTTTGAACTTGAAAATCACGAATTAGTTTTTGAAAATTCGACAAACTGCAATTCTTGGGCGGACAGCGAAAATGGAGAGAATTCCACCAATTCGTTGTGTACCGGGTGACCCAATGAGACTGTTCCTCGGCCATATCTCGGGAACCGTTTGGCGTATGACCTAGGGGTAAAAAAAATTATTGGCTAAATCGGTTATGAAGAATCGCTGGAAAACATTTTCAAGTTCTAAAAATGACCACCAGAGGGCGTAACTGCCATCTTAAATTTAAAAATTGCATTTTCTTTAAATTTCCCATTATACACTAAACATTATTTTTTCATATTTTTAAAGAGAACCAGTTTATCTAACATGTTCGTAAAAACAAAAACTCAGTTATTTCAAAAACAAAGATGGCATGACCGATTGTAACAAATTTGGTATCGTTGAAAAGAGCATTCTTTGGGTAACAAGAATCAATGAAAAATATAGTTCATTTACGTAGATTGATAAAAGACACTAAACCTTCCCCTTACTTCTTTTTACAGAGAACATTTCACACTTCGTTTCAAGATGGCTGTGTCCATCTTGTCTCCTCTAATTTTGATATTATATTAATCAATTGTACTTAGAAAATGTGAGGACAGATGTCTTTAAATTGTTATTGTTTCCCATGTCATAAATTAGTAATTTTTCCTCATATGGATAACTAAAATGTACCCTTTTAAATTGTAACTTTTCAACCACGTAAATTTAAGCTTGATAATGACCTTCGGGTCGAAACTACAGTCGTTGTCACCTAATGCCTTTATTTTAACTACCGGAAATAATAAAAAGATGTACGGGGAAGGTTTAGTGTCTTTTATCAATCTACTTATTCACTATCACCCCGTTTTGAGTCGTTATAAAGATGGATAGCTACCAATTATAGTTAATTTAGTTGAATCCTTCTCCGCCAGGGGGCTAGTTTTGACACTATGATCCAAAATTCTAAAAAAATCATTGTAAGTGTAAAAATATATTTCAGATGCTAAATTGCCAATCCATCTTCGACTTGGGATTCCAGACAGTGTCGATACATATAACGAACCAAAAGTGGATACGAAGAATGTTGGAAAAAGGAGTAAGAATAGAACGAAATATGAACAGGTACTGTACTTAGCACGTATTTTTATTTTATTTTCGATTTAATAGTTACACATTTTTGTTTAACTTAAATTATTTGTAGTATTGAGAAAGATAATTTAGTCGAAACTCTTAATACTATGATGAACTGTGATGAGAATGTGATTTAAAAAGAATACTGTGATTTGTTTTTTATGTATGTGTAATAATTTCTTTTTAACTAACACGCATGTTCAGACAGACTCGCTATACATATCTGCAATTTTTAGCACCCTCGTTTACTTGGACTTTTAGGATTATGAAACCAACTTTCGTTTGCATTCATTATTTTGCGGTCATTGTTAAAGAGTATATCAAATAGTTTTGTAACCGTTTCTTTGTCTAATATTGTTTTATTTTCTTTCATATTAGTTCAATTTGTATATTCAAGTCTAGTTTACCTATATTCATTATGTTAGGGAGTAATACTGTGTATAGAATTGTTCGTTGTGCGGTAGGTATTTTTTATAATTGACAAGTAAAAAATATCTACTTTGTTAGTAACATGTACAAAACCACCCCTCTTTACCTATCCCAGTAGGCTTAAGGATTTGACAAGTAAACAGACAATCCTTTTCACCCACTTCCAGTAGTTATAATATGAAAATTATGCCATTTCTTAAACTACAGAAAGATCCTTAACATTAATAGGTTATTTCATTTGTTTTTTTTTTTGTAGAAGGGTAACAGATTTATAATCGAAGCCAACTTAATCCTTATTAGCCTATGTAATTTCTATTTTACAACAGATTATAAATTGTCACTAAGCACAGGTAGGTACATAAGGAATTAACAGTAGCACCTAGGTAAACCCGCAGGTTGTACCCTATTCTACCTATTATGGTTCTTAAGAAAAAAATATTGTAATGCTATTTACAATTTTTCTTCCATTTCAGCGCCACTCTGAATTTTTCGTGTAAGTTAGTTTTACTAGTAGTTATTATTTCATAGTTCGTTATTTTGCCACTAGAGGTCAACCGAATGTATTTTTCTTTATGTTGCCCTCTCTCTTGGATCTCTTGGATATTTTAATATTTTTGACATTTCAAACTAATTACTTCTTGATTAAGTATGGCCGATATGTGTACCGATTTGAGTTTTATATGTCAAAGCATTTTTGACTTATCCTGCTAAGGATCGGCCGTTATTGATAAAGCAGCCGCTCGAATACTCATGCTACCTAATAAGGTTTGGGACAAAATTTCTGTACAAGAGAAAATGGTGCAAATTATTTTAGGTTTCATACATGTACCACTAGGGGGCGAACATACACACACACACACACACACACTTATTGTCTTCTATATTACAGAAAGTGCAATTAAATTAAAAATTGCACATAGGGCTACCTAGGAATGAAATAACCAATTAATATTGAGGAATCTTGATAATTTTTTTTACAAATAGTATTTTTTGTGTATTAATTTAATGCTGCCTGAAAAGATTATTTATCCGACAAGCTACAAACTTAAGAAAATATTAAACAAGACTGTTTGCAACAATCTAGGTCTAATTCTTCGCCTACATCAATGCCAACATAATCATCCCAATCTGGACGTAACCATTTAATGAAATGTACACACACACAAACGTCCAAGGCGTGATCAACAAACCGTCACTGCAATGCAATCCAAATGTTACGAAGCTAAAGGACTGCCAATTATCTGTGTAATCGAAAACTTTGAACACATGTAACCGTAGTTGTAGTAATCGCTCTTTGTTGTTAGTTATTGAATTGGGATGAATTATGTCAATGTTTGTAGTATTTCTGTTAATTTTATCTGTAATAATTTAATCTGTCTCGTTGAGATAATGTTTTTAATACTTCACATAGATATTTTTTACTACTTGTATCTTTACATTTTATTCCTAAATAAGTATAATGTACATAATGTAAATTTTTAGATTAAGTTAAGTTTTAATAAAATGCTTTTATTTTTACACGTTTGTAATTTCTATCCTATGATTTGGATTTTTTAAATTTGTATCGCTCATTAAGTTTGAACTTGTAAAATTGACTTACTTTTACTTTAGCACATTTTCCGTGAATTGATCAGTACTTCCTGAAAGGCCATATAATGGATTATTTATGTGTACATGGTGGTCCAAATGGAACACTTTCTTATAGAAACACCCTTTATTTTAAGAGATAGGGAAAAATGGAATAGAGGACGTTTCTCGAATTTAGTCGATTTCCTTAATGCCCCATAACATTCTTATTATTAAAGATTGATTTTGGAATATCATTCTTAGAGTACTTTTTGTGTTGTACAGAATTATATACATAGATGTACAAAACCTGAGAACGGTGCTGCATGGAGTGCTATAGTGGTTGATTGCTTATGAATGGACTTGAAGTCCAAACTCCATCATTTTTGCTGAGCGATAATGTGTTCCATGAGATAAGGAAAGTTTTGAATTGTTACAGACAGCCGATTTTGGGTAAGTGTGTTTTACAAAATTCATTTTCCGTTTTGTGATCAATATTGAAACGTAGTCGCTCTGTTTTAAATCCTTACCACAGTTTTAAGCAATGACGTTTTAATTTTAAGGCACAATAATCATTTTTCGAAATTAATTTTAAAAAATCAAATAATTCCTATTCATCATCTGTTTCGACGAATGCGGCCATTAAAGGGAAATTGACGAAGTTGGTAAGCTGTTGGCAACATTGACTTAACCTCAAATATTAAAAAATGGCGGTAACCAGCACAAGTAAACGCGACGGTCTATTTACAAATTGTTTTAAACATCTTCAGTCCACTTTAGATTACGTTACTAAATACTCAAACAATCCGACAGCTCATATAAACTCTTTAAAAGGTATCGCAAAAGATTACAGCGAATTGGATATTACATACAAACGGTCTCGGAAAGCTTACGATGCCACAGAGAAGTATTTTCAAGATAAAGACGACTGCATTGAAGAGTCTGAGAAAGTGTTCGAAAGATTTTTGCAAGAGGAACCTTTACGATCGTACGAAAATCATCCCATTTGGCAAGCGATCAAAAATGCAGGTAACGGTGATGCAACAGCATCAGTAGAACTAGAGACAGAACACGAAGTAGATGTCAATAGAAGTATTGAAGAAGAAGGAATAGTTCCTTCTCAGTTTGAACCACCTGTCGATCCAATCACGAAGAAAATAATTCAAAATCCATGCCGAAATCAGAAATGTGGACACGTTTACGAATACGACTCTATTAAAGAGCATTTAAAAAGAATAAAATTAAATAAGGTGAAAGCGAGGTGTCCCTACATCGGTTGCACAAATATGAATATGACAAAGTCTTTCATTATTGCAGACAATGAGTTACGCGATCAGATTTTAACGTACAATACACAAACTACTCAGGAAGACTTTGAGGAATCTACATCTGAAATATTATAGACTGTTACGTTGGTTGAATAAAATTAAAGTGAATTTCAGTTTTCCTGTTTGTTTACAATTTCTAGTGCACACTTACAAGTCGCCGACATTCCTTTACATCTATTATGCTTTAAACAGGCTTGTGGCACAATTACACATGACCACAGCTTAAACAATAGGTACCTATTCTTCAATTCTTTATAATAAATGTCGATTTAAATCTATCTTACTATTTTGTCATACTACCTGATTCCACAGAGTGCCCGTAACGATGCTTCAATGTGAATATGCCGCTTTAAGTTTTGCCATAAAGGAAATACATAATAATAATATTAATATAGGTATTTACCCAAAAGATCCTAAATGGATATAGGACAAGTCAAAGGTCAAACAATATGATTATACATAGGTACAACAACAAAAATTAAGGTTCTAAATCAATATTAACCTAACATAAATTCATTAACACTATGGAAACAATTTACAAATAAAAATTTTTTGAGTGAAACTAAAAACGCCTGAACGGTACATGTCTAAGATTCAGCGGTTATTTGTTATATAAAACCGCACCAGCATAATAGGGATTCATTTTAAATATTTCTAGTCGATGTTGCGTATACGGTATACGACAATTCGATACCTCGTCTAGAATTATAGTTATGGTGTGTATTTAAAGAAAATGTGCAAACTCTTCTAAGATCTGTAGAGTAATTGTACTTCAATGATCCGGTATTTGGAATTACTTTTGTTTATGCAATTGGTATACGTGCGCCATCTCTTTGGTAACCGCTATACTTTTCCAAATTAATTTTTTTGAAATAGTTGAAGGAGTTACAATGAGATGACGCCACGTACGTAACTACCTTCTAAAGAAAATTTCAATTTATTCATTTAATAGACACGTCCCACTCAATTTTCCTTAAAGGGCCGTTCAAAATGTGCAAACTCTTCTAGGATCTGTAGAGTAATTGTACTTCAATGATCCGGTATTTGGAATTGTCTTTTGTTTATGCAATTGATACATGTGCGCCATCTCTTTGGTAAACGTTAGACTTTCCTAGATCATTTTCATGTGATAGCTGAACATCTTGCTGTGAGATGTCGCCACTTTATTGGACGGCGCTATTTTTGAATACTTTATAGAACCGAAAACAAAACATTAATTGAACACATCGCAGGGAGTACCTACTCCATACCTACCTTCGGTTACATCTAATCTTTTTCGATCAGACCTCTCAAAAAGGGCTGTAACTTTTGATCTAGTAGCCCAATCTTGGAACTGTTTGAAATTATGGATTCTACAGGCCACAGTCTATAAGAAAATGTTTTTTCCCGGTCGATCTGAGACAATTTTTTTTCGAGCCTCAAAAAAAGCAGTGTTATTACCTTCCTTTTTAACGAAAAATCGACTGCACCAAAATTTCTCGGGAAAACACTTTTTCTTATTAATTTTGGTGCGTAGAATCCAAAACAATTCGTACTTTTTCGATCAGACTTCTCAATCAAAAGTTATAGACTAGAAACCAATTTCGAAAGAAAATTCAAAGGGCTGTAACTTTTGAACTAGTAGCCCAATCTTGGAACTGTTTGAAATTATGGATTCTACAGGCCACATTCTATAAGAAAATTTTTTTCCGGGTCGATCTGAGACAATTTTTTTTTCGGGGCTCAAAAAAAGGCAGTGTATAACCTTCCTTTTTTACCAAAAATCGACTACACCAAAATTTCTCGGGAGAACACTTTTTCTTATTAATTTTGGTGCGTAGAATCCAAAACAATTCGTACTTTTTCGATCAGACTTCTCAATAAAAAGTTATAGACTAGAAACCAATTTCGAAAGAAAATTCAAAGGGGTGTAACTTTTGATCTAGTAAATCTTGAAACTGTTTGAAATTATGGATTCTACAGGTCACATTCTATAAGAAAATTTTTTTTCCGGGTCGATCTGAGAAAATTTTTTTTTCGAGCCTCAAAAAAAGGCATTGTATTACCTTCCTTTTTTACCAAAAATCGACTGCACCAACATTTTTCGGGAAAACACTTTTTCTTATTAATTTTGGTGTTATAACTTGTAAAGTCTGAGCTTTCCGAGGCCTCTGGAGAACTTTCATAGCATGGGAGGGGGAACTAGTATAATCACTTGCATTAATTGGTTGGCACTTTTCGAGAGGTTTATAAGCCAATTTGTCATCTTAAAATGAATCTTCTAAACTTTCCGATATTGCAGTTACAGTAATAGAAAAATGTTTTCCGTCACATGTGGTAAAACTGCACGATTCAAATTATGCGGCTGATATTGACCAATTAAACAAGTGAAAATAAACACCAATTAAGATACAATGTTTATTAACAACAAGATGAACAAAGACATTATTTACAAACTTATCATTTGTTATGATTTTACCAATCATCAATGTTTAAATCTTCAACGGTATCATCCTTCTCCTCCAAAATTGCACCAGAGTCGCTACTCCCTGCATTATTTACAACCTTTGATTTCCGTTTCTTTCTTTTTTTTGTATCATGCTTGATAGACTCTTCTCCATCATCTTCGCTACCAAATTTAAGCTCCTCAGATTCAGAATCACTCGGGAATAGCTCGCCACTATTTCCACTTCGCTCCTTTTTGATTTTTCTTACTGTGGGCAGCTGATAATCTGAGATATCGCTAGTGTTTGTCATTTCTTTGTTTTTCTTTACTGTCCGTATTTTATCCCAACTTGCGTAATAAACGCTCAATGGAGTACCTTTGTTACGTACGTTAGTTTCCCAAGCGGCGATTTTATCGAAATCGGTCAGCTCGAACGTAATACTTTTACGTTCCTTCTCGATAAACGCATTGTTCTGCTGTATTTTCTCTAAAAGCTGCTTCATCTTCTTTAAATAGCCGGATACAGTGCAGGTGTCGAGAAATTTCTTCAACTAAAAACAATTGTCGATCATTTCTTAGGCGAATGCGAAACTTACCTGAAGAATTGTAAACAGCGATAGATCTGGGAAAGCGATGGAATGCGACTGGGACTCTAGGTACTCCAATACGGACGCGTACGTTTGATCAATTACAGCATCCTTGAAGCCGTTCTCCGTCATTTGACTATTTGAAAATCGTAACAAGCAGGTGAGATTAAGTGGCTTCTTAGAGGCTATTTTCGCCTTTTTGTTGAAGTCGTGTATAGATAAGACTTCGAGTATGAACGGAAGTATGGGGATGAAAACACCCGTGCTCTTAGAGAAGTCGGTTAAGACTTGCACAATTTGGAAACGTAACGGAAAATACTGGGTGGTCGGCACTAATTTAAGTGTACCGAGGCACACTTGAACAAATGGGTACACCAAAGGTTGTATCTCTGGCTTATCGTAATTTGCCGATAATACAGCGCCAAATAACTTTAACGAGTTAATAAATTGCCAATTGTAAACAGTTTGTATATTTTCCGTTTTGCGTACCGTAATCGCCGTACGGAGATGAATGGCCAACTGCCGTATGTATAAGAAAATATGTTGATAAGATGTGCCAACGTCAATACTGAACATTTCGACTAGGGATCGTTTCATAAAGTTTATCGATGAAAGTGTATTGACGCTTACAAATTTTGAATTGACTATGTAAGTCATATACATCGCCTTTAAAACGGTGTCCAGTAAATAAACTTGATTGGTGGTTGTAAGTCGTAAAATACAAAAGAAGCACAGTACGCGAACCACATCGTCACTCGTACCCCACAAGTAAATCAGTTTCTTCACAATCAATTTACAGCTTTTCCTAAATGATTGTAGCAGGGGCAGCATGTGATGCAAATGCTTCAAAAGTACATTTAAAATGTTAGTCGACGTAACGCTACCTAAAATCTTTACAGACATTAACCTTCTGTCGCTATTAATGCCGACATTACCTTCAACAAGTCATTAAAATACATCTGAAGCAGTGTTTTCAATTTTGGAAATTTCTTACACTTATGGGGGGCTATTTTGGTAGATTTTAGTCCCAAGAATTTCCGAATGGCCACACTAAGCTCCAACACACACAACTGGATAACTCCATTAAAAACGGCAGAGCCTAAATAAAAACGGTGAGAGATCAATAAGTAAAGGTCACCGGTACTTACCCTCAACTTTATAGTCAGACACTTCCTCCTCTGCGTTCGAGACACGTAACAAAGCAGCATGAAATGCGTGTATTACATGTGCGATGGTATTCTTGGTTTTATCCACCTGTAAATCCGACTGCCACTTTTTTAACAAGCGAAGCGTCACTTTCTGCGGCCCCTCCGTGGTCGCTTGATCCTCGTCTTCGGCCTAATTTAAATTGAGAAGTGGCAACAACCAAATCGACACTCACCTCAAAGTCACTCTCATCGCTTGCAACTTCCAACTCCGTCTCCGGCTTATGGGGTACTGCATCTTCTTGATCTTCGTCGTCCGAAATATTAAACTGTAACAGCTTCTTATCGTTCTCTTCCAGAAATTTGTAAAACTCCGGGTCGGTCGTTTGCAACTTTTTCAGAGATTCTTTGTGAGACTTGATTTCGTCTAAATCGGAATTGTCGTTGGGAACGTTTTCGCCGGTGTCGTTCTCCAATTCGAATTCATCCAAGTTTTCGCTATCACTCATGCTGACCGATTCAAAACCTTGCGTTCGGGGCTTAACTTTGCTCGGTTTCGTTAGCTTGGTCTTCTTTTCTTTAACTTTTGGAGATCTTTTGAGTTTTAAACCGGCCTTTTGTGTTTTGGTAGTTTTACTTATCTTTACCATTTTGTAAGTTATAAAGGAGAAGTTTAGGAAACTAAAAAAAATACAAACAGTAGACCACACGTGAAAATTAAAACGTAACCTCACTTTCGCCCAAATGTCAACAATGGTAGCATTCAGAATTTTAGTTTGTAGGTTGCACTCAGCAACGACGTTCAGCTTCTTCTCCACATCATTGATTATACAGTGTCATTGATTATGAGTGTGTATAAAGGCCGCTTGACATGGAGCAATACTACGCGCAAGAACTTGCAGAAAGAAATTGCAAGGTCAAATCCTTGCATGCAATAAGCATTGCATGGTATTTGACATGGTGCAATTCTATTTCAATTGCCACATGTCTGCCAACAGAAGAAACATATGGATTTGTCAACAAAGTTGTTAACCTCAAATGAAAATTAAATTTTGATTGCTTGAAGAAACATGAAAATTACAAGAATAAATAAGATTAGTAAAAACAAGTAATGAGTGCGTCTCTCAGCATCACAGTTGCCGCCGCTGTATTTTACTAGGTTGGTGCCACAAAAACAACTAGATTTATCCCTAGAATTGCACGATTCATGCAAGAAAAATAGCACCGGTCCTATAAAAATTGCATGCAAGTCTCTTGCAGCAATTGATCAGCTGGCTTTGAACTGCGCATGCCTTTCGCAATTTTTCTTGCAACTTGCATGCAATTGCAATTTTTATTGCTCCATGTCAAGCGGGCTTAATCAAGTACACATGGTCAAAAGTTCGGCTCGCCTCTAAGCCTACTTTAGCACGGCGTATAATTACGATTATTTTCGCGTTAATGAAACTATTGCTTGGGAAATAATGTCATATAGCAAATAAGTACCTATGTCGTTATTAAGAACTTTGTGGGTAACATATAGAAGCTAGTGTAGGTTATACATCATACTGACTGTGACTGCACGGCTTTTAATTCATAAACAGAAAATTTCATCAAGGAATGCCTGAATGATCCCCATGATGCCTCTTTGAACTTCTGGACTAATCCGTTGAATCAGGAAGGCTTTAGGCTCTTGGGTCATTTAAAAAGTGTGCATTTTTCTAATTTGTTTTCACTATTGACTCGGCATCGTCACTGAAAGTGATAAATTCATGCGCTCTCCTCCTATTCCCTTCTCTTGTTTTTTTTTTGCCAAATAGACCGTGTTCCTAGATTCTTTAATGCAAGAATAGAGATGTGAGGGTGCTGCAGTGTCCCGGGGATTCAGAATAGAAGGGAAAACCGTCAGTATGAAGTGGCTGTTTTATTAAATTATTGAAGGTGAGAATCAGCACCGTAGCCAGACGGAGTCAACCCCATCTAGAACGTGGCCGTGCCGCCCTTGTTATAGTTAATGGTATTAACACAAATCTACCAAACTCAACGTAGTTATACCAAAGAGTAAATTATGGTTACTCTTTGGGTATACTACATACAAATTACAATTACACTCTGTAAACAAAATGAACCAAGGCAACAAAAATATTTAAAGTGTCATAAAAATTACAGCCCTGACAATAAACTAAGCCTATACTCATACACCTAATTTTGATATATACCTATACCTCTAAGGAAGTCTACAATATTAATACTTATCCGATTATCAGATTGTTAAGTGCCTGGAACGCGAAGATAGTTGAAATGTATTGTTATTCCTTCCCTATTTAGAAGCTTGTCACCAGATGTCGCTACTCTGATTTTAATACTTTAGTTTACAGTATATCCACCACTGACCACGGTCCGCCAAAATACCATACAAACTTAGACAAGCTTTCCTAGTCTAAGCATACAAAGTTGTAACATTGCGGTTTCTATTCACAGTGGGCCTTATTTTGTACCCGGGCCGCCCGCGTGACAGCTACAACAATTAGACGAACGACGACGACGACGAATGCCTCTTTCAAAACTACGGCGCAGAAATCATCGTTTAAAACTATGCAGAACACGCTATGAGGAAACTACTGCCTCCCAAATTCAAAAAGATATATGGAAAACGGTATAATAAGTATAAAGTATGGTACAAGAACCAAAATTTACATATAAACATAACAGTATGTACTGTCACTTTTTGTTCCGCGGCGCTTTTTTGTCTCTCGGGGAGGAAAAGTGACACTTCATTTCCTTAAATGAATGACAAAACACGTTGATTTAGTCCTCGGAGTACAGAATAGTATATTATATACGAAGGGAGATATTTTTTATTTATTCTGAATATTGTTAGTGTTGAAATTATTTGTGAAATGTGGTTTAAATTAAAATAAAATAGAAACGAGAACAAAATGAAAGAGAAATACACAAATTAAACATCTCAAATTAGTTAGTATCATTTTATTTTTTTATTTATATTTTTTTTATTTATTTATTTTTCATTTATTTATTTATTGATTTTATTTTATAAAAAGAAACACAAAAGACATCATAAATACAAGTGGAAAACATGGGTAATCAATGTACAAAAACACATTAAATACGTCTACGATCCAATTTAGGCAAAACAAAACAATCCGTAATAGTTATTTACATAGAAGTCAGGAAAATGATACATTACTGGCGAGGAAATATTGAAGTGCGAGGAAAGGGGCCGAGTACTTTAATTTCCGAGTCAGTTAATGACAATTTACTGACGAGTTTTGTATTAAATGTTACCCGAAATCGTCTTTTAATACAAAATGTCAACTTTTATATATAACTTTTGATTAATATCAATTTGTCAGTGATGTCAGGAGTCATTATAGACATTTGGAAATGCCAGAAATGCGGCCGGTAAAGTGACAGGCGAGACCAGTAAAGTGACAAGCGGCAGAAACCGTAGTCTGCTCTGCCTCTGTCATGGAAACTAAGATTTCCTGACAGAGAGTAGGCATGAAAATAAAGGTTTCAGGACGATTTTGGGTAAAATGATAAATCACATGTACCAGAAAACAATATCAAAAGGGCATGGTTCTCCTCCAACATCGGCTACCATCAATTTAACATTAAAACTACGGCACAGGGAAGCATTCATCACGTGCTAAACCGAGGAAAAGTTAATTAGCGGGCATCCCTTCTCGTATTGCTTACGCAACGTCCGACAACGAACACAAGATAAGGGAGCAACATATATAGCGAAGAATCGGAACTGTATGAGGTACTTTCTTCACGGGAGACACGATTAGTCGAATCGTACAGGGTGTCGATTCCCGAAGATGTGCTTTGTTCACATCGACTGACCTTGATGTGAACATGAATGTGACTGCATTCTCGAACCTACCACATCGAGCGAAAAGTTGATCGAACGCAACGACTGGTCTAGACCATTCGTTGCGTGAAAGTCATGCGCAGTTGCAGCTACAGGACGGATCTTGCAGCTGTTTTGCTAGGGGTTATTCAGTGCCCTAACCTATACATTCACATATTTTCTGTGAAATAAAACAGGGAATTGTTCGAGGATTTTCTGGTTATTAATAACAGTATCCGTAAATGCAAAAACAAAACAAAATACAAAACTGACAAATGACAGTCCAATTCTTGTCTGTAATTGGTTAGCGCATAAAGTTTGTCCACGATTCGGGAATGCAGCTAAACTTGAACTTATCCCTATCGTATACGATCATGACGTCATGGCAGCCGGTCACATCACATGCACATCACGGAGCATATATCGACTAACTTCGGGAATCGATGCCCAAGCAATAACATGCCGATACTTCTATGTGAAAACATAACTAAATACTTAATAATACTGTAGTGTACTTAACCCCCAGGTTCTACGCTAACTTCACACTACAAGAACACGGAAATAAAATAAACCCGGCAACGTTTTAAAAAATGGCCACCCGAATGACTATTCCCTCTAAAACTAAACAAGTACCCGCTTAAATTTGAAAAGTGGCATGTGATAAAACATCTAAGGCAGGGCCTCCTTACGTTAGTTGTAGACAACGCTTTGACCTGAAGCACAGTAGGGAAGGAATTTTAAATAAAACACTGAAATTGTGAGAAGTTTGTTTAATAATGATCGTAATTATTATGATTGTGAAAACCCGGAAATTTAGTTGATGTACATTAATATAAACAAAACAAACAAAGCCAAAAGGTGTCGTACTCTCGCAAAAGTCACTGCCAAGGATAAAAAGAGTACGACGTAAGAAAAACCTTGCAGTTTGATTAAAACAGTCCAAAAGTTAATTAACAAAATATTTTGTAAAAGTTTAAGCAGTAGTTAACAAAGATAGTAAATGCATATACACAAGGATGGTTACACTCAAGGTTAAAAGCAAGTTTTTGGGGACAATGGGTCAGGTAGAAGCAGGTACCAAGATTCTGAGAAAGGGTTAAAAGTACAGGATGTGACTCATCTTTGGGGCAATAAAGTCCTTTTGTTGAAAGCAAGATGGAAAACTACATGGCCTTGTAGGCAAATTTGACTAAAAACAAAATATGTGGAAATTATTGAATCGCCACTCATTTATCACACATAGATTCTAAACTGAAGAGCTTTGATTAGCGTAATCTCGCTCCTGCAAGATGGGTAGTCCGCCCCTGGTTTCGGGGTTTCGAACCTACAGTTGGATGTCGAAGACAGTGCACGGAATTAGGTGCCCTAACACATAAATATAGACTACAGTTTCTTTTTCCACCTTCCCGAGACTGCTTCATTCACGGAGAAAATTGTTAGTAACATACAACAAGTCAGTACATACATCAAACGAATCAGCAATTTCCACATAAGTATTAAAATAAAATGAAAACTTATATGAATGTAACTTCAAGGACAAGACCAAGTAATCAACATCAATAAACATAAATTAAGCAAACATTACACCAAAAATGTAAACAATTAAAAACAATAGCATAACGGTATCACACATATGATTGCATTGCGGTTAAACAAAGTAAATTTCAAAAACAGAGATTCAAACACACAACAAATATAAAATGCGGCATACAAAACACAAATACGATATAAAGAAATGCAAAAATTACTACCTGCATTAAATAACACAAAATAACAACAAACATTTATGGAGCGAAACGTTCACTACCTCCATTCAAGACCAGATGCCAAACGTAACTCCCGTTCGTGCTTTCTAGGTGGCGCAGGCAACTTTTTTTCCCACCTAGAAATTGCATGGTTGCCAACTCTCAAAAATGTATGTATCGTCGTAAGCTGTATATACAGGGTGGAACCTTTCAATACAATACAAGCCCATAACCACCTGTACAGTATAACAACAAAAAATGATTCAGTAGCGGTACTCAAAACAAAAGCTTGGAGTACGCCACAATTCAAAGATTGATGGTTACTAATCCAGTGACCCACGCTAACTGTTTGCGAAGCTTCGTCGTTTAATTTAAAATCCCTTTGCCCCGGCAGCTGCGCAGAACGATCGCTGTATATTCACAGAGTTTCATTTTTCCCATTCTATCAGCTGTGAGGTATGTTGCCTAACCGTAGAGGTATGTCGCGACACTTGTAAACGCTGTAAAGAAAATCAAACATGGAAACAAAATTGGTTGACGTACCTCAAAAATTACAACCCTCGAAATAGACGAATCGTTATATAAAGGTGAGGTTTTATTTTAAAAAAAAGTATAATTTTTGAAACGGGGCGAAGTTATACCTTTATGACGTGTCCCTAAATGGTTTAGTCTTAAATGGACTAAAGCCTTTACACTTACCTGTGGAGGCAGAGGCTCGGAAGGCTTCCATACGGCTAAAGAATTGGGATGAGGGGAAAGGTCAAGGCAGCCTTGGGCACGGACGGACCTGGGATACCCTCCTCGCAAGAAGGGATGTGAGCCGGGCTGTCTTACTAAGACGAAAGAGTTATGAAGTCACTCTTCCGGACAGGCAGCAGTATGGCTCAACTCAAATTGCCCGTTCCTCAAACCATCAGAGGGGCGCATGTGGTTCACAGACGAGTCCCTAACGCAAAGGGACACGAGTATGGTGATCAACCAAGAACGGCAGTTATCTGGAACCGAGGAGACAACTTAGGCTAAATAAAGTCGTATCTTTTGTCGAGAGGGGCGGGCTCTGAACCTAGTTGCGAAAGAAAGGCCTTGAATTTGATAATAAAATGAAATGGCGCCAGCATAGTTCAGCATTAATTTTAAAACTGAATAAAGCGTTATTCTCCCTCCGTCATCTAAGACGCTTATGTCACTATGATACATTAAGGAGTGTATATTTTGCATACTTTGAATCTCATTTACGATTCGGTATACTATTTTGGGGAAACTCAAACCTTATGAGCAGTATCTTTAAGCTGCATAAAAGAGCCATCCGCATATTGGTTGGAATAGGTCCACGGGAGTCATGCCGGTCTCATTTCAAAGAATTAAAAATTGCGCGACCTTATACAATTTATATATTATTGAATGTGCAGTGTTCGTCCACAACAACATTCATCTGTTTGTTTCTAATGCCAAGGTTCACAATTACAATGTGACGTGGTAAGTTTATTAGAACCCCAGTTTCAAAATCTAGTATTTTTAACAATTCTTTCATTGTAACAGCTATAAAAATATACAATAGCCTACCAAATACCTTAAAGGCAAGTAACGATTCTGATGGTTTTAAAAAAAATTTGAATGCATACTTCAGGGAATTTGTTTTTTATTCTATATGTGAATCTTTTGATTCTTTTAAATAACTACCTATACATATTTTAAATTGTTTGTATGTGTACACCTGTATTGTAATATTAAAAAAAAAAAAAAACAAAAAAAACAAAAAAATCTGTGTGCACATCTGTATTGTAATAATTGTTGTTTATTGTGCAAGATTATTCAACACCTTACGGTAAATATGAATAAAGTTTATCTATCTATCTATCTATCTATCTATCTATCTTTGGTGTGTCTACGTCATCCTTGGTCCGAAGTACAACGAAAAGGATGCAAAAGCGACGCGAATTTCGCGATTTGGGACTTTGAGCACTTTTTAAAAGATCGTTAAACAATTTTCGCATGCTTGATGGAAAGTGCCTCCAGATCGCACAGCGAAAAAGCGTTGAGTTCTAGTGTTAAGAAAAAGATTCACAAAACAATAGAACCAATAGAACAATGCACCAATAAAAATTGACCGGAATTAACAATCGTTTAAATTGTATTCTGTTAGAGGTCAACAAATTTAGCGTTTAGTAATAAAACGGCACATACAGCAAATTAATATTACTTTTGGCAGTGAAGGCATAAAGAATGTAAGACTGTCAAAAAAGTTTTTTTGTTTGTTAAATATTTGCTTCGAGCTAGGAAGCTGTTCTGCCAAGAATTAACACGACCTATAAGATTAGAGCGCAGGCAACTTATTAGTCTGGGTTGAATTTGATAGCTACCTACTGCTGAAATTCTAACAATTTTTGATAAGATTTTTTAATGTTGATAACTCTTTTTGATTACGCTCGGAAAGCTTCTCCCAGATTCCTAACGGTCCATAGCTCGGCATCGCCTCGCACCGTTCCTTGTACCGCATTTTTTAAGGAAACAATCAAAAATTATTAATATGTTTTCCTTTACTGGATGACATCTGAACAAAGGCAATTTCTCGATTTCAGTTTTAGAGTGGAACCGATGGAATTCGCAATTTTTTGAATTTGTGAGGAATATTTTTGTTTTATTGTGTGTAATATAATCACGTTAGATGCGATACGCTTGATTTTTCGCCCAAAACTGCGCCAAAAATAGACAACAACAGGTACAAGACATGTTTGTTAAAAGCCATTCCACAAACATGCCTATACCTGTTTGAAGGCAAACTCCTTTATGCAAATCCAAATGGATTCTAAACTGTATATAATTACCTATATAGGCTATATATAGCATTTTATTGTTATGTTAATGGTACTGTGCCATGAAAGAAAATAAAGTAAAAGAAATACTCAGTCACCTTTTCTATTTATAAATTGATTTTACAATATTATACAAAGAAAGTTCGAAACAACAAGTAGATTGGTTGGGGTTAATTAAAAAATCCGGATAATTATTTTGAAAGAAACCCAACCTTTATCTAATTAATTGCATGGAGACATAGTGTAAGTATGATGGAGATAACTAAATTTGCTTTTTCATCAACAACTTAAGTTTTCATTTAAATTAAGCAATTTACGGCTATATCGGTTAGGTACCTACTCAATGTGTTGTTCAAGAAGAAAATAATTATGTACAGACTCTTTATCTTCTTCTCAGTGCATCAGTAATTACTTAATTAGGAATTCAATAAACATTCTGAAATTATGACAAATTCATCGTGCCCAAAGGATGCGGATTACAAATTTTTAGCCATGACATTGATCTGACCATGTTCTTTATGACATTCATCTAGGAAATGGCTCACTTTGTGCTGTTTACAAGTTGCATTCCACCCACCTGACTATTTATCTATTTTTATTAGGTCATCTCTTAAAGGTTATCATTAGTAAACTTTCCTCGTTTATCTAATAACTTAGTTAGATTACTGTGGAAAATCCACAAGTGTGAACTATGGAAAACCCACAAGTCTGAAAACTGGTAGGGGAGAAGCCCTATATTATCAACAGCAACAGCACATTCTGTTGAAACGCAGACATGCCAGCTCTATTAGTACTAATTGTTGCTGTAGCACAGATTGTTGCTATACACTCTGTCCAGTTTGTTATAAGAAATAATGTTCCAGGTCCGATTGAGGTGGGAATCCAGGGCAATCCCGGTCACGCTCACCTTAACAATGGAGGATTTCATTTAAACCAAGGAAGCGAGGTAATTAGCGTGAGATGTTTTGGATTTACTATTCATTGGGTAATATTTTCAGGTGACTGTAAACGCACCGGATAACTGGGCTGGAAGATTTTGGCCCAAGACATGGTGCGTGAATGGACGTTGTCAAACTGGCGATTGTGGAGGTAGGGTGGAATGTGCGGGTGCAGGTGGTGTTCCTCCGGTAACTTTAGTTGAAATTACCCTTCGCGGAGCAGGAAATCAAGATTTTTACGACGTGTCTTTAGTCGACGGTTTTAATATTCTCGCATCGGTAACCTACACCTACACCTTGTATAGTCTTGAACGTGATCCATTTCATTTTGTAGATTTCTCCCGAGGGTGGTCAAGGTAATTGCCAAACCGTCTCGTGCAATTACAATCTTAACCAGGCCTGTCCCAATGACTTGAAGAAGATCGGAGGAAACGGAAATGACGTTGTCGCCTGTTTCTCTTCCTGCATGAAGCACAACACTGATCAGTTCTGCTGCAGAGGAGCTTATAACAATCCGCAAACGTGCAACCCAGGGAATATGCCCCAGCCTAACTCGGCGGGTTATTTCAAGCAACATTGTCCACAATATTACAGCTACGCGTACGATGATGCTACGAGTACCTTTACATGTTTAGCGAACCGCTACAGGATAACCTTCAGCTAATCTGAACCAATGGTTTTTTTTTTGTGATCGCATGTTCATATGCCTACTTAATTACCTATTGCATGAAATTAAAACATCGTGACTAATAAAATGATCCTTACCAGTGAGAAGCTCACTTACTGATTATGTATACCTATTCGTTCCAATGAAGGATTGTCTCTGGATTTTTACAGTATGGATTCGGCCATTGAATAAGTACTGTAAAGAAGTATAAATACAAAGGAACACCTGAAACTGGTGTAAGGGGTCGACTAAAAGAGCATTATCGACAGGATGGCTCTTTTCGAAGACAGTGCATATCACGGCGTATGTCAATAAGTGGAACTTTACCACTTTCCTGCTACGCCAAGTCGAGATTAAATATCGAAATCAAATATAGCACAATACATATTCCAAACAAGTCACTCCGTCAAATATCAATAATTTTAATTGCTTGGTTCAAATAAATAGTGGGGGCATAACGTTAATTATCACATGTACAACAAAACAAAGAAACATGTCGTGGCAAAATATTAATATAATGCCAAGTGCAATATGTAACAATCTTGACCTAGCACACGTCACTCGCCCCCAGATGAAGCACCCTGTAAATAAACAGTAACATATTCATGCAAAAGAAAGATAATATACTGCAAGAAATTCCAATTTATATGTCGATGTTTCAAAATACAGCGCCATCCACGAATCACTATAATCACCTACATCGTGTAATTCTGCACACAAAAGTTGAATTTGAATATTATCCCTAAGAGAACATAGGTACTGTAGGTACTATTCAGAAATTATTCCTATTTTTTCTGCTCTAAATTTAAGTAAAATATCTCCAGGTATTGGTTTAAAGACGGCATATACTTTTCTTTTGCACAGTCTTCGAATACAGGTCTAATCTTTGTAATTTCATCACAATCCATACTTAAAATTTCACCCTTACGTCCGTAACTGTCGCAACCGTTGGTTTCTGCCAACAGATTCTTGTCGCCGACTTCTTGTTCCAACAAATACTTGTAAATTTCACTGTCAACTATCTTCATTTCGTCGAGTTTGTGTTGAAGAATATTGGGGGATACGCGAATCAACCGTTGCTCCACCTCTGGTTCAGAAAGCAATTCCTTTGCTTCCTTCGTAAAAGAGGCGCGAAATACTTTATGATGTTTCTTTCTGTGTTCCTTGACGAAATACTATACGACTTACCCTTACGAAAAACATCGTTTTTTGTCACCAAAAACACACAAACCGATTTCTTTCGTAGATAATTATAAAAAACCGCGGTCCTGTCACGGTCGCCACTAAATATGGCGTGTCCACCAAACTACTCGTTTTAATGAAACTACGACTGATTAGAAAGTGACACGCACGGTTGACAATGTTGACAAGTTCTTCTTTTTTTACTCTACCTCTAACTCTACTCTAACACCCATAATAAGGCAGCATTCAGATGCTTATAATCTGAACGTGATATATTTCAGTTTGCAGATTTCCCCCGAGGGTGGTCGAGGTAATTGCCAAACCGTCTCATGCAATTACAATCTTAACCAGGACTATCCGGATGATTTGGAGAAGATCGGAGAAAATGACGATATCGTCTGTTTCTCTTGCTGCATGAAGGACAACGCTGATCAATGCTGCTACAATCCACAAACGTATAAGCTCGAAGATCTACCCCCGCTTCCTTCCAAGCAAATTTGTCCCCAATATGGCAGCTACGCGTGTGATGACGTAACGAGTAGGTCTACATGCCTAGCGAGCCGCTATAGGATAACCTTCACCTAGTCTGGACCAATCGTTTTATTTTTGATTGGTATATTGATTAAGTTTAGTTCGTACGAAAGGTGTACTTAATCACCAATTGCATCTACCTAGGCCTATAGAGTCTCGCAACTAATAAAACGCAAATATACATACCTAGTCTTTGCCAGAGACCGGCTTAGGAAGATCATCGGAGTTCTCACGTTGCACTGGACTATTGGGCTTGTAGGGGACCTCACGTGCAGGTGTGGCGCCACGGATTCTGACAATGTGCCTTTGTGCTGCCTGGTCGGGTTCTTCTTGTGAATCAATAGAAAAGAGGCGCTCCTCTCCAGTAAGAATTGCATTTATTATGTTTTCGGTACAATTTAAAAAAAAAAACAAAAAAACATCCATTCCACCTATTCACTTCAACGCCGAACGGTCTCGCTGAGGTTAAGTGGAAGAGCAGCACCTGCGTGTGCTGAACTTCGCCTCTTTACTTTGCAGTAATTATGTATATCAAAAATGAATCAAAATAAAGACATTTATTATTATTATATTATTATTATTATCCAATACACAAATGTTCTCTGGTGGTGCTGGTAGTTAGCACTAGCACCACTACCAGCACCAGAGCCAGCGCAGTAGAGCGCCTGGACGAGGGTTTGTACAGTGTTGATTGCGCAATTGCTGGCTCTCAATAATTATTACATTACCGTATGTTGGCTATACAGAGTGGTACCTGTAATTTTCTTGCACATGTTGCGTTTTAAATCACATATTCAATGTACCGGGTGATTCATTAGAAGTGATGATCGCTTGAATTTCGCGCGTAAGGTTTTAGTGTTTTTTGCATTATTAGATTGGCGGTTTGAATTTCGTTAGTAATTTTCAATGGTAATTTTGTTCTGTCATGAGTCATGACTGTCATTTAAGAAAGCAGTGTCGCCGTTAATTGTTGTGTGCCATTTGCGTTTTATTACTTTTTCCATTTCGAACAATTTTTAGAGTTGATGGACTAAAATATGTAAGAAACGTGACTGTGTCTAGTGTTAGTTTATAATTTGTGGTAAAACAGAAGCAGTATTTGTAGATTATAAATAAGTAAACGATTTACTGAAAGCATGATGATACACCACTGCAATTAAATAAATGATCATCAGTTAGTACCAACTTCAGAATTTTTTTGATTTGCGAGAAATTCAAACTGTCATCACTTCTAATGAATCATTTTTCAAAAATAGCTATCCCTGTCTACAGAGTTTTTACTACTACAATTTAATTAACCCAATGGCATGTTTTTCTTTTGGAAAATTAACAGAGCAGAGCTACGTGAGCTCGGCAACTTTTACTAAGTGCCTATAACCCTTTGAAAAACTCATGAAAAGGGCTTTGAAATGTGGTGAAAGACTTGAGCTGTCATGCAACCTAAACTATTCAGCCACAAATGACACGTGAGACAAAGTTGGAGGCTCTCCAATAGAACTGACTAAAGAAAGAGGGAACGAGCCAAAAAATGCTAGGCGTTCAAAAACTTGAAAAGTACTGAAAATGATGTAACTTTAAACATTTGCGCAAACTACATATAAAAAAAATTCGTGATATGACCCAGCGTTCACGTCCTTCTGATGTTTAATGAATTATCTGATAAAATCACGAGCCGCTACTGTTCATAGTTAAGGTTGGTATTAAAACAATTATTTTTGGTTCCTAATATGGTGGTTGGTACTTGTTTATATTTTTGAAATATGAAAATTGTTGTTGACGTTAAATGGATGGCTGCTATCGCATAATTATTAATTAAATTGGAAAACCAGGTGTATTTGTTCATTCCGTAATGAGCGGTACTACCCTTCGTGGCGTTTTTCCAGAACCAAGTAAGTGGTGGCCATTTATCGCCTCACAGTAACTGTGCTAATTTACAGAGCCCGTCCACAAGAAAAATTTTATTAAGGAAAATATGCGACACATTAAGGAAATGCAAGGATTATTGCCCGAATCAGGTACAGACACTAAGCCTTTACGTGATAGGCAAAAACCGAAACCAATCAAGGATGTAGCGAGACAAAGCAGCGTTAACAAATCACAAAGTGCACTTAATCACATTCCTTTGAGATCGAGAGTACAAAAAACAGAAACAAAGAAGATCGAAACTTATGTACCAAAACTTCATTTAGAGAAGAATAGAGGGGAACCGTTGAATATTAAACCTCATCTACCTCCAGCTCCATTACATTCGACTGAAAAGTACTTACATAGAGCTGTGCAAACTGATAACCAAGAAGATATACAACGGCTATACAAAAACGGAATAATCCGCTACCCAAGTCCGTCCGTTGTTAATGCCTTAGGTAAGAGACTGAGCAGCAATCAAGATCGCGGTGATGGCAGCCCAATGCCCCAAAATGTAGACGAATTAGATGATAACATGCATTTGTTAGGTAGAAAATCAATACCCTCCAACCCCCTTTTTATTGATTTGCTATTTCCAGATATAAATAACAAAAATTATATTAAAGAAAACATTTTGGCTTTAAAAAACCGTACCAAGAATGAGAAAGAGGAGGTAAAACTGTCAAGTCACCAAAAAGGAGTCTTACCAAAATATTTGCGAGATCGCAAAGAAGAATTGACTAAGCAATGTGAATTGGAACCAGACTGTCCTGACGGCCATGTCTTGCTTCCCGACGAAGAACGCAAGGAAACCCTACGAGTGTTGCGACAAAGTAAGTCTCTTGCAGTAAATGACATCTGCACAAACTTTCAATTGTAGGTTACGCCGATCGAATCCAAGAACTCAACTCTATGCCCGTCAGAAGTGACACTTTGCGAATGCGCAGACGTAAAATGGAACTGGAGGAAGAGCTAAAGAAGATTGACGAGGGCATCAAAGTTTTTCAACGACCGAAGGTGTTTGTAAAGGTCGATGCGTGACATCCGGCCGAAGAGCTTTACAAAATGCTAAAACTATCGTGATATACAGTGTTGAGTATTTTGAATACTGCACATACATAAAATTTATTTATTGTTATATTAACTTCAATAAAATCTTAGGACTAACTGTCTATTTATAATTAACCTTATGTACAAAGTCAAAGCAACAAAATATTAAGGAATTTGAACGAAAGTAAAACTCTTCGTTCTCTTGCCACTTTAAAACATTAAATTCTGGAAATAATAACTTCATTTCCCTGGTTGCTGATTCCACAGAGTCTGTAACAGAAGACTAAAGATACAATACTTTTCTGTGAAAATACCTGATCCATGCGTTGCATTTCTGGTGTCTGATAGCCCGAATTCCCCCCTGATTGTGTCGGGATCTTCATATTGTGCCTTATAAGTTTTAGTAGGTCCCATTAAATCCCTCCATTCTTGTATGGCGTTTTCACGTGCCAAAATATACAAGTCGGATGGCCCACTGCGAATTAAAGCTAAAATACAAAAATAGGATTAATAACAACTCACCTAGTCATAAAGGTAATAAGTCTATTGTAGAAAAATTTATCTTTATGGTCAAGGTAAAATGTTTTCGCAATCTCCTGGTCGAAAGTGAATCTTTTTGATTGAACAATTTTGAAATTTGAGGTTAGAATTAACTTTCGAATTGATTTTAATGAATGGGGGTTTTTAATTACGTGGGGCTTTAGTATAGCCAGTGTTAGCTCTAAGGCCGGCATTTTTGTGCTGTTTATTGTTACCTAATCAATAAGTTCATTTTATCGATTTTATAAACCACAAACGGAAGGAAAACATCCGGTCACCAGTCACCTTCTACTTTCTAGGGATGTGAACCACCAGAATACCAGTGGCGTACAGTTACCAATACTGATAATATAGGAGGTTTCAAATTGAATAATCCTTTCCACACTATTGCTATTGAAACTAGGAAAGGCGATTAATATTGAGAGCGATCAAACAAGAATTGTAATCTTTATAATCAGATGAGATGAATAGGCACCTTTTTAGCACCTATATTCCTAAATAGTTACAGGTGGAGGAAATTGCTCTTCCTTTTGTTTGTCGAATCTCAGCAATTCTGTGAGAATTCAGCTGAAAAGAAGTATCAGTGATTATTAAAGCATTTAAAGTCCAGATTTCGTTCGTAGAAGTTGCAAAAAGGTTTTGAAATATGGTTATGAAGAGAGTAGTCAAGAAGACCTTAGTGTACCTGTAGGGGTCTTGTAAGCAAATGAAAGTTTTAGGTGCTTACACTTGAGAGCTTTTTAGTTATCGTTTTATACATCTGCTTTCTCCTGCAAATTTTAACTATTTTCAGTACTTAATATTATTTAACCGCAGTTAGCTTTCCAATTCTCGCTCTAATTTGCGTTACTGCACTTTACTTACGTCTATTAACTACAGCGGTCCCCTTAAATGACAAAATTTAAACTCGGAAAAGGAATATGGGTTTCCTCTTTCACAACAATTAAAAATTTGTAGTAAACATACGTCACTCAGTTAGAAGATTTCCTTTAATTTATATTGAACTCAACAACAACAAAAAAACAGAAAACTGGACTAGTTTCTCCTAAACGAGTCCCTAAACGAACTTTTTTTTGCTTTTATCATATCAAGCCGATACAAAATAATTAGATCGAATCGTTCAAGAATATCTTTAATTTACGTATTAAAACTTACTAAATAACTCACAAGGAGGCGGTAGGTTAATGGTATCGCCCGCCAACAAACAGCCTTTGGTGCTTTCCTCCTCGAGGTCGATTCAGCCTCGGTAAAAATGACTTGGGATTACCCTGGGAGGTAATAATAATAGGTAGCTTTGGAGCATAGTGCTTGTTACACACACTTCCTTGGAAATCTTTCCAGTTAGGGCGGGGTAAATGTAACAGTCCATACTCACTTATCCCGTAAAACGTCGTCAGATGTTCTAATTAAAATCCTTGAAGGACACGATCATTGTATTGAATATAAACATAACCATTACCTTCTTTATAAGACGGCTAGACTACCCCCTAGTCATCCAATCTCGAAAAAAAACGGCTCGATGGATGACACATTCAGATTCAAATTTTCAAAAACCGAGACAAATTGTGTACTTTCTAGTATCTCTAAGTTTTTGCCCATTTTCGTTTTTGTTGCTAATTTCCATGGAAACATAAAAGTCAGGTGGAAAGTTTGATTTTGTGGTCAAGTGTCATACATCTAATGTAATAATGAGTACGCCTCGACGATATTCGAAAGAAAAACGAAATTCCGGCAGGAAATCGTTTACGAGCGGAATTGGCCGCTTGTCCGAAATCGAGATACAAGAAATGTTAGTTTCGATTTGGTTTAAAACAAAAAACTGCATTTAAATTAGTGGACAGAAGGATGGTTTATACAATTTTTTGATTTTTAGGCAAAAAATTCTTGAAAGACAAGAGGAAGATCTAGTGGTTTATGCGGTACGAGAAGAGCTCATGACTAGAGTGATGAATGAATGTTACAAATCTTACATAGAAAAACAAAGCGTTAAACTTATGGTTCATTGTGCCCACAGGGCACTGGTACAACTGGTAAACTTTGGGTGTTTCAACCACGATCCCGGAAGCCCCTTCTATGAGAATCATCCAGCTTGGTCAGCTGATTCGCCACCGAGACCCTCACCTGTGGACAATTGGGCGGCTGGAACCATACCCGTTTTACCAAAGCCCATACCTCCATTACTACCCAGCTCGCATTCTGAGAATGACCTGGATAAGTCCGTGGTTATGGTTGATACCCGCTCAAATATTTTTGGTGCGACACCTTCCTCGTCTCCCAAACTCGAGGTTCTCTACTACAACGCGACTACAGCAGATACACCACAAGAAACAACCGAAGTGCCAGACTATACAACTAGTACCGATCTCCTAGTCCCCCACGTTTCCCAAGTGTCCAATACGGAAGGGGAAACAACGCTTCATCTAAAACAAGAGTTAAGCATCTTCACCCTCACTACGGAAATGGGCCCGGAAACTCTGCCCCATTCGACAAAATCGGGCCGTTCCAAGCTGAAGGGCCTGGATTTTCGAAGCGAACCGCACAGGCAATTTAAGGGTGCCTTGCGAGGCACTCTAGTGCCCAAGCTGACTCCCGACCAATATTCGTCGTTGCGGTAAGTACAAATTTTCTGTCAATCTGTAGGTGATAATTTAAAAGTAAATACCCACCGGGGTCAAACATAGACGTGTTATAAAGAAAGTGGATTGCCCTCTGCAATCATGTTTTAAAATAAACATTCGCATTGGCACCTATTCAAAGTGTGTACATTCTTATATTTGTTCTCGTTTACACTTTATGCCTGATCCCGCATAAACTGTACAAAGTTAATTTTAACTCGACAGAAAAAAAATCGATCCGAACCTAATTTGCGCTCACATGCAAAATATGTATTAGAGAATTACCTATCGATTTCTCGTTGGGAAACGCTCTGATGATACTTTAATATGGAGATGCCATCGACCAAGTACATAATTTGTGATACGAAAGTTTCCAATATTCTTATCGGGGTCGTTTTTTTCTTCGCAATTTGAAGAGATTTAGGGTTCGCCTTAGACCACTTTATATGCATGTAGTAAACGACATTCGCGAATTGAAAACTCTACACCCTACATTCTGCGTAAAAACAGGCACCAGTAACCTCTATTAGAAAAAGGCAACTTAAATCCACATGACATAACCATCGACTCTATAAATTTTACCTATGCCGAAGTTCGCGATGATATTCCGCAACCTACATTGAGTACAAGCAAAGCCATATACAGTGCTATTTATTACAAAGTAGACATAGGGATTTACGTGTATTGTTATTCTCTATGTCTACTTTTAAATGACAAAATCTATTCTAAAGAGCGCCTAAAGCTATGCATCCAAAATACCTTCTTGAAACAAATAAAGATCTGATTGTCATATTAATTAATTTGAATACTGTTGCTTTGGCTTCGCAGAAAATAAATCTCTTACGCTTCTTAAACTGTTACCTCTACTATACCAATTGACAATATCAACGTTTTCTTCAGCTACATCACACACGAACGAGAATAAAAACACGAAAGCCAAAACAACAATATTCAAAATTAATTAATATGACAACCAGATCTTTATTTGTTTTAAATAGTATATCAAGAAACAAGTGTATAATCAAGTCTTTAAAACACGCGCAACGAGTTTAAGGGTACGACGCGCAGCGGAGTGCCTGTAAACGTTGCAAATGAATTAAAGACCAATTATACACGCGTTTCTTATAGTATTTTTTTATTATACCTGCAATAATTTAAAACTAGGGAAATATTGTCGTTATACTCGAATACATTTCTAATTAAGTGGGCTGATTATTTGTCATTCCATGATTGCCATGGAAATGTCACTTGCCGTTCGCGTACAATAAAAATCACCGTCTTTGTAAATGAAATGACTTCGGTTGAAGAAGACAACATATCGTCTATTCAGTGGCTTATAGCTGCGTCAGAAGAAATCCCAATGCAAAAGCCTATTATAAAGAATATATGAAAAACTGTTCGCGTGGAATAATAGGAAGCATCTTTCAAACAAGGTCTTAAATGCATCGTTCATACTGTCATATATGAAGGAAATGTCAAAGGTAGGTATATAAATCTTCTACCCTTCGGTGCATTCATTCAAAACTTCAATCAATATTGCAATTAGAAAGTGGAACAGATTTGGCAGCATACCTACTCTAAACCACGTGCGTTTGTAAAAGCTTCCCACAAAGGATACGAGCCAAAGACACCTTTTTCATTTGCAAAAAGCGATCCAGAGGATATTTCTTTTCAATCCCAAATTACAAGTATACTTTCATATGTCATATTTGAAGTAACGTTACTTAGCAACCTTTAAAGCTCGGCGTGGATTAATCGCTTTTTTACGCACGCAGTGTTTTAAACAGCGATTCTGATGCAGGTATTTATTAAATAGTTATTTACATAAAACTCAGGAAAATGACACATTGCTGGCGAGGAAATATTGAAGTACAAGGTCCTTTTGGGGCCGAGTATTTCCGAGTCAAGTAGTCATTTTACTGACGAGTTTTGTATTAAATTTTACAGAAAATCGTATTTTAATATGAAATTTCAATTTACACACGAGACTTTATGCCTATCTGTCAATGATGACAGGAGTCATTATAGACATTTAGCAATGTGACAGGCGCGGCAGGAAAAGTGACAGGTGGCCGGTAAAGTAACAGGTGCGGCCGGTAATTTGACAGGCGGCAGAAAAAGTAATATGGTCTACCTGCGTCATGGCAACTAACATTATAGTCAAGAAAATAAAGGTTTCAGGACGATTTTGTGTAAAAGTTATTTTAGTTGCATAAAATTAGGCGCCCTTCAGAACAGATTTTGTCATTTAAAAGTAGACATAGGGAGAAACAATATATGCAAATCCCTATGTCTACTTCTTAATAAATAGCACTGTAGGTCAGGAAAGTTAGATCTGAAGAGGGGTATCCCTCCAGGGGTTGAGCATAACTTTTGATATTCCAGAAACTTCGAAATTTTCGGGCTTTTTTCAGTTTTTCGCTAATAACTCCTAAACAACGCATCTTAGAGAAAACTTTACTAAGAGACAAATTAAAGAGCATTAAGTTCTACGTCGATTGACCCCCACTCAACTTTAAAACTGGACCAATTTATAAGGTAGTAATCGACGGCAATTTTTCCCATATTAGCTAAAATGCACTGATCAAAACATTCCGGTAGTCAGAGTTGTGGAGAGTTTAGTGGTGAGCTCAAAGAACGCCAAAATTTTAAAATTTGATCAATTTTAGCTATACTTATGCCAAATTCCTAATAAATGTTAAAACTTCCTCGGCCTCTTTGTTGTGGTTGGACCGTTATGGGTCATCTTCCATTTTCTCGATTAATTCGTTTCTGAGGTTCCCATCTCCTTCCTCCAATGGATGCAGGCGGATGCTTAGTGGATGCCTAGCCTGGCCTGGCCTTTACAATTCAGGCAGATTGTCCCCTGTACGTCATCCTGCAATTGCAAGAGATGGAGTGAAACACCTCGGCGGGGACGGGTTCCTTTAAAGTAGGTTATTGGGACAATGCCACCCCGCGTTGTTTTCCACTCCCAATCGAGGAGGTCTTTTTCCCTTCCACACCACACCTGTACCTGGTGGTATGGAGCGTTCCTTTGCTGCTGTTGAGGTAGCCGGAAGGAATAAGAGACTAAATGTTGCATTTGCCAAAGTTTTGGTAAATATCTCGTATCCCAGCACATCAAGAGTCGACCCAACGGATACTCCCCAGTAAGACCTCATCCTAGGATTCATCAGGGTTAGGGGAGGCTGGCTTCAATTGCGGGTTGCTCTCCAGGGCTTTCTACAAACTTCACCTTTCCCTGCCGAAGAATTGTCGATGTGGTGTCGCATCAACTGATGGCGTGGATGAAGAGAATATGCTCCTTGATGGTGGTGGAGTATTTCAGCAGCCCTGAAGAGAACAAAGCAGGTCTGTTCTCCCACAATTGTCACAGTAGGGTACGCATTAGCTCATGCAATAGATTTCCTGACGATGAGAGTATCCGCATCTTCAACAGCTTGGCGAACTGAGAAATCCTCCCCGATCTTTACCTTTCTTTTCGACATTACGGACAATGGGTACAGAAAGCTTCTGTTGGCGACCGACAAAAACGACTTGATACTTTTGGGTTTCAGAGGGTATCCATCAAAAATTATTGAGGTTCTGTGAGGGTTGTAGTTATACCGTTCATGTAATGCCACGTAATTATTAAGGATATGGTTGAGAACTTTTCCTTTGATTGCTCTGGTACCTTGTGGGAGAAGGACTCTATTCCTTTGGTTTTTTTTATTACAAACATGTTTTAATATGACCAGTACTTTGAATGCTACAGAGGACACAAAATCATCAAAAGACACATTTTAATCCATAGGGGAAATATTTTGAGGAGATGGTCAATGGACGCAAAATTTAATTCTCTTTAATTTCTCTTTTGGTGAGGCTTTCGCTAGGATACCTTAGGAGTCATTGGCGAAAAACTGAAGAAAATTTCGAAGTTTTTGGGGAATCAAAAGTAATGCTCAATCCCTGGAGGGGTACAAACTCAGATTACTCGTTTTCATCACTATCTTAAGGTTTTAGAACAATTTCCATGTTTCCCCAGGTGCCTATTTTCTTGGATTAGCAATAATTGTAGATTATTTTTATAATTTCAACACGACTTTAAACTTGAAATGTAATAAACAGCTCGGAAGCCGACCTTTTTTATTGCAGACGTTTAATTATTATCCCTCTCTTGTTCTGGGCCCACAACAGGATCGCGCCCAATTACAGAGTGACCGGCATAATGCTTTTTAGAGGTGCCTCTGCAGAATGTCTTAAGTTGTTCGATACTACTCCGGTATTTACCTTACGAATTAGGAAAACTGCAGGAAAACCTAATTCGGAGTAGCCGGAAGAACTGATCTAAGGAAATTCCCATTTCTGTCACATATGAAAAATTCTTACCTCAGCCCAGGTTCGAACACCCGACCTCCGGCTATGTAACCTAACGCTCTACCACTGACCTATATAGACGTATGACGTCGTGAGAACCGAAGGTCATACTAGGTTCAATGGATGCCGCTTCTTGGTTAGCGTCCAGTTGTTAGCGGAGACCCGCACCCTGGCCGGACCGTTCTTGGATAAAAAAATCATTTGAATATGCTAACACTAGAAGATGCACGAGTTGAGTCCTGACGAAACATTATCAAAAGCGGTGACATTACATTTGATATGGTACTGGATATGACCAGTTTGAATTTCCTACATTTCGGGGATGTCAAATGGACGTTTTGGCCTACATTACCAATTGACGAACTGCGATCTACAAATATGATAAAAATCCACCTGCAAAATTTCATCGTAATCGGTCCATTCCTTCTCTTTTAAATCGATGGACAATGGAAATTTTTTAAAAATAGAACATACGGTTTTTTTATGTTGAATATGCAATTAAAAAAAACAAGTAGGTACTATTTAAATTCTTAAGTTCTTTTTTACTGCGTTTACGTGGACCTTTTTGTCAATGTGTAACAACACTAAAATAAGAATAAATTAGAACTTGTCAAAATTAACTTCAAAACCAGTTTTT